TTGTGTGTAGGTGTTTCTATTTTTTATTTCTCTTTTTCTATGACATCTTTAAGGTATAATTTTAGTCTATTCCTCTGATTTGCATGTTTGTCCGTTAATCAATTCCTGATAAACTTTGTCGTGTTACTGTTGAAACTCGTATTTCGGCCTGTTTTATTTTAGGGCGTCGTGTGGCTGAGTTGACGTTGTACATTCTTGTCTGCAAGGTACGCGTTGCATGGTTTTCTTTGTGTTAATGTATAAAGGGTGGCCGATTAGTGCTATTTGAGAATGAGTTTTATCACCGGAATTTCTCAAATAGCTGACCGCGTGCTTATTTTAGGCTTCGACCAAAATTGGTGAAGGGATTTGGTGAGTCAAATTGGACACTTTTTTCCCACAAGTCGTTTTGCTTGGACGAACGGAAACTTCACTTTTGCAGACCTTTGCAATGCGAGTGAAAAATAAAACCTCTGCAATTACATGAAGAGTATCGCGAATTTCAGGCTCAAGCCTCAAGGAGGCTACTACCGAACGGGTTTGTCAAACTCACGTGGTCACATTCCTGAGCGTTGTAGGCCAAAGATGACAAAGATAGGCTAATTCGAAAATTGGTGCTCTCTGTCAACCAAAAATGCGAAATTTTCGTTCTCAGAAAATCAGTCGATGAAAGTTGTTTCTGTTGCAGCCTCCTGGCGCTATAATATATAAACTCTGACAAATCTGATGTGCGAACAAAGAAGCTAGCAAAGAGAAAAGAATGTTATCACTCGAGTTCACCTTTTTTTGTTTGACAAACAAAGTCACGTGATCTAAGTCGTTAACGTCTGGCGCCAAAATCAACTTCCACTGGCGTCTAGTGAATTCGCGGTGCACCCGTTTCAGCAGTACATGATAAGGGGATCGGCGAAATTTATACTAAACAAACGGGCTCTGTGTCGACAAATTGATTATTGATGCCATTGCAGTAAAGTTTTTTTTTTATGTGCTTTATATACTACGTACAAAAGTTAGAGAAAGAAGAGTGTGGTATAAAGGGGAGGGGGACTCTGAGGAACTGGTTTCTTATTACGAAGAGTCGGGTATGGAGGGGAGGGGAACCCCAAAAGGCTGGGTTCTTATCGTGAGAAGTGGGTATTAAGGGGAGGGGGTACCCTGAGGGGCTGGGTTCTTATTGGGAGGAGTGGGGTATTAAGGGGAGGCGGGAGCACATCATTGGGCTCCTGGGGGAGGGGGACCCTGAAGGGCTGGGTTCTTATTGTGAGGAGTAGTGTGTTAAGGGGAGGGGGACCCTGAGGGGCTGGGTTCTTATTGTGAGGGGGGTATTAAGGAGAGGGGGACCCTGAGGGGCTGGGTTCTTATTGTGAGGAGTAGGGTATTGAGGGGAGGGGGTATCCTGAGGTGCGGGGTTCTGATTGTGAGGAGTGGGGTATTTGGGGAGGGGGGCCCTGAGGGGCGGGGTTCTTATTGTGAGGGTGGGGTATTAAGGGGGGGGGACCCTGAGGGGCGGGGTTCTTATTGTGTGGGTGGGGTATTAAGGGAGGGGGACCCTGAGGGGCGGGGTTCTTATTGTGTGGAGTGGGGTATTAAGGGGAGGGGGACCCTGAGGGGCTGGGTTCTTATTGTGAGGAGTGGGGTATTAAGGGGAGGGGGGACCCTGAGGGGCGGGGTTCTTATTGTGTGGAGTGGGGTATTAAGTGGAGGGGGACCCTGAGGGGCTGGGTTCTTACTGTGAGGAGTGGGGTATTAAGGGGGCTGGGTTCGTATTGCAGGAAATATGGTTATCATGATTATGGTAGTATAGGCGAGTCCTTGTTAACATTTTTTGGCTCTCTAACATGTATATGCTTATTATTATCTGATAAAGCAAGAGCCATAATAGTTCTTAGATGAAGCTAATAACATAAAATCTCTGAATATTGAAAGAGCACAGCATTTTCAGTTATCTCAGGAAATTTGAGCCCGATTTACCGAATACTTTCGGAGAAATTCTCTTTGAGAAATCCCAAACTTTACAAAGAATGTATGAGCTCATTAACGTTTTTGCCACACAGCAGTTTCGCAATTATTTTGATCGCTGCTATTTCCTTGTAACTACCTGCAAAGAGCTGAAACTTGCAAAAACTGCTCACTTTACCCAGCTCTTTCAACTTTTGGGACAAATTTGTATCCATGGCGACATCTTCTAGATGTTACCTCGTATGCTAATGAGCAAGGATGTAAAGGGTGACGTCAGCTAGGATTCGCCGATATAGCGATCGTTTTGGAACGCTTTTTTTTCTGAAATTGTATGATTTTTTCTCTTGCAGTTGCTTCAACGATTCCGTTTAGAGTACCACCACGAACCATTGGAGTCATACCAAAAATTGTTTGCTGTTCCAGATAGACCAGTCAAGATCAAATTTGTGGACCGGCTGTGAAAAGCATATATAATTTACTTATAATCATATATATCATTTATTTTTTACTAAGTTCTACCCATGAACACGCTACATGTAGTTTGTGAAGTGTGAGGTCGTTTTAAGACAAAGTCCTACATATATCCAAACACATCTATTCTCTACAATCATTAATAAATAAACACATTTCACGGTTTGTTCAAAAACCTTTGTCCTTTATAATCTAATGGTGAGACACTTTCCCTCGTGAAAGGAATAAAAAAACTGAAAAGAAAAAAATAAACGATGCTTAACTCACAAGTTATGCCAATAAAAAAATCAATGAAAAAAAATTCATGTCATACATACAAGGACACATAGAGAAACGGATGGCGAATTGTTTGTCGTGATTGGTAGTGTGAAGTAAAAGCGAAATTCGAGCGCGCGCCAATCGCAAAAATTCGTCGCGAAACTCGCCGCTAGACTTCGTTGAAATGTTCACAGCGTTTCTTACTTTACTAAAGGTCTATTAACCATATAAGAATAGCGTTTCAAATTCAACTGAAACTGAGCACCATTCACGGGGGTGTTCACCTTTAAAAAGAAAAAACAACTTGTTGATTCTATTTTAAACAATAGCTCCTTCATTTTTCGCCTTGACGGCCCCCAGCCCGAAAAGGACCTGCAATAGCTCTGGACAACAGGTGGTCGTTTTAGATTTCAGATTTCTTAGATCTGAATAACTTTTAGAAGCAAGAACAACGCACAAATGTTACTCCCCAACGGACGTCAAACAGGTTTGTTGGGGAGGGGGGTAAGGCACTTAATGCATCAGGAGGCCCGGAGACCCGGAGAGACTAACTCTATTGTACCCAGCACCACAGACCAGTTTATTTCTAGATCGATTTTCCAGCAAATTTTGAATGTCAAATAAATCTTACAAATCAGTCATCAAAAACCGGAGACTAGAAAAGTTGCACTCCCTGAGTTATGCCGGCTCCTGATGCATAGATCAAGTTAATTAAATAACCTACTTTACAGGGGAAGGGGAAGGGGGGGGGGGGGAGAGGTGTTTAAAATATAAAAGTTTTATCTGAAATACACGTGTAGAATTATGCCTTGGCTGACTGGACACCTCCAAAAACATAACATACGAATCACGCGATCACGCAGATCTCTGCAGAGTTTGGAGAAAGCCCTGGGTACCAGAAATCTCCTGCAGAGACGACAGCTGTCTGCAGAGACTTGAACAATAAATTCAAGGAACGATGCATCAACGATTAGTTTTAAGTTCTGTTTTTGAACTTTATATTTGAGAAGCACTTAATCTACGTCCCACGTCGTCAAGGGGATCGAGGGAACAAAGAGAGAGGTTAAATACCCTGTCCCTCAGGAATCAGGTCATCGAAACTATGTTTTCTCCGTGTACCACCTCTCTTCGAGCGAATTTTCTCCTCCCGAAAGCTCGGCATCTAAAATGCCTAACTTCGTTCTGGAGATGGCAAAAAACAGAGGCCAGTCCTTTGGTAAAGCGGGAAATTGTCGACGACCCAAGGCCCGCAAAATCTGCAGAGGTTGAAGCGCGACCATTCCTTGATATTCCATCGCCTGTTTTTGGCTTGACATCGACAATTAAACATTTTAAGGAAACCGAAGGTTTTACCAAAGTTTACAAACTATCTAATCGGCTGTTCACGGAGCATGGTCCTATTTTTAGGGGCGACATATTGTTTGGCGGCAAACCTGCGGTTTACACCATCGATCCTGATGATTTTGAGAAAGTTTTCCGTTCTGAAGGAAGATATCCACGCAGACCGCCGATATTGGAGATTTGGAGAGAACAGCGCAAAAGGAGGAATTATTTCGTCGGAGTCTTTAGTGCGTAAGTAAATGTTACGTAATAGTATAAATGCTATTTCAAATGGGTGTCAGAAAAACGCGGGGCCGGAGTCGGACTCTGTCAGAAGGGTCCAAATAATATCTTAGCCCCACTATTCAGAAACTCACCCTGAGGGAGGGAGGGAGTGGGAGATGGGTAGGAGGGGGGTGGGTGCAAATAAAAAATAGAATGTCCCCTCTCCAAGGTGACAGTACTTTTCAAGACGAACACAGTTGAAATGGCAGATACTTATTGCACCTGACATCATGATATGAAGCAGAAAATAATAAACATTTTCAAATGCATCAAAGAGCAAATGCCCAGAAACAGGCTGGGGATGGGAAGTAGGGTGGGGTGAGTATGCATGAAGAAAGGCACAAATTTAAATGGTGTCAGTAAACTGTGTGGTCAGGGTTGGGGTTTGTGTTTTTGAAAGAATGCTGTTTCAGGGTTAGGGTTAGGGTTGATAAAAAGTTGAACATTACAAAAACAGTAAGAAGATGTTAAGCAAGACACCTCCATAAGGGAGGTGGGGAAGTAATAATCATGAGACCATTTTTGTAGGGGAGTGGGAATTAAAATTGTTTATATATTCATTCATTTTAATGCTTATTATGGCATTTTAATACTACAGTGTGGCACAATCCAACCCTTTACTTGTTTTGTTGTTTTGATATCATAGGGATGGAGAAGAATGGTACAGAATACGAAAGAGTATTGCTCCAAAAATCATGCGTCCAAAAATAATAGAGGAAAACATTGATAACTTTATTGCTGTTACCAAGGATACAGTAGCAAGGTTTGTTCAACTGAACAAAGATTGTGGACCAAATGATCACATTCCTGACTTGGAAGGGGAATTGAGTAAATGGTCAGCTGAAAGTAAGTTGTCAGTATCATATGGACTAATGGACTAATTAAGGTGCCAACAGCATGTATTTATATACTGATATGCCATCTCATGTCTCTCAGGTTCTCGACCTTCCATTATTAAAGGCACTGGCCGTTGCTTATAAAGATTAAAAAAAAATGTCCCTAGTAAAGCCTGAGGTTTCCTCATATTTTATTCTGCTGCAATAGTTACAGCACATTGACCAAGAAGCAGTAAATTAAATGGAAACCTGAGGCACCAAAGGTCTGAGGTATGTTTAGGTCCACACCCACCAGCGTATCTAGGTGCACTGCATGCTGAGGATCAGTTTCTTCTTAAGAACATGATTTTGTGGAATTAACCCACCAATCAGAACAAAATGCAACCTAGCTCTTCAAATAAAAACAATTGACTTCAAAGCTTACTGAATGAGAATCAACAGCTGACAACAAGAGCTAACATTTTATATTTGATGATGTCTGCACTTTTACTGGTTTCCCTGTGAAATGATATCTTGGGAACAAGCACAGAAATTCCATACTGATTTATACATCTGGGGAGTGCTCGGATTGTTCGTGCCACTATAGAGACTCTGGAATTTCTGGAATTTCTGTGCAGGTCATGTGACCTCAGATGCCATTTCATGGAAAATCATTGATAGGGTAGCAAAATTTAGGCTGGTTTCTTGTAGGCTAAAAGATTGAAGGTTAGCCTTAAAGTTACTGTAATGTTTATTCAACATATTGGTGTATTTTTTTGCCTATAGGTATTGGTACTGTGGCATTTGACACCCGTCTCGGATTGTATGACGATCCAATCCCACCAGAAACGCTGCAGTTCATTAATGAGGTTCAAAACTTCTTTGCCCTTTCCCACAAGCTTATTTTCAGTGCAGTGCACAGAATTGCTGGGCCATATATTGACACACCACTTTTTAAAAAGTTCCTCAAGTGTGGTGATACTATCTTAGACATAGGGCAGGGTTTTGTGGAGAAAAAGATGATGGAACTAAAAGAAATGGCAGAGAAAGGAACTGACAGTTCTGATAACTCTCAAGGTTTGTGCAAGCTGATATGGATAGATGCTACCTGTTAAAAATTTGATTAACCCGCTTGTACTTTTATGAGAGCCTTCGGGCTGGATGAATTACAAGAAATTTTAATAAAAGTTAAGAAAATTATGCACAGTTAATAAAACAAACGGCATAACTCTAAATAAAGTACTAATTAATAATAAAATGAAGCTATAACATTGGTCTCATACATTGTATTTATATAGCTGTTTATTTCCTTCTGACAATATAAAAACAGCTACATTATAAGCAGACTACTCCCATTATATAATACCAATTTTAGTTTTGCAATCTGCAAAATTTTTAGGTGGAGTATAAAGTTAAGGGAGTCATAGAAGGATAGCTGGCATGCCACTGATTTTTTGCCCACCACACCCTTATGCTCTCCTGGTTCCCCACTGCTGCTTGTAAGGTCAACAGATTGAAGGAGGGGGGGGAGGGGTGGAAGGGGCTGGTGAAATTTAACAGGGTTTCTGGAGACTCAAGTCCCCTTAACTCACCCCTCCACTGAGAGTTCATGGACACATGAAGAACTGACCTGGATTGGCTGTAAGGTCAAATAATTCTTGGAACTTATAATTAGTAACTTTTATCTTCAATGCAGGCTTATTTTGGGGGCTCCTGAAAGCTGTTATACTATGTTTTGTTTCTGTGTTTGTTTTTGTTGTTCTTTGTATCAAGTACACTCAGGTGACTGCAGATTAAAATCGGGGTGGGTAGAAATGGTAACCCTACTAGGAGGACTTGGTTTTTTTTAGAATTCAACATGATGACTGTTGTTAGCAGAAACGATTCATATACACCTGAAGAAAACACTGCATTGCAGGCCATTCTAATCTCTGCTTTTTTGCATTTTAGTTGTTCCAGTGCTGACGTACTTACTCACAAAGGAAGATCTGACACCTGAGGAAGTAAATGGCCATGCTATTGATGTGGTGGCTAATGGTGTTGATACAGTGAGTGTAGAGAAAAAGTGAATTATAATTATTTATTATTTAATGAATGGTGTAGTCAATCAGTGCTATTATGTCATAATCATCATTGCGTGATATGCTACTTACCAGACCATCGTCATTGCGGTCATTATTATTGTCATCTTTTTTACCGTTTGTGAGCATTATCATTATCACCGTCAATAACATAACTTAGCAGTAGCACGATCATCATTATCATCATCCTTGTCGTTGTCATCATCAATTTTGTTAGCAATTTTATCATCACTTAACTTTTTTATTATCTTTCTTCAGTATTTTCTTATTTTTCTTGTGGTGACATTAGCATGAATCCTTTCTGATATAGTTAGTCATGGTGTAGTGGTGTGCAGGCGAGCAGCAAGATCATGAGATGCCAGAAGTGAGGGCGATAGCCAAAGGCAAAAAATGAGAGACTGCTCTAGAGTGAAAAACCAAAAATACAACCAATATATTACCCTCAAAGCCCAAAAATGTGACCGGCTTAATGAATATTTTACGTATAGAGTGTCAGGCAGTCTGGCAAGCTTTTCTTTCGATACTTTTAGTTTACATCGATTGAGCATTTTTAAAGAGTCCCTTTGTACATTGGTCTTATGATTATAATGTGGTTTATTTTTACAAAAAGGGAAGCTCTCGAAGTAAATTAATACTCCCACCCCAACCCTAAAAGGCCCCCCCTGCCCCCAAAAAAGTTCGGAAACCTTGTAAAAGTATGCGGAGAGATAAAGAAACTTTCTTTTTATCTCCTTCTTGATAACAGACATCAATAACCGCTCTTTGGTGGTTATATAACTTGGCAAGATTTCCTCAGGTGCAAGAAAAAATTTACGAAGAGATACAGAGCGTTGTTGGGGTAGACGGAGAAGTTACACCGCATAATCTCGCAAAGCTTCACTATCTCAAGGCGTCTCTCAAGGAATCATTAAGGTAAAACATATTGAAAAAAATTCACTGTAAATTTTTTTTTCTGCGTTTGAATTTGACGGGCTTGACTACAGTTGTATTTCCAGGGTTTGGTATAATATAATAGCGAGTTAAAGCAAAAGCGTTCTATTTGAGTGACGTACATACTGTGAGGCGTTTTCCCCTTTGGAATATCTTGACGCTGCCAGATTCGTAATGCTCATTGGTGTCTTTGCTCTGATAGAGATGAATAGCGGCAAAATTTAGACGAAACAACTGCCAAAGATTGCAAAAAAATCCACTTCCGGTTGACTTGCGTCGGTCAAAAATGTCTATGCTTAAAATTCCAAATACTGGCAATTTTAAGGTACCTTAATCTAATTTAATTTTATCCATGCATCTCTCTGCTTGTTATTTCATGCATTGAAGGCTGAACCCTACTGCAGGAAGCCTCGGAAGGATATTAGACCAGGACGTTGTCTTATCAGGATATACTGTTCCTGCAAATGTGAGTACTACACTAAGTACACCGTACTAGGCAGATGGGCGTTTTTTATATTTAGGGATTGGGGGCGGGGGGGGGTGTTTCTTTTATTTTATGTCGTTGTTATTGTCGTCACGCGTGGCAAATTGTACGTAAACGGATACGATTTGTCAAAAACCCCTCTCAGACCCACACCCGTGATCACGTAACCTGAAGCGAAAACGTGTAAAATCTCGGACGTTTACCATCTTAATTGCTACTTTTTCGTGGATATATGATATTTTTAATTCGATTCACATTAAATTATGCTTAGATTATGTTTGTTTTCCTTCAAACTAAATTTCTAACCCAGAATAGAAGTGTTGAAATTGTGATAATTTGTTTGATGGAATAGACTTCTTGACCGTTGCTCAAAGTGTCACCCAGGAGCGAAAAACATATTTGCGTTCATTAGCCGGGGTGATGGGGATCAGGTATAAAATTCAAAAGTGTGGGGATTAAGTTGTTGTCCATTCTCTCGAGGTAATGAATTAAGGAAAGAATGCGCAGTGATATTACTTATTTTTGCTGATTATGTTAATGGTTCACATTGGTTCTTCCAGACCATCGTAGTAATGGACTTCTACTGCTGTGCATTGTCTGGAAAATATTATAAAAACTCTCTTGACTTTCAACCCGAGCGCTGGCTGAATAAAGACAAAGACGAAAATCACGCTTTTACTAATCTTCCATTCGGATTTGGAACTCGTATGTGCCTTGGTAAGAGACCTACGTTAGTTGAAATAGACTACGTTCAGTTTCTTTTATCGCCGCTAGACTATCGCGCGCTCGACACCCTTCACTAAATCTGAAGGACAAGAGGGACTGCTCGCAGTCTAACTTTAAAAATTTGTTCGGACCTCCAACTGCTTTACACTACATTTTTGTCTCTGGATGTTTCTTCACCAAAAATACCAAAACACTTTTCGTGTAGACTTGAGGTGGTTGTTCCCATGAGCTGCTTGTGCAAGGCGTCATCTTTTCCTTCCAGGACGTGTATAACAGGGCTCGTTTTGCAGCACTGTTGCAAAACACGTTGCACGTTTTTTGTTGTCCATTTTAGTGTCAGTAGCTTAAGTTTCAAATTTTCTCAGGAATGCTCACCTTTACGGGTTTATATTAACCTAACCTTCACTCTTTACCTCGCTCCGTGGGCTCTGCTTAGTTTCTTGTTGTTATCAAATTTGCCTAAACGTTTTATTCAAAAGCATGGTTGATTGTCTTGTTCGGTTTTAGGACGTCGCGTGGCTGAGCTGGAGTTGTACATTCTTGTCTGCAAGGTATGCGTTGTAGATGCACAATGTTTCGTTGTCCGATCCTTTTAAGTATTTTTCAAGGACATTGGACTTGATATTTAGAACGACGAGAACGCAAGGGAAGGAGCTCATCGCGTTCTTGTACGTCCAATTACTTCATGCCTTCTTTTTCCCACGTTTGGCTCGTAGGTTTGTAAAGGCTGCTTCTCTACATCGCTGTCCGTGAAGCAATAGTTTCAAATTTTATCTAGGAGAAAAGAAGTTTCCTTGTCATTTGCTTACTACGAACAAAATTGAGGGAGAGAGGGGTAGGGTACTTATTCAAGGTGGGTGGGACACTTATTTGCTAGTTGCTTGGTTGTCATGGGAGGAGACATCTTAGTAATCATAGTTATTAACAATCCTTTTTCTATGATTTTTTCTATCGCAGTTGCTTCAACGATTCCGTTTAGAGTATCACCACGAACCATTAGAGATGTACCAAAAATTGTTTGCCGTTCCGGATAAACCGGTTAAAATCAAGTTTGTGGACCGGCTGTGATTAGCAGCATCATGATACACCTGTATGTGTACTATCATGCATGTTTTTGTGGTTAACGTTTTTATTGAAACAATAACCATTATTCTGTAAAGTTTGTAAGTAAGTAAGTATTAATAGACGTCGAACTACTTTCGGACAAATTCTCTCGGAAAGATCCCAAACTTTACAAAGAATGTATGAGCTCATTAACGTTTTTGCCACCCCGCAGTTTTGCAGTTTTTGATTGCTGCCATTTCCTTGTGGTTGACTGCAAAGAGCTGAAACTTGCGCAAACTGCTCACTTTACCCAGCTCTTTCAACTTTTGAAACAAATTTGTATCCATGGCAAGGTCTTCTATAGGTTCCCTCGTATGCTATTGAGCAAGGATGTAAAGGGTGACGTCAGTTAGGATTCGCCGATATAACGATCGTTTTCGAACGCTTTTCTTTTTTCTTAAATTCTATAATTTTTTCTCTTGCAGTTGCCTCAACGATTCCGTTTAGAGTATCACCACGAACCACTGGAGTCATACCAAAAATTGTTTGCTGTTCCAGATAGACCAGTCAAGATCAAATTTGTCGAACGGCTGTGAAAAGCATATAATTTACTTATAATCATCCATATTTATTTTTTGCTAAGTTCTACCCATGTACACTGTATATGTAGTTTATGAAGTGTGACACTGTGAGGTCGTTTTAAGACAAAATCCTAAATGTATCATCCCAAACACATCGTCTATTCTCTGCAATCATTAATAAATAAACACATTTCACGATTTGTTTAAAAACCTTTGTCCTTTATAGTCTAATCGTGAGACACTTTCCTTCGTGAAAGGAATTTTAAAAACTGAAAAGCTCGAAATAAACGATACTTAACACACAAGTAATGCCAATAAAAAAAATCAATGAAAACAAACAAACAAAAAATACATGTCATACCTACAAGGACACAGAGAAACATGGCGAATTGTTTGTCTTGATTGGTAGTGTGAAGTAATAAGAGCGAAATTCGAGCGCGTGCCAATCGCTAAAATTCGTCGCGAGACTTCGTTGAAATGTCCACAGCGTTTCTTACTTTACTGAATGTCTATTAACTATATTAGAATAGTGTTTCAAATTCAGCTGAAACTGAGCACCATTCACAGGGGCTGTTCCACTTTAAAAAGGAATAAAAACCTTGTTGATTCTATTTTATTATTGAGAGGAAACGCCAGAAAGTGTCAGAAAATTGTATGTATCTCCGCACGGCACTTTTATGACCCACAGTAAGGGAAACTTTGACCAGATCAGAAATACTAGAAGAGCCTTCTGCTCTCATTTAATCATTAAACTGAGTAGTTCCTTCATTTTTTGCTGGATGTCCCCCTCACCCCCTAAAAGGATCTACAAAGATAGCTCCAACGGGTGTTTGTTTTAGATATAAAGCAGGAACAACCCACAAATTATACTCCCTAACGGACGGTCGGCAAAAGTCATCAGGAAGGCCAGGTTTCTTTTGGGGGGCGGTGCTGGAATAAGGCACTTGATGCATTTGAGGAGGCCATGACCCGGAGCAACCAACTCTATTGTACCCACAATAACAGATGAGTTTATTTCCAGATCGATTTTCCAGCGAATTTTGAATGTCAACATAAATCTTACAAATCAGCCATCAAAAACCGGCGACTAGAAAAAAGTATTCCCGATGTTTTGATAGCATTTACTTCTAAGAAATTATCGTACTATTTATGCGCAAGCCTACAGAACGGTGATTCCATTTTCGCGGGAAAATGTGCTCAAAATGATGCTAAAAATAGCTTCATCCGTGAAAATGCTAAGCATGGCGGTTACACTCCCTGAGTTATGGGCTCCTGATGCATTAGGGTGGGAGCTATCAGGTTAAATAACCTACTTTTCAGGGTGGGGGCGGGAGAAGTCTTTAAAATATGCAAAAGTTTTATCTGAAATACACGTGTAGAAATTAGTCTGGCTTTACCTTAACATGGAATTATGCCTTGGCTGACTGTACACCTCCAAAAACATAGGATATGAACAGCAGCCGATTTACTAATCGGCTCCTGATATGAATCACTTTTCACGCAGATCTGCTGAAAACCGAACTAGATTCCTTTCCCTTTGTGTTTGTGGTCTAACGAACAAACCAGTCATGTACAAGAAATTTGACAATACGTGAGCCGCAGGGCGGTGGGAAGCGAGCACGCTTCTCAGTTTTCGAGAAGTATGCCCTCCAACATGGCGGCCAATACAAATCATACTGCTTTGTTGAAAAATCAAAGTGTCATAAAATATCTCCCTTCAGTGCGTTTCCTTGCAAATTTCGGGTGTAAGATAATTTTGATGTGCTCTGTCAATTTTTGGCACCAGCAAGATTGCAACTCATCGTTTAAAGAAAGCATTGGTCACGTGACCTCTTAGTGCAACTGGCCTCGATGAGGAGCGTTGCGTGACGACATTAAAAACTGCTGTGTAGCAAACTAATCAACGATAAGCTTGATAATAATTATTTGCTTCAAATCCCACGCAGCGGAGCTAATACAATACCGCACAACTTTTAGGTTCTGTTTCAACTTTAAATTTGAGAAGCACTCAATCTACGTCCCACGTCGTCAAGGGGATCGAGGGAGCAAAGAGCGAAGTTACGGTCAGTTACCTGTCCCTCAGGAATCAGGTGATTGAAAATATGTTTTCTCCGTCTGCCGCCTCTCTTCGAGCAAATTTTCTCCCCCCGAAAGCTCGGCATCTGAAATGCCTAACTTCGTTCTGGAGATGGCAAAAAACAGAGGCCAGTCCTTTGGAAAAGCGGGAAAGTTTCGACGACCCAAGGCCCGCAAAATCTGCAGAAGTTGAAGCGCGACCATTCCGTGACATTCCATCGCCCGATTTTGGCTTGACATCGACAATTAAATATTTTAAGGAAACCGAAGGTTTTACCAAAGTTTACAAACTAACTAATCGGCTGTTTACGGAGCATGGTCCTATTTTTAGGGACGACATATTGTTTAGCGGCAAACCTGCGGTTCACATCATCAATCCCGATGATTTTGAGAAGGTTTTCCGTTCTGAAGGAAGATATCCACGCAGACCGCCGATAGATATTTGGATTGAGCAGCGCAAAAGGAGGAATTATTTCGTCGGAGTCTTTAGTGCGTAAGTAAATGTTACGTAATAGTATAAATTCTATTTCAATTGGGTTTCAGTAAAACTCGGGGCCGGGTAATTTAGGGTTAGGGTTAGGGTTAGGGTTAGTGTCCACCCCTCCCCACCCTTTCCTCAAACATGGCTGGGGTCTGAACCCTTAATTTTTTGCTAGCACCCGATGCATGACTTTAATTTTGAAAGAAATGTCCGACTGGTCTAAATTACATAATTATTAGCCCCACTTTTTAGAAAATCACTCTGAGAGAGGGAGGAAGGGGAAGGTGAGGAGGGGGGTTGGGTGCAGAGAAAAAATGGAATGTCCCCTCTCAAAGTTGACAGTACTTTTGAAGAGAAACACAGTTGAAATGGCAGATATTTATTGCAGCTGACATCATGATATGAAGCAGAAAATAATAAACATTTTCAAATGCATCAAAGAGCTAGATGCCCAGAAACAGGGTGGGGATGGGAAGCGGGGTGGGGTGAGTATACATGAAGAAATGCACAAATTCAAATGGGTGTCATTAAAACGTGCGGTCGGGGTTAGGGTTTGCCTTTTTTTTGAAAGAATGCTGTTTCACGGTTAGGGTTAGGGTTTGTGATAAAAAGTTGAGCATTGTGTGGTCGGGGTTAGGGTTTGTCTTTTTTTTGAAAGAATGCTGTTTCAGGGTTAGGGTTAGGGTTGATAAAAAGTTGAGCATTACAAAAACTAGCCTGTTCCAGGCGTTCAGATAGTGGGGAGCATTGCGAAGTAAAAAGGAGTGCGAAAAAAGAAAAGCCAGGGAGGGGGAGAGGTCCCCCTCTACTTTTCATCCCTTTCTTTACTTCACAACGCTCTCCACATCTGAACGCTTGGAACAGGCTATACAAAAACAGTAAGAAGACATTAAGCAAGACACCTCCATCGGGGAGGTGGGGAAGTAATAATCATGAGGCTATTTTTGAAGGGGAGTGGGAATGGAAATTGTTTAGATATTCATTCATTTTAATGCTTATTATGGCATTTTAATACTACAGTGTAGCACAATCCAACCCTTTTCTTGTTTTATTGTTTTGATATCGTAGGGATGGAGAAGAATGGTACAGGATACGAAAGAGTATTGCTCCAAAAATCATGCGCCCAAAAATAATTGAGGAAAACATTGATAACTTTAATGCTGTTACCAAGGATACGGTAGCAAGGCTTGTTCAACTGAACAAAGATTGTGGACCAAATGATCATATTCCTGACTTAGAAGGGGAATTGAGTAAATGGTCAACTGAAAGTAAGTTGACAGGAGTATAACATGGACTAATGGACTAATTAAAGTTCCAGTAGCATGTATTTATATACTGATATGCCATCTCACATCTCTCACGTTCTCCTTCCATTATTAAAGGCACTGGTTGCTTAAGATTAAAAAAAAATGTCACCAGTAAAGCCTGAGGTTTCCTCATATTCTATTCAGCTGCAATAGTTACAATTGAGCACATTGACCAAGAAGCACTAAATTAAATGGAAACTGGAGGTACTAAAGGTCTGAGGTAGGTTTAGGCCCACACCCACCAGCACATCTAGATGCACTGCATGCTGAGGATCAGTTTCTTCGTAAAAACATCATTTCATGGAATTAACCCACCTATCAGAACAAAATGCAATCCAGCTCTTCAAACAAAAACACTTGACTGCAAAGGTTACTGGATGAGAATCAACAGCTGACAACAACAGGTAACATTTCATGATGTCTGCACTTTTGCTGGTTTCCCTGTGAATGACATCTTAGGAATGAGCACAGAAATTCCATACTGATGACATCTGGGAAGTGCTTGTGATTGGTCGTGCCACTAGAGACTCTGGCATTTCTGTGCACGTCATTTGACCTCAGACGCCATTTCATGGAAAATCATTGATAGGTGTGCAAAATTTAGGCTGTTTTCTTATAGGCTAAAAGAATGAAGGTTAGCCTTTAAGGTACTGTAATATTTATTCAACATATTGGTATATTTTTTTGCCTGTACAGGTATTGGTACTGTGGCATTTGACACCCGTCTTGGATTGTATGATGATCCAATCCCACCAGAAGCGCTGAAGTTCATTAATGAGGTTCAAAACTTCTTTGCTCTTTCCCACAAGCTTATTTTCAGTGCAGCACACAGAATTGCTGGGCCATACATTGACACACCACTTTTTAAAAAGTTCCTCAAGTGTGGTGATGCTATCTTAGACATAGGGCAGGGTTTTGTGGAAAAAAAGATGATGGAACTAAAAGAAATGGCACAGAAAGGAACTGACAGTTCTGATAACTCTCAAGGTGTGTGCAAGCTGATTGGATAGATACTTAAGTGTTAAAAATTTGATTAACCTGCTTGTACTTTTATGAGAACCTGCGGGCTTGATGAATAATTTTAGTTTTGGAATCTGAAAAATTTTTAGGTGGAGTATAAAGTTAAGGGAGTCATAGAAGGATAGCTGGCATGCCGCTGATTTTTTCCCCACCACACCCAGCCCTTATGCTCTCCTGGTTCCCCACTGCTGCTTGTAAGGTCAACAGATTGAAGGAGGAGAGGGGGAGGGGGGGGGTGGCTGGGGCTGTGTAAGGGGCTGGCGAAATTTGATAGGGTTTCTGGAGACTCAAGTCCCCTTAAAAACATCAACTCACCCCTCCACCGAGAGTTCATGGACACATGAAGAACTGACCTGGATAGCTGTAAGCTCAAATAATTCTTGGAACTTATAATATTAGTAACTTTTATCTTCAATGCAGGCTTATTTTGGGGGCTCCTGAAAGCTGTCATACTAAGTTTTGTTTTTGTGTTTGTTTTTGTTGTTGTTTGTATCATTGCCACCATCTTTGACTTTATATCACACTCAGGTGAGTGCAGAGGAAAATTGGGGAGGGTAGAAATGGTAACCCTAGGAGGACTTGATGACCATTATGTTAGCAGAAACGATTCATACACCTGAAGAAGACACTGCAATGCAGGCCATTCTAATCTCTGCGTATTTTCATTGTAGTTGTTTCAGTGCTGACGTATTTACTCACAAAGGAAGATCTGACACCAGAGGAAGTAAATGGCCACGCAATTGATGTGGTGGCTGGGGGTGTTGATACAGTGAGTGTTGAGAAAAAGTCAATTATAATTATTTATTATTTAATGAATGGTGTAGTCAATCAGTGCTATATGTCATCATCATTGCATGATACGCTACTTAGCAGACTATCGTAATTTGCTGTCATTATCGTCATCTTTATTACCGTTTATGAACATTATCATTAACATATAGATTTAGCCAGGGCTAAAAGCGAAGCTCTGGTTAATAATACGTGTAAACAACAAAAAAAATTAAATCGTGTAATGGTAAACGGGGACGACAATGAAAATGGCTTCAAGACTAATAGATCTAATTAGCAAAAAAACAAATTGCACGTGCAGCACACTTTTTGTCTTTTCCTTGCCGTTGTTTTGCACGACCACAACGCTGTTTTGTACGACTAAAACGTCTAACTTCCTAGTTACACATTATTTTTATGGAGGAATTGTCGTATGTGCTTACCAATATTTTGTTTCCTGTCTTCACGTTCGCTATTATTTTTCATTGCCGCTCATTTTCACCTTGCTGGCCGATAGCATTTCTCATTTTCTCACCGCCGCTTTGAATGTCCATGTTTTTCTTCCTACGAAATTCGTCTCCTTTGTTTTCAAAAATTCGCTCTAGCTCTTTGTCTCTTATCCAAGTTCGTGTAAACATAAAAAATAATGCCGAAAAAGGCACGACTTTGTTGTTGTTTTTTTTTTCTAAAAACCAAGGCGGCCACGTGATTTCCTTCCAAATAAAACCTTGAGTTGCATTTGGGTCGCCATACCTGTTGATTGAGTTATTTTACGTTGGTATGCCTGTGGTGCGGACGGACGGTCGGTCGGTCGGTGTACGGTCACGTGATTACCAAATTTTCTCCGATGGGTAGATTACCAAATTTCCTTAGCTATGGGGCTCCGCCCACGCCCGGCGCGTGGGGCTCCGCTATCACCATCAATAACATAACTTAGGCATCATCATCAATTTTGTTAGCAATTTTATCATCCCTTAACTTTTTTATTATTTTTCTTCAGTATTTTCTTATTTTTCCTTCGGAGACTGATTAGCATAAATCCTTTCTACCTGAAATTTGAACGAAAATATAGTTTTCATAGTGGAGTGGTGTGCGTGCGAGCAGCAAGATCGCGAGACGCAAGAAGCGAGGGCGACAGCCCGGAATGAGAAATGAGAGACTTGTCTAGAGTGCATAAATTATATATATTACCTGCTCAATACATTTTACATATAGAGTCAGGAAATCGGGTAAGCTTTTTTCCTTCCATACTTTACATCGACTGAGCGTTTTTACAAAGCCCCTTTATGCATTCGCTTTACAATTAGAATGTGGGTTATTTTTACAAAAAGGCAGGCTCTAGGGGTAAATTAATACCCCCAGCCGACCCCTCCACCCCCCAAAAAACCAGTGTTCGGAAACCTTCTAAATGTATGCGGAGAGATAAAGAAACTTTCTTTTTATCTCCTTCTTGATAACAGACATCAATAACCGCCCTTTGGTGGTTATATAACTTGGCAAGATTTCCTCAGGTGCAAGAAAAAATTTACGAAGAGATACAGAGCGTTGTTGGGATAGACGGAGAAGTTACACCGCACAATCTCGCAAAGCTTCACTATCTCAAGGCGTCTCTCAAGGAATCATTAAGGTAAAACATACTGAAAACAATTCGCTGTAAAGTTTTGTTTGTTTTTCTGCGTTTTGACGGGCTTTATTACAGCTGTATTTCGAGGGTTTAGTTCATATAATAGCGAGTTAAAGCAAAAGCGTTTTATTTCAGTGTAGAAGTACGTACTGTGCGGCGTTTACCCTCTTAGAATATCTTGACGCTGCCAGATTTGTTACGTTCATTGGTGTCTTTGCCCTGATAGAGACGAATAACCCAAAAATTTAGACGAAACCACTTCCTAAGATTGCAAGAATCCACTTCCGGTTGACTTGCGTCTCTCAAAAATGCCTTTGCTTAAACTCCCAAATATTGGCAAGTTTAAGGTATTTTAATCTAATTTAATTTTATCTATGCAGGCTGAACCCTACTGTAGGAGCCCTTGCAAGGATATTAGACCAGGACGTTGCCTTATCTGGATATACTGTTCCTGCAAATGTAAGTACTACACTAAGTACACCTTACTAGGCAGATGGGCGTTTTTTATATTTTAGGGGTGGCGGGATTGTTTCTTTTATTTTATGTCGTTGTTGTTGTTGTCACGCATGGCAAATTATACGCAAGCTCATAAGATTTGTCAAAAACCCCTCACAGATCGGTGCTCTGGTTAATTTTCAATTCGTATTATTGGGATTGTTGCTAGGGAAAATTCTGGCCGTATAACTTAAACTCCTTTTGCCATGCATTAGCCATTTTATAGAACAGTACGTATTGGCTATATACAGATGCAAATTATGACGTCATCGGACCACACCCTTGATCACGTAACCTGAAGCGAAAACGTTTAAAATCTCGGACGTTCACCATCTTAATTGCTGTTTTTTCGTGGATATATGATATTTTTAATTCAATTCACATTAAATTATGCTTAGATTATGTTTGTTTTCCTTCAAACTAAATTTCTAACCAGAATAGAAGTGTTGAAATTGTGATAATTTGTTTGATGGAATAGACTTCTTTACCGTTGCTCAAAGTGTCACCCAGGAGCGAAAAACGTATTTGCGTTCATTAGCCGGGGTGATGGGGATCAGGTATAAAATTCAAAAGTGCGGGGATTAAGTTGTTGTCCATTCTCTCGAGGTAATGAATTAAGGAAAGAATCCGCGGTGATATTCCTTATTTGTGCTGATTAATGGTTCACATTGGTTCTTCCAGACCATCGTACTAATGGAATTCTACTGCTGTGCATTGTCTGGAAAATATTATAAAGACTCTCTCGACTTTCAACCTGAGCGCTGGCTGAATAAAGACAAAGACGAAAATCACGCCTTTTCCAATCTTCCATTCGGATTTGGAACCCGTATGTGCCTTGGTAAGAGACCTTCGTTAGTTGAAATAGACTACGTTCAGTCTCTTTTATCGCCGCTAGACTATCGCGCGTTCGACACCCTTCACTAAATCTGAAGAAAAAGAGCGACTGCTCGCAGTCTAGCTTTAAAAATTTGTTCGGACCTTCAACTGGTTTACACTAGGTTTTGTCTATGAACAGGCTAAGTTAGCTTAAGTTTCAAATTTCCCAGGAATGCTCACCTTTACGGGTTTATATTAACCTAACCTTCACTCTTTACCTTGTCTTTACTCTTTGCATTGTCCCGCCTCGAATAGCCTTGCTAGCTGCGGCCAATACTTTTGTAATTTTATTTGTTTATTAATAAAGTTTTGTTGTTGTTGTTTGTTGTTACCTCGCTCCGTGGGCTCTGTTTAGTTTGTTGTTGTTATTAAATTTGCCAAAACGTTTTATTCAAAAGCATGGTTGATTGTCTTGTTCGGTTTTAGGACGTCGCGTGGCTGAGTTGGAGTTGTACATTCTTGTCTGCAAGGTATGTGTTGTAGGGGTTTTTATGCGCAATGTTTCGTTGTCCGATCCTTTTAAGTATTTTTCAAGGACATTGAACTTGGTATTTAGGACGACGAGAACGCGAGGGAGGGAGCTCATCGCGTTCTTGTACGTCCGATTACTTCATGCCTTCTTTTTCCCACGTTTGGATCGTAGGTTGGTGAAGGCTGTTTCTCTACATCGCTGTCCGTAAAGCAATAGTTTCAAATTTTATCTGGGAGAAAAGAAGTTTCCTTGTCATTTGCTTATTACGAACAAAATTGAGGGAGAGAGGGGTAGGGTACTTATTCAAGGGGGTCACTCGGGTGGGACACTTATTTGCTAGTTGCTTGGTTGTCATGGGAGGAGACATCTTAGTAGTTATAGTTAGTATCAATCCTTTATAACGATCCAGTTGCCTCAAAATTTTTCTATGATTTTTCTCTTGCAGTTGCTTCAACGATTCCGTTTAGAGTATCACCACGAACCATTAGAGATGTACCAGAAATTGTTTGCCGTTCCGGATAAACCGGTTAAAATCAAGTTTGTGGACCGGCTGTGATTAGTAGCATACACCTGTATGTGTACTATCCTGCATGGTTTTGTGCTTCACGTCTTTATAGAAACAGTAACCATTATTCTGTGTTTTCACTCACATGGCCAGCATCTATGCAAATTTATCGGAACAAAAGAAAGCGTTTACATAAGAAAAGAGTTCAACTCTCACAGGAGTGGTTTGGGACACCAACGTGGCCACCGTTTTATTGTTTTGGGACACCAATATGGCCGCCGTTTTATTGTTTTGGGACACCAACATGGCCGCCGTTTTATTGTTTTGGGACACCAACATGGCTGCCGTTTTATTGTTTTGGGACACCAACATGGCCGCCATTTTATTGTTTTGGGACACCAACATGGCTGCCGTTTTATTGTTTTGGGACACCAACATGGCCGCCGTTTTATTGTTTTGGGACACCAACATGGCCGCCGTTTTATTGTTTTGGGACACCAACATGGCTGCCGTTTTATTGTTTTGGGACACCAACATGGCCGCCGTTTTATTGTTTTGGGACACCAACATGGCCGCCGTTTTATTGTTTTGGGACACCAACATGGCCGCCATTTTATTGTTTTGGGACACCAACATGGCCGCCGTTTTATTGTTTTGGGACACCAATATGGCCGCCATGACGTCATGTGAAAACACACAATTCTGTAAAGTTTGTAAGTAAGTAAGTATTAATAGACGTCGAACTTTTTATGAGCTGCACCTACAATGTAATAGTACACTCTGGCTTAATTAGGGGTGCGTTCGAATGATCGTATTCCGGAATAAGAATCCGCAAAATTTTTGTTGCTGATCTCTAATACCGGCGTACTTTTTGTGCCACTTAAACGCTACAATCATTGGGATATCTTATTTTAAGCAGGTTTCTAGTTATTGAAAAGCAATGAACGCCAAAATGAGTGATTTTTAGAGTAAATTCAATTTATTCTTGTTCCGAAATACGGTCATCGAATACGCCCTAAGTACATGAAACTTTCGGCGTTTGAATCAATTAAGAACGCCTATTTTAATTTGGAACGGCTCAGCCGTTCTTTCCGGGGAGTTTAGCGCTAGTAAGGCTCTCAAATTTTGTCAATAAAATCCTTTTGTATGCAGCCTTAGATTACAATTTATTTTTTTCAAAACAGCCGTTTTAGCAAAAATACTGAACGTTAGATTCGCATACAAACACTGTATTTTTTCTCGCGGTTGCCTACCCGACAAGATGGCTTCCAAAACCGTAATAAGTCTATTGCAGCAGATATTCTTTATATAGCGGTTCTAATCAGTTGAGTGGTATGTTTGTCTATTCTTGCTCTGTTTTTGAGGCAGAAGAGCAGTTACTTCGTCTCGCATAACGTGTGAAATCTTCCCTGCCATTTTCTCCAGCTCTACCCTCCTAAATAGCTGCATCGCGCGACTTCTTTGCGTTGTGTCCGCTTTCCTTGTTTTTGCCCATATCGATACCATTGATGTCAGTCGTATCGATATCAGCAAACGTCTTCCAAAATTGATTACTGCTTCCTGGCCATGGAGAATTAGCCGGGGGATTTTGAAAAACAAACATTTCGAATAAACAATTTCATGATGGATTTTGCACCTTTCCTTCCCTGCGGCTCGCCATTGTTCTTTTCTCCGAATACTCTGGCATGCGACATTCAAAGGCGATCAAGCAACCTGATCTTAACAGGTTTGTCTGGAACAGTAACTAACTTTTGGCGAGGCTCCAGAGGCTCTTGGTGACACGATTCCACGCGAAAACGCTGAAGAAACTATGGGGGAGAGAGAAAGACAAAATCTTGTCATTTTCTTATTTTTTTGGATTCCTCCTTTACTTTCAAAGCTGCTAAGCAGTTCGTTATGTCTTTCTTTTCAGTATTCGTTAATTTCTTGGCTCTTACATGTGCTGTTGAATACTACAAAACATCTAAACAGTGCTTTCAATTGGTTATTTTCGCGGTCATTTCGTTATTTTCGAAGTAGGGTGCTTCAGGATTCAATAGCCTGCGTTGTAGACAGTCTAAATCCCTGATATAGACTATTTATTAAAAGCTGAATCATTGGATAATGCAATTCTAGAGCTGTGATTGGCTTAGCCATCATGGTATATGACATTATACCATGCTCTTCAATGGTAACTGCACGCGTCTGCTCAAAATTAAAAACAAGCTGAAAATCGGTTGGTTTTACAAATAAAGTCGGGAAGAATTCTCGTTATTTTGTGGGCATTTTTAATAAAACAATTATTCCACTCGCGCTTGTTGGATATGAGATGATTATAGCCAACTGGGCGCTACGCGCCTCGTTGGCTATAATCATCTCATATCCAACGCGCACTCGTGGAATAATTGTTAAATAGACTATTTTTATATACAGTTCTCTATCAGGGCCTCGAGTGACAAGTACGGCTGCTACGTACGCAGGCTAGAATTCAAGGGCTCATGTGAAAATTCTGACAAATGAAAAAGGTTATTTGACTCATTGAAGCCGGACTGTGGAAAGAGTTCTGCTTCAGTTGGTATCGTCATGATTCTAGATGGCGACACCGAGGGACTGTGAAAGTTACCCATATAGCATTATGCGAAAATGAGAACAAAAATGGCCGAACATAGATGCTTACTTGGCAAAGAAATACATAGATCTCCAACTCAGCTACACGACGACCTGCAAAAAAGATCAGTAAATCATAATTCTAAAATAGATCTTCAATTCAGCCATGTACTGTCAAACGTTTTACAATGTAGTAAACGCTACGTGCGCTGCGATTGGTCCGTCTCAATTACAGTCGACTCTCTCTTAACGGACACCTCTATAAGACGGACACCTAGAGTTGGTCCCTGCCTTTCTTTACTCCCTTTATTTGACTCTCCATAAGACAGACATCTCTCTAAGACGGACAGTTACTGCCGGTCCCAAAGGTGTCCGTCTTAGAGGGAGTTGACTGTACACCAAACTCGACTCGACACAACTCTCGATTTTGTACTTCTATTGATTGTACTTCACTCGTTTCCCCTGTTCTTAATTCTGCCGTTACAATGCAATTCTATACTTGGTCGCCAAGATAAGGTACTCCGGATTCTGGAATCGGGCAAATTTTGGCTTGTGGATTCCGGAATCCCGGGCTTTGGATTCCGGAATACAGCTCAAGGAATCCGGAATTCCCCTAACGAATGAAATCCGGAATCCCTATTCCACTTTCAAAGAATCTGGACTTCAATCCTGGAATCCGAAATCCACTCCCTCGAGTCGGCAATCCAAGATTGTCTTTAGTTAACTAGCCTGATAAAACAGCCCGCATTTCACTGGTTTCCCCGCGAAATGATGTCTGAGAAATGAGCGCAGAAATTTCATACTGATGACGCGTCACTATCCAGATCTGGGTATAGCTTTTTCGTGCCGCGTGGGAAATTTGCTTCAACCAAACAGAAGCACGACCCAGATCCGGGTAGTGACGCGCCATCAGTATGGAATTTCTGCGCTCATTTCTCAGATGTCATTTCGCGGGCAAACCAGTGTTGGCGTCGTGAAATGTCGGCTGTTTTCTCAAGCTACCTTGCCCGAGGCGAACTAGGGACATAACAAAGGTCGCACGTCTGCTTGGTCACGTTACTAAGGGAACGTTCGATTGAGAAACATGGATTCAGATTTTCAAATCCGGATTATAAATTGGCAATAAAACGCGAAATCCAACGCTGAAATCTAAATCCAGGGATTGGATCCCTTCGATTGGGAAATCTAATTTCCAAATCGTTCTGATATCTGCTTGATCGACTAGAAAAAGCAATCTTCATTGCAGCAGACAGAAGGCTATTAAAGTCGATTAAGTGGACATAGTCATCACGTAATTAAATGATTGAACCTACACTTTTGATGATGTTAGTTCCTTACCTACACACATACGGGTTCCAAATCCAAATGGCTGATTAGAAAAGGAGTGAATCTCATCTTTGTTTTCTCTCAGCCATCGTTCTGGTTTAAACTCCAAAGGTTCTTTAAAGTACTTTTCGGAACGCGCTGTGCAGTATTCTTGAAAGAAAACAAAGGTCTACAAAAATACAAGGCACATTGTGAAAGCTATTAAACCAACAAGGCGCCAAACTTTTAAGCGAGTTCAGGCAAGTGGTTATTAAAAAGCTTTTCTTTAGGGGTCAAAAAAAGCCTGAGCCATACCCAGATTAGTCTCCTCCCGGGGAGAGCATACACGACGAGCATACCCTCCATGCGAGAACCCCCCCCATCCCCCTTCTCAGTCCTTGTCTAAGTGATCAATCCTGTATATTCCAATTCATAAGAGACAAAATCGTAAACTCATTCACTAGTCGAACCATGGCCTTAATATTTTTTAAAACCTTAAGATTATGATACTAGATTGGGCAATATCGTTATCTTTATACCATAATACCCACCAGAAAGTCTACATATTACCTTTTACAAGTTTTCAACATACTAATGTTTAGAGGAATACGTCTATAAACTTAATAGTTTGCCAGTCATCTCTTTTGTGTGGGTAAATTTTGCCGAGTGTGTTGGACGTAAAAACGGTTAAAGGTGCTACCGAAAGTTGCAATCAAGTCTTACTTGTGCTGGGACTTTGTATCCTGATAACACGACATCCTGTTCCAGTATTCGCAGGTTCACTCCAGTCACAGGAGTTAACCTGCGGTAAAATAGAGAAACCATGGAACAAATCAAGCATCACTATTTTATTTATTTTATTTTGGTTATTAAATAAATTGTACCCTCAAAGGTGTGATCACCTACAACGTTAACGATGTTCTGAGCAGGAACAGACCACAAGCCACGCACACAGCCCTGTCTCCACGTTTCCCGAATGGACACCATTATCCTGTTTTCTTGCTTAGGGTTTGCAGAGCAACTAATTTGTAGTGGAGGTAGAAAAGCTCCGTCGATTTTGTGTCGTGTTTAACGTTTAACTGCTTGGTTCCCATCCTAGTCCCCAGGCCAGTTTGCGCTATAGGAGTAGGCGGAGGCGGCTTGGAACCGAGCGCGCGCAAATTCTCCCGACAAGCTTGACATGTGACGTCACATTCGAAATCGCCAAAGACGATTGGGAACGAGGCTGGGCGAATTCTTCCGACAAGCATTACAGGCGAGGAAAGTTTTTGAAATCACCGAGGTCGAATGGGAACAAGGCTCCTTGGTTCCAACATGATATTGTCGTTCCAGTCGAATTTCTCCATATCACTATGTAATGGTAAAATCACTATCCACTGAGTGGGTTAGATGTAAGGAAAAATACGTAATTACGCTATTCACTGGATACAGACTTTCCAAGTGGTTAGCAGTAGCTACCTTTCATTGCAGTGAAAAAATGAAAAAAACCAAGCTTCCATTGGGGTTAAATATAGGCAATACGGTGCGCACCTCATTGACTCCCTGGTGAAAGCCTTGAGGTATGACACTTTAGCAAGATGTTTTGTTGTGACATCTCCATCCTTCCCAACAACACTCTCTACCTCTTGGTATATCTTGTCTTGGATGTGAGGGTATTTTCCCAGGTTATAGATCATCCACAGTACTGAATTTGATGTCTGGTTAAAAAAAAGGAAGAAGCAAATGACCCTGAAGAATCTAAATTCCCCTTATCTGTTAGGACTCGCAAACTTAGCAAACTATGAAGCAAGCTGCTTTCGTCAATGAGTTGAGCCAGGCCCGAAAGATGCTCATCATGATTAGTCGACGTCTCGTCCGGAGGTAACAATATTGGCCATTTTGGGAATAATATGCCGATTTTGTCGAATTTTACGTCATAAAACTGTAGTTGCCCTTTGTAGCGCTTCGTTTAAATCGCGATACAAGAGTTTCCTAAGCCCTCGAGCTTCAGTCATTCCAAAAAAACCTGTAAAAACTATATGAACTCGAGCTGTTACTTACCTGTGACGTCATCCAAAATGTCGGCCACATAGCCGTCATTGGGTGGAAGTCCAATCTTTTCCTAGAGGCTGTGTTATCGTTGTCCAGCGGGCGGTCAACGGCTAAGCTACACAAAGTACGCATCTGTTGCACAAGGGTGATGCGGCCCAGTTCTTGGAACAAAACTCATAAAAGCCAGAAAGCTTCCATTTTAACCCATTACAGCGATTTTCGTATGACCTTGAAATCAAAACGCGCGAACAAAACAGAAACAACAAACGAACGGAAATAGAGCGATTTGATTGGTTTATCGAACGGATACAAACGCGCGTGGCTTTTGGTTGGTTAAGCGAACGCTCGGGTGAAAAAACTTCATGCCCGAGAACTTTCTAGAAATCAATCGATACTTCGCTTTGACGTCATACTGCAACACGATTGGCCAATCGAACAATGCCTTCTCCATATTAGGGTTTTCTTTGGCGGGAAAACGAAGAGGCCATGTTTTGATCTTTTCATCCATTGGCTGATAAAACAAATAACGTAACGTACACTTACCGAAACCATTTTTCAAGGCAACACGAAAATCGCTCTAAAGACATTTCAGTGATGCATATCTACATGTATGTTTGTTGGAGCATTGCACTCACCGTGTCAACTCCAGCCATTATCATATCAAGTGCCATGCCATTGATTTCTTCTGGCGAAAGTTCCCCCTTTGTTATCATATATGTTAACAGCGAAACAACTAAAATAAATGGATAAATAAATGAATTAATAATTATTCTAGTTTGATAAAGAAATGATTTTTTAGAAATTTCCAGTCAGCTTATTTTTCCATTTATGCTCTGATAAAGAGAAAAAACTATGCTATTGTTTTCTAGTTTGGTTTTTGGGGCAAAGCACCGGGGAGGGGATGGGGATGTGCCGCTGAATGGGGTCGCATTTTCACGACTGGATTGACTATAATCGGGGTCGCATTTTCAGTAGAGTTACTAGAATTGGGGGGACACATTTTCGGATTTTTTGGGGTAAGACAGTTCTTCATATTTACGGTTAGCAAACGTACCAGAATGTTTGTCCTAATAGGTGAAAAATAAAGTGTTCTTCATTCCATTTAAAAAATGGGTTAATTCATAAAACTAAAAAGGGACTTAGTTGGGATCGCGAAAATTACATGTTTGCCCAAAATTAAAAGAGCTGTGTCACGAAATTCAGCCAAATTAGGTAATTGCAAAATGCTCGTTAAATTAAGAGAAACGTAAAAATAACCGCTTAAACTTTAAAGGAAGGTTAAAATAACACAACAGAAACAACAGATGCCACGGATGGGCAAAACTGAAGAAGATTGAAACGGACTGAAATTAGGGTTTTTTGAAAACTGCTCAGCCTAACAGTTTTTCAAAGTTGATCTCCGCTGTTTGCAACTTCAAAAATAATGCTCAGGAGACATATTTGTTTGTCTCGAATCTCTGCTTGTGTCATTTATAAGTAATTTCTTTGCTTACTTTAAGTTCCATAGCGATTGAGGGCGAGTAACTGGCAAAATTAAACAAAATGAACTAGACTGCTGTGACACAGCCCCTTTAAAGTGACTAAGATGGGGTCTATAATTGGCCACAGAATAGACTACAATGGGGTAGGGGCTCTGAGAGGCCAGCGGCACATACCCAGCAAAAATTAACCCAAGTACCCCCCCCCCCCCACCCTCCACCTTGAGGCAAACCACTACTTACAATGAGCTCACTTACTATGATGTTGAATATGTAAGCGGTTCAAAAACCCTACACTTTATGGCTAAATACATTTCCTTCTTTCTTTTCTTCTTCGGCAATTCCTGACGGTTGCTAGCCTCCCACGCAGGCGTTTTTAGGGGAACTCGTATTTAGGGAAGAAATACGAGATTCCTTGACGCCTACGTGGGAAGCCTACGTGGGATGCTAGACAATTGGCTAGACAATTGCCCAAAAGGAAAAATTCCTTGTAAATGCCCGAGGGGAGGGGAGGCCGGGGATGGGTGCGCGTGGAACTCACAGAGCCATTACCTCATTCGGCAACCTCAACTCCTTTTCATCGATTTTAAGATTCTAAATCACGGCTTTTTCGAAGACTAAATTTTTACATTTCTCACTAAGAGAACGACTGCGTTTATCTCGAATTACCTTGTGGCCCGTCAGAAGAATTAAGTCCCTTTTCCGCCTCTTTTTTTAACTCCATTCTTGTTTGGTTTACAAGATCCTGACCGATGTCGAAAAGATCGTCAGAGGCCTTAAGGAACTTCTTCAATGTTGGTGTCTCGAAATACTGAGAAGCAACTTTCCCAACTGGATTAAAAGTCAGCTGCTGAGAGAGCTCGAAGCGCTTACGAGCTGTGTTAATGAAATGTAAACCTTGTTTATTTGTCGGTTCCTCGTATAGCCCAAGACGAGCGTCGAATGCAAATGTTCCTACACCTGGAAATAAAAAAGCCAGTTTTTTTATGTAACGATGAATAAAGGAGAATACATAATAATCACGGTGAGTAAAGGAAAATAAGACTTCTTCAGTCGAAGAGTCGATTCGGAGAAAAGAAAAAAAATAGGAGTCCAACCTAAGTCTCTCTCGTTAACAGCCTACATTCTCTACCACAGAACTACAGGAGACTTATGGGAGCTAGGTTCATTTAATTAGGGTTATGTGACAAACATCCTGCATACTTCTAGGACCCAGGCAGTCCTTCGGGTCGGAAGGAGCGGCGCTACGAATGTTGTACTAGGACTAGACACTCAAGCGTGCAGCGATCTGGATGTCACCAACGACCCTGGCCCAAAAAGTTTTTCTTGGATTCGTTTCAAAATGGCTTAAGGCTAGACTTTTTTCTCCTATTGCAAGTAGCTGGAAGCTGCACGGTTGCGAAACGAAACCAGCTCCCAGGTAGCTTCTTAGCTCAATTGGTAGAGCGCTGCACAGGCATCGCAGGGGTCAGGGTTTCGAATCCCGTGCAAGCCTGAATTTTTTCAGGGCTTCTTTTTCGCAACTGCAATGAAGATCTTCTTCTCATTTAATTCTTTCTTCGCTCAGCAGTTCTAATATGTTTTGCGTATATTCAATGTTTCATCTTCGTCCTTTCACGGGTTTATAACGAAGAAGTCTGTATCGAAGATGTCAATGGTTCGAATCCTGTAAAAGCCTCAACTTTTTTCAGACTCTCGCTTCGCAACTGCAAAAGTTGCCTCCGTAACTGCGGTGATCTTCTTATATTTGATTGTCATATAATTGTTCATTGATAACTTGGGTTTCTTGGGTTGTTTTAGCGACTGAGGTTTTTTCCTGCTTGATTTTCGAATGGAATGGAACGTAGAATGGAATGTCGTGGATTAGAGGACAACAAGACGCGCCCTCTTTACATTGTATATTAACATGTTAACAGTAAGCTCGGACGTCAGCATACAAGGGCGCCATTGGCAGCTCACTTAACCTCACCCATAGCCCATGATATCACTGCCCATTGTCATTTATCCTACCGAGGTAAGATGACCATGATTGTCGGGTAGTCAGGTCCGACACGTGGGTGGGTGGGTTGAAGTCGCCAAGAATAAAGAGCTGTTTGTCCAATGAGACTTGCTGCACTACGTAGCTGATCTCCTCACAGCCAGAACATTGCCTTAGTTTCCTGATCAGCGTTGAGAGTAGGGGCATGGGCACTGATGGCAGTTGCTTTTCCTGTAAGAGTTCTAAGCAGAGTCAGCTACAGGAGTGGTGATACAGTCAAGTGACATGTTGTGGACTGCATAGCTAACTCCGTACATACATACATAAGCTTTATTTATCCTCGGATTTTAGTGTAGCTTACATAGCTAGTATCTCCGATCCTAACTAATTTAAAAGTTACAACATATATAATATAATATTAATTAATGTAGTATTAACTAAAACCGTGCACTAACAATTTGCGCTTAAATTCACTATAATCTACAGTATAATTATCCGTGCTATTTAAAACAACTGATCAAGTTAAGATCTACTGCTTACTCTATACTAATAATTACTAATATTTTATCACTTCCTAAGCCGTCTACAACCACATATGGTCTAAATTCCTTTAGCTATTCATCTGTTAAGTACTGGAATTCTCTACCTTACCACTTTAGAAATACCAAAATGGAGACATTTGAATATACAAATCATCATATTTTGTATGCTCCTGTTGGCTAAACCACACACACCAGCCTTGTCTAAAAGAGCATCATAGTTCGAGTCCCAGTCCTTTAAAACAAATCTTAAAATACGTCTATTTAAGGTGTCCAGATTGACAGAATCTTCTGAATTACAAAAGTGCCATATCATTGAACAGTAGTGAAAATGGGGTAAGATAAACGCTTTATAAAGGCGAAGCATAATTTCAGATGAAATAAGTTTGCCAAATCTTTTGAAGACACTGAACTGATTATTTATTTTTTTGCACACAGAGGATATGTGATCCTTGAAATTAAGTTCATTGTCTAGTGTTATTCCAAAAAGATCCAGGCATCTTGTGGTTAAAAAGGAGAAAGGGTAATCGGTTTTGCCAAGAACCATCCCTTGATGTTTAGCAAGGTTTGCTTTCATCCCATTGTCTTCGAACCATTTATTTGCTATTTGTACATCGATCATGATTGATCCGCCGTTCCAATGCTACTGGGTCTACATCAGATGAGTGCAGTTGGCAGTCATCGGCATAAGTGTTTAATTTTACAGACTTAATGTGAAAGATGAGGTCGTTGAGGAACATGTTGAAAAACATGGGCCCCTGGACGCTGCCTTGAGGCACGCCCCGCTTCACACTCATCCAATCCGAATAAGTATCATCAATTTTCACTCGCTGCCTTCTATCCGTCAAGTAGTCACCGATAAGGGCGCAGCTGGATTCGTGCAAGCCATACGCTTTCAGTTTTGCTAGTAGCAAAGCATGAGGTATGGTGTCGAAAGCCTTTGACAAATCCATTGATATAACCGCCACGATCTCTTTATTGTAAAGGCGGCCGTCTCCTCCTTTCTTTGATGTATTCAGATTTAGCCAGAAGTGTGTCCTGGAGAACACGGTCGACACAGCTGCTGTTCTCCTATGGCCGGTTTCCCGTTCAGTTAGTCAGTCAGTCTAACGGTGTAAAATTCAATATGGCTAACACTAGCTTAGTGCGCGGTATACATCCTAACCATTGTCATTGTGGCTAGCTGCGCCATTCCCTTCCCGCCACAAGGAGGCTTGTGGTTGCCATTCTTCCAACGTGGGCCGTCCGTTCAAAGATCTAGACTTACATTAATCTAGATTAATATCCACTATTTTGGCAAACTTACATGGTATATAGATAACCTATAACAACCGCAAGGTGAAGTGATCTCGACACTAAACGTAGTTTGTTTCAAGCGTAACAAGAAGCCAACTACTTACCCTCCATTGACCATTTGCACAGTTCTCCTTCCAAATCAAGGATATGATCATTTGGTCCACATTGTTCCTTCAGCTCAACAAACCTGGCGATAGCGTCCTTAGTCACAGCTTTGAAGTTTTCGATGTTTTCTTCCACTATTTTAGGACGCAAAATTTTTGGTGAGATACTGTGTCGCAGTCTGTACCACTCTTGATCATTTCTGAAATATATATGAGCAAATCGTGCTAAGACTTGAAACCTTCCTGGCTACTGATGATTTAAGCGCGTGGAACCGAAGTTGCATTCATCTTCTGAACTTGACATGTTTTTTTTGCACTCCTCTTCAAGGAGTGTGCCTACATTTGACAAAGTAAGCGAGTTGGAAAAATCGCGAAAAAGATTGAAAGAAGGCGATTTCACTTTTTGTTTAGCCTAGGAATAGACTCCTCGTTTAGCGAAATACAGTCGACTCCCGAGTAACTCGAACCCTCTGTAACTCGAACCTGCCGCTAACTCGAAGCAATTGTCATTTCCCTTCAGATCGTTTTCTATGTAATTTTACCCTCGATAACTCGAACTCCCGATAACTCGAACTTTCTCCTATTTCCCTTGAAGGTTCGAATTATCGGGAGTCGACTGTAGGTCTTAATATCGCCAGCACATGGGAATGGGGGTCCCCTCCAAGGAGTCTGGCCCCAGGCTACTCTATGATACAAAGAGGCCTCTACGGAGCGGAGCCAATGATCACTGGAGCGTAGGCGAAAATTCAAAACTCGAGTTGAAAATATTGCGAGGTCGAGGTCGAATGAGTATCAAGGGCGAAGTTCTAATCTCAGACTCAAACAAATGTAGAGCACTGGTTCAGGTATCAAAACTACTAAAAAATAACAGCGTATGAAAATTAGTTCGGTGTTTAGTTTAATTCACTGCGTCGAGTTGAAAATTGCATGGTTCTACCGTGAGGTGGCGTCTTGCGTGATGGCAAACCCGTTGCAAGACTACAAATTTTTGAAGAAAAAGGTAAAGGTGACGAAGAGAGTTGAAAATGTACAACGAGCAAGGTCAAATAAAAATGCAGCCTTTTTACAGACCCTCCATTTTCTCTTCAAACTCCGTCGAGCGTGGGTGATAAACTAGTAAATAAACCGCAGGGGATATATTGGCCCCTGCGCAAGGATGACTCGCAAATTCGTGAAGCGTTCCAAATTTTTAAAAGAGCGGCACGCATTATACTTGATGCTGAAAGACTTACACCATCAGTCGTATTATTCAATAATCTAACGTGCTCCCTTTTACTAAACAATCTCTAATAAAGAGATGTGCACTAGTGTATAAGCTGGTCCACAATTATATAATACGCCTATATATTTGAATAGTCTATTAGTCAGAAATTCTGATATTCATAATCGAGCAACTAGACATTCAAACATAAATCTGGTGTCCCCCAAGTATAAACGAAAACCAGAAGGAGGTCGTACTTCCACTAGTAGGACTATAAAGGACTGGAATTGCATGAATGCCAATATAAGAAATAATGGCTCGCTAAATGCTCCTTAGCAGGGGCGGATCTAGGGGGAGGGTGCAGGGGGTGCGCACCCCCCCCCCGCCCCGAGATGACCTGCAAAAAAAAAGAGACTATGTGCTTTATTGGTGTTGAAGTAGAGCAAGAGACGAGTGCACCCCCTCCTAAAAAAACTCCTGGATCCGCCCCTGCTTAGACTGTAATTGTAAATACGTTTTATGTTGGTTCTTTATCCATCTTAGTCATAATGTCTTTTTAGAAATTATGTATGACATTTTATCTTAAATTATCATTTAAAAATAGTATATTTTATATTTTTTAGTTGTAGAATCTATATTTGTAATTTGTTTTGAGGGCCACAGAGTCATCAGTGTCTTAGGACTACTGTTAAGTGTTTTACCCTCTTTAAATAAAGCCTATTATTATTATTATTATTATTATTACCGCCAGCGCAAGGGGGTAGGGGTGGGAGAAGGCGCGCTCACTTTGCTCGAAAAGAAAAATAAAACAACGTCTGTGTACAGGCCAATAAAAGTGTTGGGCTCAAAAGCCACAAGACGAGAGTTAAAACGTGAAATCTAAAAGATGAGTGTAAAATTTTGAATTCAACTATAAAATCCACCGGGTTCGAACTCGACGATCTTTATGCAGAAAACAGGGAACTGCAAACAGTACAAATCCACCAATAATAAAAACCGATAAAAAGGACCCTTTTTGTCTACTTACGAAAAGAATATGCCAGGGTTGCCAGTCCTCCGTCTTTGATGTTCAGTCATATGATCAAACAAGTTTGGCCGTTTAGGATATTTTCCTTCTGCGCGAAATACTTTCCCGAAGTCATTAGGGTCCATTAAATGCACCGTTGGTCGACCCAACAATTCTTCCTTGTATATGGGCCCATATTTCGCAAACATGACATCGTGCATTTTGTATGGCTTCGTAAAGCCTTTGGTTTTCCGATAAAATTCAACGATCGACCAGAAGCTTTTCCCGGGTCCTGGGATCTCTTCGAACGGACGTACAGCGGCACTGTCTCCCACATCACGCTTTCTCGAGGTTTCATCTGTTTTCGGCAGTGCCGCCGCAGTGTTCTGTGATCTCAAAATGACAGCTGGAACAGTTTTAAAAGACTGGGACGGCGGTAGAAGGGCTCTGCAAAACATAGCAAAACCAATGCAGTGATCTCAGATACCGGAAAGCACTAGATAACATCGACCTAAACCAGATGAGTCATCCTTATGTCAGCGGCGTCTTACAAAATGACCGAAATGATCCCGTCGACCTCCGCTCACTTGATCGATCGCAGCGAGTATGTTATATTTGAGTTAAAAAGTTTGAGTTATAAAAAGGTCAATATTGTAGCCTGCGAACAGCAGACGCATTTCCGGTCGTCACTCCTCTCCCTCCCGACGACCGGAAATGCGTCTGCTGTTCGCGGGTTTTGCTAAAAGCAGGCCCGCAGCCCACGGCCCGCGACGGCCCGGCGGCCCGGTGGCCCAGTCCTGATTTTCCACAGTTTTTTTGTCCAGCGGTAAATCCACGCGCATGTGCAGATCCGCATCGGCTTTGGGCGTGCAAAATGGACGACGGTGAGTTCGAATTCGTTTACCATTTTAATAATCATTTCAATCCTTTTCGACCCTTTCTTTCGTTGCATGTTGCTAAGTGAAAAACGTTGTCATTCTCTGTTTATTCGTCTACAGAGCCCCATAGAGAGGAAGTCCATTCTCAAACGATCTAAGTTATTTTCTAACCACAGTTTGAAAACCTCTAGCCAGGCCACCCTTTTGTGATGGCACAGTCATCACCCTCCTAGCTAGGCCAACCTTTCTCCATAATATAAAAACTTTGGTGACTTTGGCTCGCCCAGCCGGGATTAGATGAGAGTCGAACCTGAGTCACATGCTTGCTTGACAGACTCCTAGACGACTGCCCCACATCAAGAAATGACGAATACAGAAAAAAATATTATATTTGAACATTTTACCACGGAACTCCTGCCGGTAAACGCCGTTAAAGTTGGTGGAGCCTTTAAAAAGTGGCGCTTATTTGAAGATGGGCGCTAATTCAAGAATTTACAGTAATCGACTGCAGGGTTGTGTAATCAACTTGCAGGGATTTCTCACGAAAGCATCGCATTGTTACATTGAACATTCAGTAGGTAAAAATTTACGTTCTGAATAATCGTTTTCAGCCAAGAGGGGGACATTGGGGGGTACCCAATACCGCAATACCGTAAGAAAAAATGGCAAATACCGAAATACCGCGTCCAAAATCGCCTAAATACCGATACCGCATATTTTAATCACATTTATAATCGGTTCCGCATACTTATGGGAGCTTCCATCTAGCGCGTTTAATTATCTCAGGCATTTATGCACCAGATGTCCATGTTTTTTTAATATTTTGGTAGTTGGCAAATTTTTGGCAAATTTTCACTGAAAAGAACCTTTTGGTAGGTCGACCCAACAGCTAACTAACTCCAATAAAAATAACTCTTGAAAGCGCGAAAAAAAACAACAAACAAACAAACAAACCAACCAACCAAAACCCTTTCTACGCACATCTAGTGCGAGTCTGGATGAGTCTATAGTCTAGTACGTCAGTATCTCAGGGGTCAACTATCTCGACTGTCGCCGGTAAGAGGCAAACTTACCAGATTTTCCTTTTTAACTTTATAAGGCGTTTTTCAATTCTCGAAACCCGACATCTAAACTTACTCTTGTTGCGATAATGCTCGCCTCCTTCGCCCTCTTCACAAAAAAATTGCCACACAGTCAATGATGACCACGCCGTCTTCGCCGTCTCAGCGACCTCAGCCATTGTGAGAAAACGTGTAAGACCTCGAACTGCCGGCACAGGTATAGTCTGCTACACAGCCGTTTTTAGTGTCGTCACTAAAAACGGCTGTGTAGCAGACTGGCACACGTACACAGATCGAAAAGCCTGGTAAGGTAACTTGAGGCGACTCATTGTCATTGGATGCAACAACAATCACATTGTATATTATCGACCATAAAACTGTCACAAAATGACCCACAATGGTTTAATCATTTACCGTTATGTCTCAAGACTTCTAAATATTAACTTTTATTGACCTTTATGTCTTACTGTGTTTTGTTTTGCGTATTGTATCGAAAGGAAAGCGCAAATAAACGGTACCGTAATACCGTGAACAATCTTATTTCACCGAATACCGTCAGCCAAAATGATGAAAAACCGCATACCGCAGAGCTAGATGATACCGCAATACCGCACGTTAAAATTAAAATTACCGAAATACCGCATGAAAAAAAGCCCAATACCGCAATACCGTAAACCCCCATGTCCCCCTCAGCCAACTGTCATTGAGACCTTTTGCTTGCAGAAAATTTTCCATTTCTCAAAACAGGAATGAAAAGCAAAGCTAGAAACAAACAAAATCCAAAGAAGCATGGATATCCTACAACGTCCACCAGAAAACCTGATGAAGAGATCATAAACAACTTTCCAAGCACTTCAACTGTGGCCAGAAGGGCTGAGTGCGATGCCTTTGTTCCGGGGGATGAATTCTGAGAGCTCAGCATCATCAGAGTAAAAGTTGCCGTGGTGATAATTCCACCCGATAGTTGAAGGGAACATTCAAGGAGTGAACTCAACCAAAGGTTGCTTAAAGGCATGCTGGAGTAGAGCCATATTAATGAAATTGGGAGTAGTCTTGCATGTGAAGTCCATAGTAGAACTTTGAGCACCCAGGTCCTTAGAAAGTGAAAGCAGAATTACAAATGTGTTACATGGACCATGGTCAATGTACGCACAAAACAAAGATTGTAGACTATAAGAATCAAATGCATACTGGGCTATTTCTTGCTGCATTCCTTTTCCATTCACACGAAACATGTCCAAAACATCATCATGGCTCTGCAAGGTATGCGTTGTAGGGGTTTTTATGCGCAATGTTTCTTTGTCCGATCCTTTTAAGTATTTTTCAAGGACATTGAACTTGGTATTTAGGACGACGAGAACGCGAGGGAGGGAGCTCATCGCGTTCTTGTACGTCCGATTACTTCATGCCTTCTTTTTCCCACGTTTGGGTCGTAGGTTTGTGAAGGCTGTTTCTTTACATGGCTGTCAGTGAAGCAATAGTTTCAAATTTTATCAAGGAGAAAAGAAGTTTCCTTGTCATTTGCTTACTACGAACAAAATTGAGGGAGAGAGGGGTAGGGTACTTATTCAAGGGGGTCACTCGGGTGGGACACTTATTTGCTAGTTGCTTGGTTGTCATGGGAGGAGACATCTTAGTAATTATAGTTATTATCAATCCTTTATAAAGATCCAGTTGTCTGAAAAATTTTCTGTGATTTTTCTCTTGTAGTTGCTTCAACGATTCCGTTTAGAGTATCACCACGAACCATTAGAGATGTACCAGAAATTGTTTGCCGTTCCGGATAAACTGGTTAAAATCAAGTTTGTGGACCGGCTGTGATTAGTAGCATACACCTGTATGTGTACTATCATGCATGGCTTTGTGCTTCACGTCTTTATAGAAACAGTAACCATTATTCTGTGTTTTCACTCACGTGGGCAACATCTATGCAAATTTATCGGAACAAAAGAAAGCGTTTACATAAGAAAAGAGTTCAACTCCCACAGGACTGGTTTGGGACACCAACGTGGCCACCGTTTTATTGTTTTGGGACACCAACATGGCCGCCGTTTTATTGTTTTGGGACACCAACATGGCCGCCGTTTTATTGTTTTGGGACACCAACATGGCCGCCGTTTTATTGTTTTGGGACACCAACATGGCCGCCATTTTATTGTTTTGGGACACCAATATGGTCGCCGTTTTATTGTTTTGGGACACCAACATGGCCGCCGTTTTATTGTTTTGGGACACCAATATGGCCGCCGTTTTATTGTTTTGGGACACCAATATGGCCGCCGTTTTATTGTTTTGGGACACCAATATGGCCGCCCTGACGTCGTGTGAAAACACACAATTCTGTAAAGTTTGTAAGTAAGTAAGTATTAATAGACGTCGAACTTTTCATGAGCTGCACCTACAATGTAATAGTACACTCTGGCTTAATTAGGGGTGCCTTCGAATGATCGTGTTCCGGAATAAGAATCCGCAAAAGTTTTGTTGCAAATCTCTAATACCGGCGTACTTTTTGTGCCACTTAAAACGCTACAATCATCGGGATATCTAACTTATTTTAACCAGATTTTTAGTTATTGAAAAGCAATGAACGCCAAAATGAGTGATTTTTAGAGTAAATTCAATTTATTCTTGTTCCGAAATACGGTCATCGAATACGCCCTAAGTACATGAAACTTTCGGCGTTTGAATCAATTAAGAACGCCTATTTTAATTTGGAACGGCTCAGCCGTTCTTTCCGGGGAGTTTAGCGCTAGTAAGGCCCTCAAATTTTGTCAATAAAATCCTTTTGTATGCAGCCTTAGATTACAATTTATTTTTTTCAAAACAGCCGTTTTAGCAAAAATACTGAACGTTAGATTCGCATACAAACACTGTATTTTTTCTCGCGGTTGCCTACCCGACAAGATGGCTTCCAAAACCGTGATAAGTCTATTGCAGCAGATATTCTTTATATAGCGGTTCTAATCAGTTGAGTGGTATGTTTGTCTATTCTTGCTCTGTTTTTGAGGTAGAAGAGCAGTTACTTCGTCTCGCATAACGTGTGAAATCTTCCGCGCCATTTTCTCTAGCTCTACCCTCCCAAAAATAGCTGCCTCGCGCCACCTCTTTGCGTTGCGTCTGCTTTCCTTGTTTTTGCCCATATCGATACCATTGATGTCAGTCGTATCTATATCAGCAAACGTCTTCCAAAATTGATTACTGCTTCCTGGTCATGGAGAATTAGCCGGGGGATTTTGAAAAACAAATATTTTGAATAAACAATTTAGCTATGGATCATGATGGCTTTTGCACCTTTCCTTCCCTGCGGTTCGCCATTGTTCCTTCCTCCAGATATTCTGGCATGCGACATTCAAAGGCGATCAAGCAACCTGATCTTAACAGGTTTGTCTGGAACAGTAACTAACTTTTGGCGAGGCTCCACAGGCTCCTGGTGACACGATTCCACGCGAAAACGCTGAAGGAACTATGGGGGAGAGAGAAGGACAAAATCTTGTCATTTTCTTATTTTTTTGGATTCCTCCTTTACTTTCAAAGCTGCTAAGCAGTTCATTATGTCTTTCTTTTCAGTATTCGTTAATTTCTTGGCTCTTACATGTGCTGTTGAATACTACAAAACCTCTAAACAGTGTTTTCAATTGGTTATTTTCCGGTCATTTCGTTATTTTCGAAGTAGCGTGCTTCAGGATTCAATAGCCTGCGTCGTAGACAGTCTAAATCCCTGATATAGACTATTTATTAAAAGCTGAATCATTGGATAACGCAATTCTAGAGCTGTGATTGGCTTAGCCATCATGGTATGATATTATACCATGCTCTCCAAATATGGTAACTGTACGCGTCTGCTCAAAATTAAAAACAAGCTGAAAATCGGTTGGTTTTACAAATAAAGTCAGGAAGAATTCTCGATATTTTGTGGGCGTTTTTAATAAAACAATTATTCCACTCGCACTTGTTGGATGTGAGATGATTATAGCCAACCAGGCGCGTAGCACCGAGTTGGCTATCTACCATCTCACATCCAACGCGCACTCGTGGAATAATTCTTAAATAGACTATTTTTATATCAAGTTCTCTATCAGGGCCTCGAGTGACACGTACGGCTGCTACGTACGCAGGCTAGGATTCAAGGGTTCATGTGGAAATTCTGACAAATGAAAAAAGGTTGTTTGACTCATTGAAGCTGGACTGTGGAAAGAGTTCTGCCTTCAGTTGGTATCGTCATGATTCGTCATGGTATCGTCATGATTCATGATTCTAGTTGCCGACACCGAGGGACTGTGAAAGTTACCCATGCAGCATTATGCGCAAATGAGAACAAAAATTGCCAAACACAGATGCTTACTTGACAAAGAAATACATAGATCTCCAACTCAGCTACACGACGACCTGCAAAAAAGATCGGTAAATCATAATTTTAAAATAGATCTTCAATTCAGCCATGTACTGTCAAACGTTTTACAATGTAGTAAACGCTATGTACGCTGCGATTGGTCCGTCACAATTACACCAAACTCGACTCGACACAACTCTCGATTTTGTACTTCTATTGGTTGTGCTTCACTCGTTTCCCCTGTTCTTAATTCTGCCGTTACAATGCAATTCTATTCTTGGTCGCCAAGGTAAGGTACTCCGGATTCTGGAATGGGGCAAATTTTGGCTCGTGGATTCCGGAATCCCGGGCTTTGGATTCCAGAATACAGCTCAAGGAATCTGGAATTCCGATAATGAACAAAATCCGGAATCCCTTTTCCACTATCAAGGAATCTGGAATTCAATCCTGGAATCCAGAATCCACTGCGTCGAGTCCGCAATCTAAGATTGTCTTTAATTACCTAGTGTGAAAAAACAAAAGCCCACATTTCACGACGCCATCACTGGTTTCCCCGCCAAATGACGTCTGAGAAATGAGCGTAGAAATTCCATACTGATAACGCGTCACTATCCAGATCTGGGTAGCGCTTCTGATTGGTCGTGCCGCGCGGGAAATTTGCTTCAACCAATCAGAAGTACGACCCAGATGACGCGTCATCAATATGGAATTTCTGCGCTCATCTCTCAGACGTCATTTCGCGGCGAAACCAGTATTGGCGTCGTGAAGTGTCGACTGTTTTCTCAAGCTACCTTGCCCAAGGCGAACTAGGGATATAACAAAGGTCGCACGTCTGCTTGGTCACGTTTCTAAGGGAACGTTCGATTGAGAAACATGGATTCAGATTTTCAAATCCGTATTATAAATTGGCAATAAAACGCGAAATCCAACGCTGAAATCTAAATCCAGGGATTGGATCTCTTCGATTGGGAAATCTAATTTCCAAATCGTTCTGATATCTGCTTGATCGACTAGAAAAAGCAATCTTCATTGCAGCAGACAGAAGGCTATTAAAGTCGATTGAGTGGACATAGTCATCACGTAATTAAATGATTGAACCTACACTTTTGATGATGTTAGTTCCTTACCTACACACATACGGGTTCCAAATCCAAATGGCTGATTAGAAAAGGAGTGAATCTCATCTTTGTTTTCTCTCAGCCATCGTTCTGGTTTAAACTCCAAAGGTTCTTTAAAGTACTTTTCGGAACGCGCTGTGCAGTATTCTTGAAAGAAAACAAAGGTCTACAAAAATACAAGGCACATTGTGAAAGCTATTAAACCAACAAGGCGCCAAACTTTTAAGCGAGTTCAGGCAAGTGGTTATTAAAAAGCTTTTCTTTAGGGGTCAAAAAAAGCCTGAGCCATACCCAGATTAGTCTCCTTCCGGGGAGAGCATACAGGACGAGCATACCCTCCATGCGAGAACCCCCCCCATCCCCCTTCTCAGTCCTTGTCTAAGTGATCAATCCTGTATATTCCAATTCATAAAAGACAAAATCGTAAACTCATTCACTAGTTGAACCATGGCCTTAATATTTTTTGAAACCTTAAGATTATGATACTAGATTGGGCAATATCGACAGATGAACCGTTATCTTTAAACCATATTACCCACCACAAAGTCTAATATCATCTTTTCTTCATTACATTTCAACATATTACCTTTTACAAGTTTTCAACACACTAATGTTTAGAGGAATACTTCTATAAACTTAATAGTTTACCTGTCATCTTTTTTGTGTGGGTAAATTTTGCCGAGTGTGTTGGACGTAAAAACGGTTAAAGGTGCTACCGAAAGTTGCAATCGAGTCTTACTTGTGCTGGGACTTTGTATCCTGATAACACGACATCCTGTTCCAGTATTCGCAGGTTCACTCCAGTCACAGGAGTTAACCTGTGGTAAAATAGAGAAACTATGGAACGAATCAAGTATCATTATTTTATTTATTTATTTATTTATTTAATTATTTTGTTTATTAAATAAACTTACCCTCAAAGGTGTGATCACCTACAACGTTAACGATGTTCAAAACAGAAACAGACCACAAGTCACGCACACAGCCCTGTCTCCACGGTTCCCGAATGGATACCATTATCCTGTTTTCTTACTTAGGGTTTGCAGAGCAACTAAAGTATTTACTAAACGCCATAACAACATGTCATAGTAGCTATGTAAGGAAAAATAAATAATTACGCTATTTACAGGATAAAGACTTTCGAAGTGGTTATTGCAGTAAAAAAAATCAAGCTTCCATTGAAGTTAAATATAGGCAATACGGTGCGCACCTCATTGACTCCCTGGTGAAAGCCTTCAGGTATGACACTTTAGCAAGATGTTTTGTTGTGACATCTCCATCCTTCCCAACAACACTCTTTACCTCTTGGTATATCTTATCTTGGATGTGAGGGTATTTTCCCAGGTTATAGATCATCCACAGTACTGAATTTGATGTCTGGTTTAAAGAAAAGGAGAAGCAAATAACCCTGAAGAATCTAAATTCCCCTTGTATTTGTTAGGACTCGCTCAACTTAGCAAACTATGAAGCAAGCTGATTTCGTCATCCATTGGCTGAAAAAACCAATAACGAACACTTACCGAAACCATTTTTCAAGATCATACGAAAATCGCTCTAAAGACATTTCAGTGATGCATATCTACATGTATGTTTGTTGGAGCATTGCACTCACCGTGTCAACTCCAGCCATTATCATACCAAGTGCCATGTCATTGATTTCTTCTGGCGAAAGTTCCCCCTTTGTTATCATATATGTTAACAACGAAACAACTAAAATCAATGGATAAATAAATGAATTAATAATTATTCTAGTTTGATAAAGAAATGATTTTTTAGAAATTTCCCGTCAAAGTATTTTTTCCATTTATGCTCTGATAAAGAGAAAAAAAACAACTATGCCATTGTTTTCGAGTTTAGTTTTTGGGGCAAAGCCGCCAGTTACAAAAAGCTCACTTTATACTATGATGTTGAATATGTCAGCGGTTCAAATTTGGATCTTATTTTGTAACTACCTAACATTAATCTTGGTTAAGGGTGCTTTTCATTTGTAAGAACTTTTCATCACTTTTAAGATTCTAAATCACGGTTTTTTCAGGGAATAAATTTTTACATTTTTCTGCACTAAGAGAACGACTGTATTTATCTCGAATTACCTTGTGGCCCGTCAGAGGAATTAAGTCCCTTTTCCTTCTCATTTTTTAGCTGCCTTAGCTTTTGCTTCACAAGATCCTGACCGATGTCGAAAAGATCGTCGGAGGCCTTAAGGAACTTCTTCAATGTTGGTGTCTCGAAATACTGAGAAGCAACTTTCCCAACTGGATTAAAAGTCAGCTGCTGAGAGAGCTCGAAGCGCTTACGAACTGTGTTAATGAAATGAACACCTTTTTTATTTGGCGGGTCCTGGTATAGCCCAAGACGAGTGTCGAATGCAAATGTTCCTATACCTGGAGATAAAAAAGCCAGTTTTTTTAGGTAACGGTCACGGTGAATAAAGGAGAATACATAATAATTAACGCCGGTGAATAAAGGAAAATAAGACTTCTTTAGTAGAAAAGTCGATTCGAAAAAAAATATATCGCCCAATGTAAGGAATCCAAAAAAGTCTTGAATTCTGGATCCCAAGCCGTGGATTCCGGACTCCAGGTACTGGATTCCTGCCTTTGTCAGTGGAACTTGGATTTCAGATTCCAATTGTGGCTAACTACACCCTTCCCTTCCCGCCACAAGGAAGGCTGTGGTTGCCATTCTTCCAACGTGGGCCGTCCGTTCAAAGGTCTAGCCTTGCATTAATCTAGATTAATATCCACTATTTCGGCAAACTTAGTACATGGTATATAGATAACCTATGATAACCGCAAGGTGAAATGATTTCGACACTAAACGTAGTTTGTTTCAAGCGTAACAAGAAGCCAACTACTTACCTTCCATTGACCATTTGCCCAGTTCTTCTTCCAAATCAGGGATATGATCATTTGGTCCACATTTTTCCTTCAGCTCAACAAACCTGGCGATAGCGTCCTTAGTCACAGCTTTGAAGTTTTCGATGTTTTCTTCCACTATTTTAGGACGCATAATTTTTGGTGAGATACTGTGTCGCAGTCTGTACCACTCTTGATCATTTCTGAAATATATATGAGCAAATCGTGCTAAGACTTGAAACCTTCCTGGCTACTGATGATTTAAGCGCGTAGAATCGAAGTTGCATTCACCTTCTGAACTTGACATGTTCTCTTTTGCAAGCTCTTCTTCAAGGAGTGTGCCTACATTTGACAAAGTATTAAAGCGAGTTGGAAAAATCGCGAAAAAGATTGAAAGAGGGCGATTTCACTTTTTCTTTAGCCTAGGAATTGACTCCTCGTTGAGCGAAATAGGGCTAAGTATCGCCAGCAGATGGGAATGGGGGTCCCCTCCAAGGAGTCTGGCCCCAGGCTACTCTACGACACAAACAAAGAGGCCTCTACGGAGCGGAGCAGAGTCTCCCACCCTCACAAAGTTATTGTCCCGACCAATGATCACTGAAGCGTAGGCGAAAATTCAAAACTCGAGTTGAAAATATTACGAGGTCGAGGTCGAATGAGTTTCAAGGGCCAAGTTCTAATCTCAGACTCAAACAAATGTAGAGCACTGGTTCAGGCATCAAAACTACTAAAAAATAACAGCGTATGAAAATTAGTTGGGTGTTTAGTTTAATTCACTGCGTCGAGTTGAAAATTGCATGGTTCTACCGTGACGTGGCGTCTTGCGTGATGGCAATCCTGTTTCAAGACTACAAATATTTGAATAAAGGTAAAGGTGACGAAGAGAGTTGAAAATGTACAACGAGCAAGGTCAAATAAAAAGGTTGAGTTCAAAAGCCACAAGACGAGTTAAAACATTTTAAAATCCAATGATGTGAAATCTAAAAGAAGAGTGTAAAATTTTGAATCAAACTATAAAATCCAAGTGTTGAAGTTGAAACCATTTAAATGATGAATTTAGATTTCGGAGGGGATGGTACGCCATATTCCGTAAAGGAGTACAAGTCAATCGAGGGTCACTAGCCTGTTCACTTCCCGTCTCAATTCTACTAGCCTGTTTACATTCCGTCTCAATTTTCCCTGGAGTTTAAGATCGTCATGATATCTGGCTGTATCGGGAGGAAGCTTGAACAAGTTGTTGTATTGAGAAGTAAGCGTTCGAACACCGGGTTCGAGCTCGACGATCTTTATGCGGAAAACAGGGAACTGTGCATGCAAACAGTACAAATCCACCAAAAATAAAAACCGACAAAAAGGACCTTTTGTCTACTTACGAAAGGAATATGCCGGGGTTGCCAGTCCTCCGTCTACGGTGTTCAGTCATATGATCAAACAGGTTTGGCCGTTTAGGATATTTTCCCTCTGCGCGAAATACTTTCTCGAAGTCATTGGGATCCATTAAATGCACCGTTGGTCGACCCAACAATTCTTCTTTGTAAATGGGCCCATATTTGGCGAACATGACATCGTGCATTTTGTATGGCTTCGTAAAGCCTTTGGTTTTCCGATAAAATTCAACGATCGACCAGAAGCTTTTCCCGGGTCCTGGGATCTCTTCGAACGGACGTACAGTGGCACTGTCTCCCACATCACGCTTTCTGGAGACGGTTTCATCTGTTTTCGGCAGTGCCGCCGCAGTGTTCTGTGATCTCAAAACGACAGTTGAAACAGTCTTGAAATACTGGGACGGCGGTCGAAGGGTTCTTCGAAACATAGCCAAACTACTGCAGTGATCTCAGTATAGAACCTGCTACTTAAGAGCAAACAAAAATTTTGCGCATGATTATATATGCACCTATCAATGGGTTGCCCTAGGATGGGGGAGGGGGGCGGGGGGTTGCAACCCACGGGAATTAGACTTGACACCCTGAACGTCCCCAGGGTGGGAAATTTCACTCAGCCGCTATCCTGGAAAGTGAAGGACGGCAGAACGAAACTTGCTTTTTAAGTTTTTGAAGTTTTATGACAAAAAGTATTTTGTCACTCAGAGCTCCTCAGCATTGAGAAGCAATACTTGCACAAAGCCTCATTTTGAAAATATGCTTTCTACTTACTTGTTTCCACCAGATGCTGCCTTGCCACAAGATTTTGATAAAATGAAAGATCAAAAAATCATACGTTAAGACATGAAAGATTTCTGGAATTCTGTGTGAGATTTGCTAGTACACTCAAAATGTCAAATTAAATGAAATTCTGGACCACAGGTACAAAATATCTGCCCTTAGACGTTAACCCTTCTTGATGATGGCATGTCATGTTCGGGATGGCATTGCACATTTTGCATTGCTGTAAACACTGTGTGAAACAATTCAAAGGTACTGTCAGGAGTATAGCATGTGTTAAATTGCCAGCCACACTAAATATCCAGCTAGAATGTGTCTTCGCGTTCTACACTTGGGGAAAATGCAAAAAGTTTGTGGGTACCATCATTTTGTCACCAAGCAATTATTTCTCTCTGGAGACGCTCAGTGCTGCAATTAAGACTGTTGTGAGTGCCAATTAGTTCGCTCCAGGGATGGGAATTTGACTCAAAATGGAGACTTAAGGGTGGGGAAATTGACTTTTGAAAACTTCCTTTGTAAAATCGTTTTTTCCCTTACCTTTTTCGAAACAAATACAATCTACATTAACTGAAAACGTTGTAAACCTGATTTAAACCACTTAAACTGAAGAATAATTCATGTGTGTACATGTAGAGGCCAAATTACGACAAATCGGCATTGGTATTACAGCCTTTCAAGGTCGGCGCACTCCCACATGAGAAAGTAGATACTTCATGTTTCCGTCATGATGGCGTATACGTGCCAAAACCACGCGCTGAAATGACATCCTCGACAAAAGCGTTAAAGGAGAGTGACTTACTAAGGTTATCCAAAGCTTTCAAAGGTTTTTATATTATTATTACTATTTTAACTCCTGTTTAAGGAATATTACATTGCTCTTTTCGTTGTGTTACTTGACTCCAACTCCAAAAGTCACACTAGGCTCGATTTCCGCCGCACACTCAGCCCGTGGGCTCACTTCCCGAGCAGCAGCTGGTACTCGAGCCTAAAGTCACACTGACCTCAGCCATCAATAAAATTTACAAACCCAGTAATCCAACTGTTTATGTTGCCCCATGTATGGCCTGGTTGAGGTCACGTTTTTATGGAGAAAAGTTGTCCCGGATGCAAGGGCCACTCGCCTACTGGAGCTACCCGGCCGGGCGAACGTTACAAAACCTGGCGAATGGTAATACATGAGAAACAAAAAGTTGGCTCGGCTAGAAGGGTAGGGGTGGACCGCTTAGCCGGGCCACCCTTTTGTGATGGCACAGTCGGTTTACGGTTAAGTCGCCCGAAAGTCATCTCGCCAGAACTTGTGTCGCCCGAAACCAGAGATATGTCGCCCGAAATTTTTATCCAAGTAGCCCGCAATTTTATTTTGCTCAGCAACATCTTTGCATGACTTTCTTTACCGCCACAGTCATCTCCCTCCTAGCTGGGCCAATCTTTCTCCATAATATAAACACTTTGGCTGGCCCAGCTGGGCTTACATGAGAGTCAAACCTGAGTCACATGCTTGCTTGACAGACTGCTAGACGACTGCCCCACATCAAGAAATGACGCATACAGAAAAAAATATTACATTTGAACATTTTACCATGGAACTCCTGTTGGTAAATGCCGTTAAAGCTGGTGGAACCTTGGCGCTTATTTGAAGATCAGGGGCGCTAATTTGAGCATTTAGAGTAATCGACTGCAGGGTTGTGTAATCAACTTGCAGCGATTTCTGACGAAAGCAGCGCATTGTTACACTGAACATTCAGTACATAACAATTTACATTCTGAATAATCGTTTTCAGCCAACTTTCATTGAGACCTTTTGCTTAAAGAAAATTTTTCCATTTCTCAAAACAGGAATAAAAAGCAAAGCTAGAAACAAACAAAATCCAAAAAAGCATGGATATCCAACAATGTCCACCAGAAAACCTGATGAAGAGATCATGAACAACTTTCCAAGCACTTCAACTGTGGCCAGAAGGGCTGAGTGCGATGCCTTTGTCCCGGGGGATGAATTCTGAGAGCTCAGCATCATCAGAGTAAAAGTTGCCGTGGTGATAATTCCACCCGATAGTTGAAGAGAACATTCAAGGAGTGAACTCAACCAAAGGTTGCTTAAAGGCACGCTGGAGTAGAGCCATATTAATGAAAGTGGGAGTAGTCTTGCATATGAAGTCCATAGTAGAACTTTGAGCACCCAGGTCCTTAGGAAGTGAAGCAGAATTACAAATGTGTTACATGGACCATGGTCAATGTACGCACAAAACAAAGATTGTAGTCTATAAGAATCAAATGCATACTGGGCTATTTCTTGCTGCATTCCTTTTCCATTCACACGAAACATGTCCAAAACATCATCATGGCTTGCAATTTTTCCATTTTTGGCTCCTGAGCTATAATCACTGTAGCCATTGCATGGGTTTTCTGAATGCAAGTAAGCAACAAAGAAATACCATTGGGACCAACAGGAACTCAAATGTTTCTTGGTTAAATTTCGGACCAGTCAAAACTAATTATAATCAACATCAAAGGCTCAAAAATGATTCACAAACAGTTTGAGTCATGGTTGGGTCCTAGAACACAACCTATACATCACTAAATTTAAATAGTGATACCATACAATCTTTACATGTGTAAGACTCGAGACCTTGCAAACCATACCTTGTTGGGCGGTACATGCTTTGGTCAAATTAGCCTTAGACTGCGAGCAGTCCCTTAGGATGATCACGCGAGCGAGGAAAGCGCGAGCAAAGGAAATCGAGCGAAGCGAGCGAAAGCCAGTCCTGCCGAGCTTAGACTTGACTGACTGAAGAGGGACTGCTCGCAGTCTAAATTAGCCTGCGTAGCAGACGCCGGATTTTAAAGGGTAAAGGAAGAAATCTTGAGGACACGTGAGGGGGAGAAAAGGAGAGGAAGCCTCTTCTCCTCTAAGCGTGTTCCCCTCACACAGCCTGTAAAAAATAACCAGCGCAGGCTAATGTCACATAAGGGGGTGCCCCCCTCCCACCCCAGGATAAAACCTTACCTCTGTCCATAATGCGCGCCAACAATCCAACCCCCTAGAGCAGATCCCACAATCGAGGAAGTTTGACCTAATATTCCAGACAGTGCTCCTACTTGATCATGGGGAACTCCCTGGTCCATCAAAAATAGAGGAAGCATGCTAACAACTCCTTGTTCGCCTAGTTTGTATGTAAATACACAACACACGAGCCAATGGAAGTCGGATGTTTGCAAAATATTCTTTAGTATCTGTGTGACATTTAGATGGCTAGTTTTACTTATGGATGGAGCTGTTCCTTGATTTTTATGACTGTCTTTCTTATTTTCACTGTTTGTACCCTCAGTTCGTTTGGAGTTTTCTGATGGAACTGGATCATCAATGTTAGCTGAATGATTACAGTATTGCATTTTATCACGTTTGACATGTTGTGGAGATTGTTTAAAGTTGATGACTACAAGGATAAATAATAAAATATAAAAAGAGCCCCAAAGACAGAAGAGCCACCACCAACTGAAGAAGACACTTAGCCAGGCAAGCACACCTCCACCAAATAATGCACCAATTTTGTATCCAACAACTTGTAATGTACTTCCTATTCCTACACAACAGAGGAAAATCAAAACTAAATAAGTTTAATGTAAAATAATCCATGTTTGTTTAAGTCAAATTACCACTCTAAAATGGCAGTTAGTTATCTTGATGCACCTGCACCCCAACTCATCACAAGCACATCTAAACACGTCCCAAGGCTAGAGACCAAGCCTAAGTTAAACCCAAGATATTATACACTTAATGTCAGATCCCGAGGGAAACAGTTAGTTTTGTTTTCCCAAGAGTCCTGATGTTTCCCGAGACGAAGTCGAGGGAAACATCAGGACTCGAGGGAAAACAAAACTAACTGGTTTCCCGAGGGACCTGACATTAAGTGTTTTGTTATATTTCTAGACTTTCACTTCAACAGCAACAAAAGAATAACCGGAGCGAACCAAAACAGTCGACTCGGTACTTATAACAACACAAATTTAATTCTCAAAACCACTGAATGAATGATTTACAAACAAAAGTACTTTCCTCATATTATCTGCATCTTTTTCCTCCACTAGCTGCTGTTTTTCTTCTGGGAACTTCTGGGATAACTTTAAAAATCGTTGCTTTTTAGCTTGAGGCTTCGTTTTTGTGTTGTTGTGTTCATTCACGAAAAAGAAAACTGGCTGGACCTGGCGGTGTTTTTCCCGCCTTCTGTCACACCACTTTCCACCATGCTTTGATCACGTGCTACAATGTATCCCGAGCGGGATACATTGTTTAATGTATCACGATCGGGATACATTTGATTTTAGTCAAGGCCACGTGACCAAGAATCAACCAATGGCAGTCCCTGTTTCGTTGAGTGAAAGTCTAGGAATATAACAATTTCTTTTGTTGCCTCATTGACTTTGAAAAAAGCCACATTTAAAGAGGTGCACACATCACTAATTGTTATATTCCTAGAATTTCACTCAACTAAACAGGGAATGCCGTTGGTCGACTCTTGGTCACATGGCCTTCACGTAAATCAAACGTATTCAAATCATGATACATTTGAGCAATTATACCCTGCTTGGGATACATTTCAGCACATGATCAAAGCATGGTGGAAAGTAGCGTGAGAAACGGCAGGAAAAACACTGTCAGTTTTCTCTTGCGTGAATGCAAACATAAACCCTCAAGCTAAAAAGCAACGATTTGCAAAGGAATTCCAGAATAAAAACAGCAGCTAGTAGAGGTAAAAGACGCAGATAATATAAGGAAAGTACTTTGTAAATTATATGTGTTCCCCAACCTGGGAATCACATACCCCTAGTGATAAGTGTTCCCCAACCTGGGAAACACATACCCCTAGTGATATGTGTTCCCCCACCAAGAAAACACATATTCCTAGTGATAAGTGTTCCCCAAACATCCCCCACCTGGGAAACAAATATCACTAGGGATATGTGTTCCCCCACCTGGGAAACACATATCCCTAGTGATATGTGTTTCCCCACCTCGGAATCACATATCCCTAGTGATATGTGTTCCCCCACCCGGGAAACACATATCCCTAGTAATATGTGTTCCCCAACCTGGGAAACACATATCCCTAGTGATATGTGTTCCCCCACCTGGGAAACACATATCCTTAGTGATATGTGTTCCCCCACCTGGGAAACACATATCCCTAGTGAGTTCCCCCACCTAGGAAACACATATCCCTAGTGATATGTGTTCCCCCACCTGGGAAACACATATCCCTAGTGATATGTGTTCCCCCACCTGGGAAGCACATATCACTAGTGATATGTATTTCCCCACCTGGGAAACACATATCACTAGAGATATGTGTTCCCCCACCTGGGAAACACATATCCCTAGTGATATGTGTTCCCCCACCTAGGGATATGTGTTTCCCAACCTGGGAAACACATATCACTAGGGATATGTGTTCCCCACATATCCCTAGAACGAAAAAACGCCTTTCTAGGCTATAAAAACAACAAGTCCAAAAAGTCCAAAAATTGACATTTTTGAAAGGGGTTAACCCATGGTTTTGGTCCAAAAGTGGCCATTTTTCCAACTTTTTTTTTTAGGTAATATAGGCCAGGAAAATGTCTTTTATGATATTCTAGAACGAAAAAATGCCTTTCTAGGCTCTAAAAACAAGAAGTCCAAAAAGTCGACAAATTGACATTTTTCCAAAGGGGTTAACCCATGGTTTTGGTCCAAAAATGGCCATTTTTCCAACTTTTTTTTTTTAGGCACTATAGGCCAGGAAAATGTCTTTTATGATATTCTAGAACGAAAAAACGCCTTTCTAGGCTATAAAAACAAGAAGTCCAAAATTGACATTTTTCCAAAGGGGTTAACCCATGGTTTTGGTCCAAAAATGGCCATTTTTCCAACTTTTTTTTTTTAGGCAATATAGGCCAGGAAAATGTCTTTTATGATATTCTAGAACGAAAAAACGCCTTTCTAGGCTATAAAAACAAGAAGTCCAAAATTGACATTTTTCCAAAGGGGTTAACCCATGGTTTTGGTCCAAAAATGGCCATTTTTCCAACTTTTTTTTTTAGGCAATATAGGCCAGGAAAATGTCTTTTATGATATTCTAGAACGAAAAGACGCCTTTCCGCCCATTTATACTGTTGCATCAAGCATATACATTTTGATTCAAAGTATTATTCAATTTTTTGTGTGTTTTTTTCTCTCGGTATATTATTTGTGATTAGTATAACATTATGGGATATAGTAAGCAAGAATGTAGCACAATAAACAGGTTGTACTCCCTAAAAAGAATTTGTTATATGACACCCTTACCTCCCCATAACAGCCACTTTCTTATGGTCCCAAGGTGGCGGTTGTGGAGAGGTATGACTGTATAACGTGTAACCTCGCCAAAATAAACCAACAATCACATTTTCTACTTTTGTCAACCATATAAACAATATATACATGACAAAACAAAACAAAATTATATGAACTGAAATCCAGTAATATACAAACAACAAACTTGACCCTTTGTATCCAAAGAATAAAATCCTGAGAGGTCCCCTAGGGTGATTGACAGAAGCAAGGGTAATGGATATTAGGGCCATTTATACGAGGAAAAATAAGACGCGAACTGTACCATTTATACGAGCAGGTCTTATCTAATAAGACGCATCTTAGCTAAGCCGCGTCTTATTTTAGACGAAATGTGCCATTTATACGGAAAGTTCGCGTCTTATTGTAGACGCGTCTTATTTTTCCTCGTATAAATGGCCCTATTAAGGCTATATAGGATAGTGACCTAAACAAACTCACCAAGATCAGATGGTTTAAGAAGGCTTATGGCGAAAGTATCAACAGCGACATCTTGAACAGCAGAAGTCAAATTCATCAAGAATACGCAGATAAGAAGAAAAATTATATTTCCAAATCCCACAATGGCCGATGTGAAGCATAGAATTGCCATAGCCATCGAGCCAAACAAAATCCATAAATCTAGAGACCAAAAGTTGTCGACGAAAGGCGCTACGGTGAATTTGAAAATCCAAGGGAGACTTAAAAGTCGACTAAAACCTACTCTTGACAAGGAGAAACTTTGCTTTCGAAGAAGCAATGGCAGTAGTTTCACTTGAAAGCCATAAGGCAAACCTTGACCAAAATAAAGAAGAAACAGAAGCACGCTTGCTTCCGCCATCTTGGAGAATCACGAGAATGTAACCAGGCCATGACGATTGCGTGACGGAAACAAAATGGGTAGGCTATTGTGCCGTGCTTTTTGATAAAAAGGAAATCATCAAGATATCTTATTTTAAGCAGACTTTTAGTTATTGCAAAGCAATGAACGCTATAATCAGTGATTTCAAGAGTTTATCCAATCTATTCTTATTCCTGAATACGGTAAATCGAACACGCCCATAGCGTTTTAGCGTCGTTTTGTAAATTGTCTACAGTGACTCTGATAAATAGTTAGCACTCGGAGAGTCCAATCTTCTCTTGAAGAGGTACCCAGAAGGGGAGGGGCTCTCTGCAAAGTTTAATGCCGGGAGCCTCCGCTCCGAGGTCCAACCCCTTACCCTGTTATTTGACAGAGAAGGTCGACCTTTTCCGTTCAGTTGACAAATGGGTTAAGTGGCACCCCTTTCGCATATCTTTAAAAGATTTAAGTTGCTACAACAACTCGCACGGTGGCCGGCGTTACGTGAAAGTTCCTGAAACGTTTGGAGACGCTTTTCATGTGATTTTCTCGGGTTGCAGAAAGTGTTTCACAAACATCCAAAAGTGTCCCGAATAGTCCCCTTCTGATATTTTCGGGAGACTTTTTGCGCGGTAAGGGTACGGGATTACGGTAAAATTCCGAAAATAAGCCCCGGGGCTTATATTTTTCAAAGGCCCTTTTTGAGGGGCTTATTTTTGGAGGGGCTTCTATTCGGAGGGGCTTATCTACGGAGGGAAATTTGCGTTTCAAAATCGACTGGGCTAGCCTCATAGTTGGAATGAAATTTACCGTTTTTTTCTTTGTTTTGCTTTGTATTTGAGGGTAATTTCCAAGTACAAGCCCCCGGCGGGGCTTATATTCGGAGGGGCGATTTAACGGAGGGTTTTTTGCGTTACGAGTTTAGGGGGCTTATATTTGGAGGGGCTTATACATGGAGAGGCTTTTTTTCGGAATTTTACGGTATTTAGATTTGGAGCTGTGAGTGTGCTAAACAAATGTCTTTTTCCTTCTTCTTAATTTAGTTTCGTTCTGTCATGAAGAGAAGAAAAAAAAAACTAAATCAGAAATTAAGAAGAAAAAAATACATTTTTTTACGCTTCAGCAGGTGGGAAATATGAACATATACCGCAAAACATCTTAAGACATAACTCTTGGACTACAGCAATGGCATATGCATTTCATTTACAAACTGATCTTATAAGTTAATTCAGTATGATCAAGCACTGTAGAAAATCTAATCACATACAAGGATTATAATTTATTTTAACTAAAGGTTTGAACATGGGTAATGAGCAGAAACATATTTCACCTAATATGCTTCTGCCGCTTTTCAATCTAACATTTGATTTGCTATCACTACGAGACTTTTCTATCATCTACAAGTCTAGTTTTCATTATCGCCAATAATCTGTTCTGATCACAACACCGGGCAAGTTTTCACCCTGCTATTTTATGGTACATAAGTGTTACAAAGCGAAATAAATAAATAAAAATAGAAAATCTTTACAATAACTCTTTCATTAATTGTTGTGGAATATATTAATTTACTGCATTCAAAAAGGTCAAAGCAAAAGTACATAGCCATAATGTAAATTTTTGATACCTCCAGAAAATTACGCATCTGAGCTTATAAATGAGTCATGGAAATAATTATTATTATACATCAACTTAAACAGCCACTTGCACCAGATTATGCAAAAACGCTTGAAGACCAGATAATGTTTTCTAGTGCCGGTGGTATTCTTTTTGGTGCCTGTTTGAGAACACATCTGAATTATACAGTTTTAGTTGATGGGTCATTCTTAAGAAATGTATATCAAGTCCTTTCTAAAGTGATTGATGCAGGATGTTTTTTGAAAAAACTGCTGTTATTAGTTGGGCCTCCTTCCCAATTCAAAAGTTTGAAAAATATTAAATTTTGTCACAATTTTAGTAGAGACGGACAAATCTTGTTAATCATGTCTAGGGGTTTGTGTCGTCACCCGGCACTACGCTCCTCCCAACAAAGGAAAGTGGGGAGGAGCGTTGCATGCCCACACAAACAACAGCCAGGAGGGAGGAGAGTCTAGAGCGACCTACTAAGGTCTCTGCTATCTGTTTCTAATAGGCGAGGAGAAAAACGGAAAAGAAATTACTAGCAAACAGCTAGCCTGGGACCAGCCTCCGCATTGGGGGAAAACAGTAAAAAAAACGGCGAGCAAAGCCGTTTCCCCCTTCCCAGAACACCACTGGGCTGGCTTCGCTCGCCGATGTTTTTCCTATTTGACCCTGTCTTTTTTTCCTTTTTCCACCACTGTGGAGCCTGGTCCAAGGCTAGCAAACAGCAAAATAGTATGTAGCCCTAGTTTGTAGGGCTTCAGGGCCATTCTGTTCAGCCACTATAGTACACTGGCAAGTAATGTGTCTCAAGAGTTGTTTTACTGCAGGTGTTATTTGCGGAAGCAACATTTTTGTTCAGACATGTCCTCAATGCCACTTCCAAATACAGTGACGATTTGTCTATGAACCCTGAAAACAAACGAAAATGAAATGTCATCTTCAGCATCAAATATATGTAAACAAATAAACAATGAGGCTTAACATTAAAATGCATATTCTCAGTACCTCGTCAAAGTTCGAAATTTAAATTTCTATGTCTTATGCAACTTCATGAAAAGTTGGAAGAAAAAAAAATTAACCTGGAAAAGAAGTGCAAGAAAGTTGGTCTTTCAAGAATGAAGGGGACTATCTATCTAGAGTAAGTACATGTAAGACAAAACAATTATTGTTGTTGTTAGTTAAGCTTGTATAAACATACCACACCACAGAATAACCTAAGTAGCTCGCAGTGAATGCAACTGTTCAACCTAGTTCCCAGGGTTCTCTCCTATAAGTAGGAGAGAACCCTGGGAACGAGGTTGGCACCTGTTTTCAACCCGGCCTGCCTGGCAGGCATTCGAAAGAGAAGGGGAAGGGAATTAGGGCGCGAGACCACGCGTGAGGGAGGAGGGAGGAGGGGAATGCCTGCCTCGCGCCCCCAAATTTTCCCTTCCCCTTTTAATGCCTGCCACGCAGGCTATTTTCAACCTGGACTGACCTGAGTGATAAAGAAGGCTGCCTAAGTAGTTCTCCATCAACATTCCATATACCAACTGATCTGTCCTTAGGATTGCGGCTTACTCTGTAACTATCCAACAAAGGGCCATCAGCACCTTGCACAGGGACACCAGACTTGTCTTGTGCTTGCACATAACACTCCTTGATGCGATGGCATTCAACAAAGTCAAATGCAAACTGAGGATGACAATAGACAACAAAATAAGCTATAATAATTTGGATTATACAAAGTCACTAACTATCACAGCACCGATTGAACACATCACACCAAGTAGGTTTCTTTCCTTTCCTCGTATTTTTCCCTCAGTACTAAGTGCCGAAATGTGTAGCTGCCTTATGCACCTGCGACGATAAAGGGAAGGGGGAGGGAGGGACAGAGAGACAAATTGGCATATTTCATTCTGACCTGATCTTTAGAGTTAAAGTTGCGCTGTATGTGAGAATTCATCTGAAGTCTTGAGCAGCGTTTAATAACGACAAGGTCAGAGAAGCCATCGCCCAGATGACAGCTTGGAGATGAGCCTTCAGGAGCTATCTCACACAAATTAGGAAGAGTATAGAAGCTGACTCCAATGACAGATCCCTGAAATGTTACCCCATCTACAAAGAAAAAGTCAAAAAAAAAAAGTAAAGTGTATTAATTTTGTTGCCTTGCTAACATCATCATCATCATCATCATCATGATAATAGTAATAATAATAATAGTGATAAAATAATAATAATAATAATAATAATAATAATAATAATAATAATACTAAATCTGGGGAAAAGACTATTGGTGGATTCTTTGGATCTTATCTTTAACTAAAACCAGAAATTTTTTTAATTCAACGATCGAGTTTGCAGGTTTTGCTTGGTCTGTAAAACCACGACTCAAACAGAATAATATGTATAGTTCTAGATGACTTGGAGATTGAGAGCCACTCATACCTTGGTACTGGCTACTTTCACAGTTGTCCTCTTTACTACAAACACCACACCTTCAGTAAACAAACAAACAAACAAACCTGTTAGACTTAGTATTGACTTAAGGATACACTGTGGTATGAAATGGAAGAGAATGACTTGCCTTTTAAAGGCAAGAAAAAATAATACCCTGCGTCTTAGCTGGCAGAATGGTTTTGCATGAGGTATTTTCTTAATTCATGGGGTTCTTTATTGGCAGTGGAGCTACGAGGGATTTTCCCCGATTTCAATTTGACTTGATCCACGACTTCTCGCCACTCCACCGCCAAAAAACAAGTGACATAAGTCGCCACTTATCCTGCCAGCTATGCAGGCTAGAAAAAGACCTACAAGCGACTCTCTGGTAAACAAAACTATTTCCCTTGGAACCTGACATTAAGTGTTTATTATTATTTACATAACTCACCCTATTCTACATCTAGTGTGATCTCTGGGGTGATGTTCAGGATGCGGACTTGGTAGAAAACTGAAATCAACATTGTATGATCTACATGAACGAAACAAGTACAATAAAACACACTTCACATGTATAAGTAACCAGTACCCATTCACTAACTAAACAGGGCACCCAATGACCTGTGGTAATCTTGTGATGGACCAATATCCCATTTAGGAGGGGGAAACGGCAACAACCCATTTAGCAAATATTCACTCTGCTAGGTACCTTATGCTACAGAAAGCAGAGATACATCCCCTTTCATTAATCTACATGCAGCATGTAAAGAAAGTCATGTCTTATAGCCAGGGGCTAGTGGATTTTGCTATCAGGCTAATGATTTTTGTTCTTAACTTGCCCAACGTGCAAGTGCTGTCTTTTTGGGGGAAATTTAATTTACAGAAGGATTGTAATCAATTCTGCTAATAAAAAAGGGTTTTGGGGCTAGTTGAAATGACTTGTAGGCTACTACATGCTACATGTAGCTGCAGCTCGCCCAAGGGCAGGCTGTAAAACTGACTTTCTTTGCACCCTACTACATGTATAAGTTTTTATTTATAAGGTTGTACATTTTGTTTTTTTGTTATTGTACCTTAATTTCCAGAGTCTTCGGGCGGCACCCCACTTGTAACGCTTGGGGCCCATCCAGCGATGTTGCTCACTAGTTTTGAGAACGTCTCCCAAGAATCCGTAGGAAAGGGAAAATGCAAATCGGATGTGTTTGTCATCATTCCACAAAGAGCAGATATCGAGTGGAATAGTGTGGCCTTAAACAAAAATGAGTAGGAATTGAATACTAAAGTTGCAGTACTAGAACACTAAGTCTTCCTCTATCGAGGTCACTTTGAGGCTTTTTGAGTGATTCTGAATTGGGGGCTTTATTTTCTAAAAGGAGAGTCTTACTTAATGGGGAGGAAGGGGGAAAGAATGAATGGATTGTCACAACACTGTTCCATTCTACTTAACCATAATTTAGGAACCATATTCCATCTGTTCCGGTAGAGAGGATGGCACCAAGAAAAGTGAGCAACAAAAAAAACAGATCTAGGGAATATTTGAATGCCTGAAACAGGCCACCTATCAAGTATCTCAACATCGCTATCAAAATCACTTACAAGGGTGGAGGCTAAATAGACACTGGACACTTTTTACATTTGGCAGCTAAAACAAAGGGCTAATAAGAGGAGGGTAGAGAGGATTTTGCAAGGCTAGGAGCTTAAAATAGGAAATTGTTTTTTAAATTATTAAAAGGCTAAATCACAAAAATAATGGCCAAGGGTCCATTCTCTAAGTTATGAATGAACACTCACCAAAAATAATGTGCATAGCAGATGTTACAGGGTCATTGATACCTTGAGCAGAATAAACTATAACCTCTGTTGAGCCTTGAAAAAAATAATAATAATAATAATAATTATTGCTCCACTTGCCTGAATAATAAAGCATTATTCTACCTGGCGTTAGACGTGATGACCAGATAGATCAAATATCTAAGGTCATTAATATTTGTCGCTGAAAATTTTCGTAGTTAGCAATGATTTCATTAGTTATAAGAAATTAAAATTTAAACATATATGTCCAACAACTTTTCCGGTTTGGCTGAATCGTGACCTGATTAGACATATACACATGAAAGTGCTTTCTAAAAGGAAAAATAATTTGTAAAACCAGTTTTGTTACTTGAAAATCTTTTAATGAGCTAATGGTGAAAGGCAAAAGAATTTTAATGACATACCAGCAGGAATGATGCCAATGGGTACATTAAGAGGAAGAACTGTGAATTTCTCTGGCAAAATGCCATCCACCAGATCTATTCCAGCATTCTTGTGGGACTTTTCTAATAATCCATTCACTACTTCATGGACAATGCCATCACCTCCAACAACCACAACCCTAAAAACGTGACAGCCAGCATGTGAAAATGATGCGTAGCAACCGAAAAAGGGCTGCCTTTAAGCCCTAGACTTATTTTAATCTTTTTAAGGGGTTTAAGGAGGGCTTTTAAAGGTCTATAAATCAGGGATGTCACTAAGATTTCAAGTTGCCAGGTAAATACAAAAAGTACACAGGGAATCAGACAGCTAGGGATTTCTTTTGGTTCTATTTTTCTTCTATCTTCCTATGAAAGAAGCTGGGGCCACATTATAGAAGCCAGGGAAATGGGGTGGGGGTTATATCTGAGAGGGATTGTAACCAGAACAGGAAAAGCGCTTCCAAATAAGCTATTAATAGCAGCCATACTGAACAAAATACCTTTTAAACCTGATCAAAATAAGTAATACAGAAATTATCCACTGGATGGTGGTCTTTCCAGTCAATAGCACTATCCACCTTCTAAACAAGATTACAAGGGCCAGAACGAATTTTCACTGTGTCCTTTGAGTATTATTAGGGCAAGGCAAGGGCAAAGGAAATTCTGAATCAAATTCTAGTAAGTTGTATACTGGGTTAACCAGAGGGATCAATTTAGGCTTCTGAGAAACTGTCCACCTACCCCTTCCCTAAGCCAACAGCAACACTTGCTTATCACTTAGGGCAAAATGTCGACTTAGGGGAGGGGTAGGTGGGCAGTTCCCCCAGATCCAACCAGTGAAGAGATTTACCTAACAAATGAAATAATAAATTGTGCTCAGAGCCCTTCTAATTGCACCTATGGAATGTTGCATGCTCTAACTTTTATGTTTTTGATTCAGTGAATTAGTAGTACCTGAGTTAGGTTTTTAGTTTAAAATTTGAAGGGTTTCAAATTGAAAAAGATTTGTTTTTGATACAGTGAATTAGCAGCAACTGAGTTAGGTTTTTAGTTTAAAATTTGAAGGGTTTCAAATTGAAAAAGAACTTTAGATTTTGCTAGATTACCTGCCATTCTAATTTTAAGAGACAGACCACTTTTTTAAAATAAAATCAGGGTGCAAAGAAAATCATTTTTACAGCTTGCCATTCGGGCAAGCTGAAGCTAGCATTTACTAGCCCAGACATCATTTCAACTAGCCCCAAAAACTTTTTGACAAGCAGAATTGATGTCACAGTGCTTCTGTTATTCGAATTCCTCATAAAACATTACTTGCCCGTCGGGCAAGTTAAAAACAGAATTCACCAGCCCGATAGCAAAATCGACTAGCCCCAGGCTATCGGACACTACTTTCTTTGCACGCTGAAAATGCATGGAATGGTTCAAAGTTAAATCAAATCTGATTATCCTTACCCATCATATGTGGAAATATCAGCTGTTCTAAAGTACTCCCAAGCATGGCCTGCTCTTTGTGTCACTACAGAGTTTATAGTCAAGTTCATGCATCATAAGTTAAAAGTTTAAAGATTTTTCATAAATTCAATCACTTGCACATCTACATTTACAGTTATTATTTAGATATTAGAGGGCTTAAAGTGTTAAGATTTAAATAGAACTATGATGGTACAATAAATTATTAATTTTCTTTGTGGAGCTAATTTAAAATTACCATGATAAACAGTTTTTCTTTTTCTTAATGCGTAAATTATGTGAAATCATGGATGACACAAAGCAGTGTTTAAAACATTGAAATTACTCTCTCTTAATAAGAGCGCATTAATGAGCAGACAAACCGTTTACATTTAACTTAAGAAGGTACATTAACTTTATTTATACACAACAATATTATTTATTTATTCATTTATTTTATAATAAATATTTTATCTTATCTACAATTTCAATACTACAGACAAGGAAGTAATATTAACAACAGTTTGAAACAAAAGCAGTGGAATATTGTATTGAGCTAGCTTTAAACAATGTTATGTCTGGGTGTACATATTATGTAGCTACTTGACCAATTAAAGTTCAGGGATTTTCCAATCAAGCCTGCGCTAGCCTACAGCACAATGCAGGTAGTCACATTTTTGGTATGAGCAACACTCACGATCAGTCTTTCCTGTTTGGGGTCACCAAAGACTCTTAAAAAGACTGGTGAAAGCAGAAAAGAAGGTTGATAGGGAGAGCATCAGGTGAAATGACAAAGTAGGGGGGTAGGGAGGGTTAGGGAAGAAAAAACGGTTTTCTGGCCTGCCTCCCCGGCCCCCTTCCCTGCCTCCTGTGACTGGTGCATGACACATGCACATGAGGGAATTGTTAGTACATCCCCCCAGAAAAAAACACTTTCATGGTAGACTACGCCTGCTCTTGAAGGTTTCTAAATAATCAAAGCCTCCCTGCTTTTAACTTACTCATAATGTCTGCCTTGATGCCAGCTCTTTCAAATAAAGGTGCAACTTGTTGTAAGTACACCAGACGGGCTTTGCCTTTTTTGCTTCTTGGGTTGATCACAACTTTCAATTTACGAGGTCTGGTGCGAAAACCTGATAAGAACAGTCATATGAGAATAAGAAGGTTAACATTGATTGATACTAGCTTTCTCGTTCCACCTTAGTAGATAAGCAATCAACTAGTGTTATGGCTTGGGTGGACATAAATGATGATGAATTTTGAACGGGATCTGCACTATGCACTCCAGGGTTCCAAGGGGTTTATGAATCAATTACTTATAACTTCTTTAGAACAGCTGTACTGCAGCTCATTCTGGCCAACCAAATATTAGCAAAAGGTCAACTATTGTGTACTAACTTCGTATAATATCATTAATTCTCCCAATCCAAGCCTCGCAAACACTTTCATCTTCACACTCAAAAGTTACTCTTTCTTCTTTCAGCTTCCTGCCGCCAGCTTTGTCGAAAGTAAAGAGAGTGAACCCAACAAGTTGTCCAGTATTAGATTGGTTCTTGGGTAAGCGCCGTTTTGCTATCCATGCTCCAATCACATGATCTGCAAACCTCAAAGATCTTGTGGAGATGTTGCAGACTTGAGTTTCTATTATTGGAGAGAGGCAGGAAAGAAACAAATGTTCATAAAAGGTAGCCTGTGCCAGGCTTTTAGTTGGTGCAGGCAAGAGAAAAATGCAAGTGAGCGGTGAAATAGCCAACAAGTGAAACACGTCAGGGAGTCAGCCTGTAAGCATCTTTTTAAATACCTCAATCCGCCTAGTATCCTGCCCACTTCCTGAAAAACTGTTTCTTGTGTCACATGCATATGAGGCACATTATACTCGAAATGTTTGTTACACTCTTCCGGGCGAAGCCAAATGATTGGCGTATGTGTTGAAGAAAACTGTCACAACTGACCAATCATAGGGCTTATCAGGAGCTGGTATACTTGAATGAGGTATTGAAAACAATGCTTGCAGGCTCCACTAGACCATTTCTCCCCAGCTTCCACACGTTTTTGTACAATCTTTCTTTACCTGTTTTTTCCACTATCTTAGAGCCTGAAAAAGGCTAAGTAATAGGATGGAGAATACAAAAGAATTTTGAATTCTTGACAGAAAAATTACGACGCACTCCATCTGTTTCAGCTGTTGTGCATGACCAAGGAAAAGTGTACATCAAAATATTGACAATGCCACAATAGAATTTTCATTGAATGAAACAAGATTTTACGATTAAACTGAGGTATTAATTTGCTGTTTCATGAACCATATGAAGACCAATAGGTCTGAAATGGTCTAGTTGATCAACTGTTAGTTGACAGTTTCAATATCAAATTTTTTCCTGCACCATCTTCTTCCTCATATTTTGCATTTATGATCATGCAATGTTAATTCAATGAATTGCTTCACAACCACAAAATGAAAGTATCAACAGTGTCTAACAAGAAAAATTTGTCCCTTCAAGGTCTTCAGGTGGGGACAAACAAAGAAAAGTAAATTTTCCTCTTTTGACATCAGGGTCATGTCACGTTCCAGTACAGATCCTCCTTAACCTGCATAATTCTTTATATCATACTCAAACTCATCCAATAATACTTGGCCCTTGCATATTTACAAAAAATACATGGCCTGAATTAGTGCTGAAATATTTTTCATGTACTGAGCAGAATTCAGTGGCCCAAGCATATTTTTCAAGCAAAATAAGCGACCTGTACCAGCATTGCTGCAAGGCAGAACAAGTCACTATATATTCAAGCAGAATTTATCTACATGTTAGCCTAGTCTGAGGGAACACATTCCAATAAAATTTATTATTTGGTGTCATATAAACTTAAGATGGCTTTTAGACAAGTACAGTGTAGACTGATATTAATTTTTTTGGAAGAACTGAACATCAAGAATTTCAGTCTTATTTTAGTGCATGGTTTCAGCTGAATTTCGCCCTAGCTAGGAGTACACCGTGTTCTTCATGGAAATAAACAGAGTAGATAAAATGAACTTACTATACAGAAAGCAAATGAAATTAAAGCTTACAAGTATAACGTGTTTACGTTGAATAATTAAATCAAGCCTGATGTAAATAAATTTTCGAACGTACAAGGATGTAAAAATAGAGTTGCATGTAAAGATCCCTGTCCATTAAACAGTATAGTAAATTTACGAATATTTATTCTAATAAATTGCACTAAAGCTTACAACAAACCGGTACTAGTGACTCTTAAGCTAAACTAAGCTTTCGATTTCGTTAAGTTAAAGTTTAGTTTGTCAGCTGGTTTGTGCATCAGAATTATAGCTAGCGTTCTAATCTTTCTGCTGGTACATAAGCCACTCTGTTTACATTGATGAAACAGTACCTGTATTCAATGCGCCTTGTAAAGTCCACACAATTTCTTCTCCGTCAAGAAATACATCATAAAATTTCCCCCGCACTTTGAAAACAGCTTTCAGCGTTGTACTTTCGACGTTATCGTCCGTCATTTTCAAAGAGAGTGAAGCATTTCTCGTTGTTTGAAAACGTCAATTTTTTTCTAATTTGCATGTGCAGCTCTCCGTTGGACATCTGCTCGTCGTATCGCGAACGGGAATGAAATCATTTGCAAATCAGATGTTTGACCGTACTGGTCATGAACAAATTGAACATGGCGGTCAAAACAACTTCAACTTGACCTTGTTGCATTATGGGATGTTTTCATACAGATATGTCAGGGAGGGGTGGGTAACGAGCAACAATAAAACGGACAACTTTACGACTCTCCTGTGGCCTCTGGAAACGTGTTGAATTGTTTACTCAGTGGTTGATGTTATCATTTCGCAGTAAATCGCTGAGTAGCCCACATCGTCGTTGTTATGCTTCGTTCAGCTTTCCGTGGAAAGCAACCAGCTGATTCAACGGCAAAGGAGGAAAAACACGCGTCTAACGAGCATGGAAAATCTCATTTCTTCTTTCACCACGATCATCATCATGAAGAACAAGATCGCAAAGATCAGATAACAAATCTAAACGATGATGGGATTCGTTATAATGCAAGTGATGGTGAATTATACATAGATTGCAATCAGGAATTCTTATCCCTGGAGGAAAGTAGTAGTTCGGAGAGGGAGAGCAGAAATGAAGCAAATGGAAGCAGGGGAAAAATTACTTCAGAGGAAAGCTTCCCAGCTAATAGTGGACCCATTCCCAAGAACGTCGGAGGAGCTGGCACTAACGATTGTCGCGAGGGAAGCTTCTCTAACTCTGAGAGGCAGATTTATGAAATGCAGTTAGCTCAGCTTCAGGAACAGTTAGTTAACACTATGATTGACCATCAGGAACTGAGTAAGTAACAGCAATCTTATGAAGATCACCAGTTAACAATTAACCCAATCACAATGCTAACGTGCCATTTCAATATCCGTGATTTTGGATTTAATAGGGAACTTTTAACGAGAAGAAGGGAAACAGATCATGGGAAACTGAACTTTAAGTAAAGTTTTCAGTTTCTGGTTTAGTTTGTTTATGAATATGAAAGATGTGAGTTAATATTTTTCCTTGCTGATATTGATGTAAAATGGATTAAGCAGGACCCCCCAGGTGGGGCTATGGAAAGGGCAGGGGGTGGGGGTTAGGGACACTGAGTAGTTTGGTGAGGCTTTCAAACCCTGACCCTGTTCAAAACGAACCTGGTACATTTTGTTACCCCATTTTTAAAAGACATCAAAGGACTATTTTCATAACACCATTTCATTTTACTTTAAGAATTTATAAACTAAACTAGCATGACAGAATAAGATTTTTTTAAAAAGAAACTCTTCTTAGTACCCCACATGAAGATTGTGCACCATACCACCAACATTCATCACTTGTTCAGGAAGCTAAAGAATGAAATTGTGTACCCTGTTTAGACTCAAGACTGTAAAAACCATACCTTGTTCATTGGCACATACCCATTAAGGTTCAGTAAGTGAGTGTACTTACCCCACCCCACCCTCTGGGTATGGCTTCTCCAATAGCATATGTAAGAAGCTTTCCCCCCTCCCCTTAGGGATCTTTTAACAGTATTCTTTAAGCAGGTGATGTCATCAAGAAGCTATCTTGAATAGTCCTGCCATTCACCATGGTCATTTAGTTTAATGTGATAATTTTAAAACTTGTTTTATTAGGCACCCAGCTTGAGAAACTAAAAGCTATAAATGTTGAAAAGCTTCAAAAAGAACTGCAAGAGGAAAGAGAGAAAAATTTTGAGCTGAAAGAAAAACTCAGACAGAAGCAGAAGTCAGTGAGTTCAAAACTTCAAAGGTATCACTTCATGTGTAATAATTTACATTAATTGTTCATTGACCATTTCCAATCTAATAATTCAGATCAGATGTTTTTGTAATCTAGAGGCCTCACAATTATGAAGACTCTTCATTTTTACTTATATCATAGCTATTGAAGGTGATCCAGATAACAAAGGTTCCGTTTTTTTTCACTATATCCTCAAACCCCGGCCGGACCAACACTTGGGGTCTTTAAATAACTAAAAAGAAAGTGCTGCCTTTGTAATGACATCTGCAAATGGTTAGACTTTCTTGTCTTCTCTGATAAGGACGAAAAACCGTAGTCCCGTCTCACAGCACTTTCACTGATCTGTTCATGTGGGACGTAAAAGAACCCACACTACTGTTCGAAAAGAGTAGGGGGCGTAGACCCCAGTGGTGTGTTCAACCTTTACGGGTTGTGGGATTGGGTAGGGATGGCACCTTGCATGGGACCTATGAGTCCCATTCGTACCCATTCCCTCTGGGCAGGCCTGTCATCGTCGTTATCACTATTATTATTATTATTATCATCATCACCATCATCATCATCATCATCCATTATCATCATCATCACCATCAGTATCATTATTATTATTGTAGGAAAAATGCAAGCCGAGTACACCACAGGCTTAGTGATGGTGCAGCAATAGCCGTCTCAGAAAAATATGGAGATGAATGGGTAGATCTTGGTAGGGAGGAAGAGTTGCCTCATTCGTCTTCCTTATCACATGATGCAAGTGAAACTACTGTCACGGGAGATCACTCTTATGAGCACGAGCAAACTGATAATGTGCATGATGGAGTGCAAAGTGATACAGCAGGTCAATCAGAACAACAGACATCCTCCCTCTCAGGTAACAACACAGGCTACCCAGGTATGAACTCAAAGAAAGGCAATTAAGCACAACTGTACGGTGTACGTATCTTATCTCAGAGGGAAAAGATACAGTCAAACGCCTGCATTAACCCTTTAAGCCCCAGTATCCACATACAATTCTCCAAACTGATATCCATACATTTCCTTTAAGAATTAGTTGAGATAATTTATTAAAACATTAAGGCATTTTCTCTTTCATGATCATTTTTTATATTCTCACAACCTTATCTCTTGACAATGTATGGACATTGTTAGGAGAAAATTGCTGTTGGTCAGTATTGGGACTTAAAGGGTTAATACAGACACTGAGGGGGCCATAGAAAGTGTCCGTATAAAGCTGATTGAATTTAGAGAAGATGTAAGAGCTTGGGACAAGGACAGCTGTCCATAATAATGAGCTGCCAGTATGAAGTGGGTGTCAATAAAGTGAGGTTCCCGTAATTTGACTTTATTTGCAAGTAGGTCCAAGAAGCTACAGATACGCCAGTTAGGCAGAGGTTTTGCTAGTTAGAAGAGACTGTCATGTTAGCCTGAAATAAAGGCACCCGACTGTTCTGTCCCAGTTCCCCCTCTCAATAAGTTAAGATGTGACATCTTGTCTTTTGAAGGAAATCAGATTGAAGAACCTCACAGAGTACAAAGAGTTAAAACAAAGCTAGACATGTGGAAAATGAAAGTGTTAGATCTGGTGAGTTGAAAATTTCTCCTTCACTTCTCATCTTTTTTTTCTTTCATTTTCTCATCTGTTTTAATTTGAGTAGCGAACCTTGAGGCTTTTATTGTTAATTTGCTCATTATGGCAACTTCACCCCCCTCCTCCCACCCCCCAAATAGTTTTCTCAGATGACAACAAGTAATTATTTTTATTTATTTCTATTGAGATCTTGGATAGGTTGTGGGACTTTGTTAATGATGAACCAGAAGGGAATGACGAAGAAGATGGAGAAGGAGAACCTTTAGCTGTAAAAAGGTAAGTTAAAGAAATGTTCCTTACGCGTGTTACCATCCTCGCAAGTGGCGATTTTCACGCGCGCCCGCGTGTGTTACACGCTCTGTGCCTCTTCTCACCCTGAGGAAATTAAAAAAACTATGTCACTGAAAGAGTGTACTTTGCTTGATAATTGAATGCTTATGTTTATTTGAATGTTAAACTATTTGACCAATATCTTCTGTCTAAATTTCAATTCGTTTCTTTTGCCTTCTTTTCCACAGATTGAAAGAGAATATCAACCGATTTAGTAAGTGATTACAGCATTTGTCACATTTAATTCTCCCGTGTTTTTCAGGTTACTTTCTTTTGTTTTTGTTTTGTTTTCATCAAATTTAAACACGCTACCCTTTCAACCAGGTAAGGTGTAAATTGAAAAGGTGTTTTCCATAGTAAAAAAGAGAACTTAGTTTCTGAAGTGTATCTAGCCTTCATAGTAAAAACATTTTTCTTTGTTCTTTTAGCCACAGGTATTAAGCCCATAACTGGTTTCATCAAGTCTGTTGGCAGAGTTTTTTCCTGGTCTAATCCAACGGCATCGTTGTTAATATTCGTGGTTAGTGTCCGTGGCTTACTAAAGGGGCTTTGTAATGGGAGGTCCAATCCATTCTGTTTAATTTTTCCAGTTTAATACTGGTACTAGCTCGCTTGAAAATTCACATACAGTCGACTCTCTCTTAACGGACACCTCTATAAGACGGACACCTCTGTAAAACAGACACTTAGAGTTGGTACCTGCTCTTCTTAACTCCTTTTATTTGACTCTTTATAAGACGGATACCTCTCTAAGATGGACACTTAGTACCGGTCCCAAAGGTGTCCGTCTTAGAAAGAGTTGACTGTATTATGTGATCAAATTCAGTCAAGTTGTCGCTTACTGGAGCAATCAATCCAAATGACCATGCTCTCCTACCACAACGTATAGCGGTGTATATTTGTGGTGTACCGAAATTGTTGTATTCTTTGTAAAGTTTGTAAGACAACTATTCTGCACAAGCGAGTGTTGAAACCCGGCCTTCATTTTCTTTCTCTGTCGCTTTTTTTTCTGTGAAACAGTTAATTTTGCTTAAAATTGTCAATTTACTGCTATTTACTGTTTCAGGTCTACATGTATTCTGTCTGGAATGGCTATCTTTTATCCTTGATTCTTTTTGTCGCGATTTGGAACCTTTTTATGAATTACCTTCACGCTAAGTAAGTCTTTATGATATCAAAGTTATACCACGAGCAGTATAGGTTGATAGTTTATACAAAGTGGTTGTAGTATAGTAAAGTATGCCAAGTAGTTTTTACAGAAATAGACTGAGTAGAATGTAGGGAAAACTGTAGAATACTGAAAGTTAAGTAACGACACGTTAATATTCACGGACGAAGAGATGTAAAACTAGCCAAATGAGCGGTCGAAAGGACGTGTAACTTTCAACGAACCTGAAGACGATGATATTTTAAGCTAGTCCTGCGACTTTGTGAATGTGTGCAATTTTTTTTTTCATCTCAATTATATATAGCACTTTGTGTTGTTTGCCTCAATTTTGTCGATCTACTCTTTAACGAAAAAAATTGGCGAACAAAGTGAAGGGCCAATTAATAGAAATCGAAGTCGCCGACTTCTTTAGCTGTGGTGATTATAGCTAAATATGTTGTAACACCTGTGCTTTTCTTTCTTCGTGACCAGAGGTATTGCTAAACAATTGGGATTCGTAGACAAAACAAAGGATGAGGTATGTTTGTAGACTAAAAACGCAGCAAAGCCATTGTTCATTACGTAGATGAATTGTCTGAAGGCGTTACCTGTCAAACACGGCTGATCCAGTTTGTCTTGTCCCCTTCCCTCACTCCCACAGTACTCGCCGGCTCTTTAATCGCTCCTCACCCCTCCATTTTTGTCAACATTTCTCCAAACGATTCACGATGAAGTAAAGACCACTTTGTGTCCGTATTTCTATCCTCGAGCAGAAACGATGTGATGTGTAAATTTGCCTTTTCCGTCAGGGCAACTCTTCAGAAGATCACAGCTGGTCCGACAAATTTCAGCTTGTTCTGCAAGTTGCAAGAAAAGTTCAGGTGGGGATTCCACCATTTTATTTTTATCATCGTCATCATCATTATCACCATCATTATCATTTCGCTTATTCTCTTTGTTTATTACTTTTCTTTTACTTTTCTTCGTTTTGCTTTTTTCATTGTTTTGAATATTAAATGCGCCTATGTATGCGCGCTACAAGAAACATCGCCACTGAGTAGGTACAGGTACCAAACCGTGGTATGGACAGCCGCGCACAAATTGCTGGATTTGGCTTACGCATGTAATTTGTTTCTTAGAACACCCTTGGAAAAATGGCAGATTCTCTCGAAAAACTGAAGAAGTAAGAAGACGTTCGTTGAGTTTTGTTTGTTGTTTTGTTTTTGAGTATAACATTTGCTAAATTAAATACTATACTTATCTTTACTACCAAACGAAGTCCTGTCCAACTGTTGAACTGTCTTCACTTTTCAACATTTCAATCTTATACTACTACATGAGAAATTTCTGTAATTTGATTGGCTTAGAGCAGTGGTATTTCAACTTAATTTGAAATACCTACATGTGAAAATTACAAACCTTTTGTGGGTAGTAGTATAAACAAACAATAGCATGATTTGTACGTGTTATTTGGCGTAAATACCACTTGCGATATTTCAAAATGGTCTCAAATTTCACTCGCCTAACGGCTCGTGAAATTACATATAACAGTTTCGAAATATCACTCGTGGTATTTATGCCAAATATCATTACAAATCATGCTGTTACCTAATACTAATCGTGCTTTATTAACTGAAGCTTCGCATTTTGGTTTGCCGTAATGTCTGTATTATCTATCCTGATTGTTTCAGTTTACTAATGTGGCAACACCATGAAGCCACAAGAAAGCTTTTCACTGCACTTTGTATTGGTCTGTTGGCGTCGCTGCTTTTAAAGGGACCAACTCTATTTTTGCTGCTAGGTAATGCATCAATCTCATCATGATTTTAAACTAATTACTGTATGTCATTTAGCTAACACAGTCAAATCAGTTTTATTTCACCCTGTGACTACGGAATACGACCACCCTGCTAATTGCTAATATGACCTCGTTATTTCGAGCACCTCCTAATTTATGTGGGTCAAAATTGGCAAAGGCGGTCATTTTCTATATCGCGCAAATTTACCTCGATTTCACGTAAGCTGAGGGGAGAAATTGAAAAGAACTAAAACAAGTGTGGTCGATGTTTTGCACTTTTTCTCAGTTAGTTTTTTTTCTTCTTATGTGACAGGGCTTTTTGGAGGCATAAAGTTCTTTATTATTAATCCGATTCAGAATCGTTTTCCAAAGGTAACCTGGTTTCCATTCTTTTCTTTTCTCGACAACAAATAATTATTCATGACGAGTAAGTGTATAAAAGAACCTTAATTTACTGGGGAAAATAGTGGAAGTTCACGAATCATGAATTTGTGAGATCATCCTCAATGAGTTCGTCTTTTCTCAACTTTGCGAGGGGTCTGGTAAGTAGTAGTCTGCCGCATGAGACGTAATCGTTTGTTGTGTCGAATTTCATTATGTGAATTTTTGGCTGTTACGAGGTAGCGCAGGGTACTGGTTTAAAACTCATCCCCCAAAACAGTCCCATAGTGCAGTTCGAGTTAACACGGACCCAGACTCATGTGCAACACCTCGTTCGTCAAATAGATTGGATGTAACGATATGACAAAGAGTTAGGAATTTCGTTCATTTTGAGAAGGGTCCTCTTTTATGCATTTTACTATAAATAAGATGAAAAATGTTAATGGCTTTATCCGCGGCGGAGTTAGAACGTAGGGGTTTCTTATGTTGAGTCTTACGTTACTCCGTTCCGCGTCGTATTTTCAATTTTCAAGCTCTGTGTAAATAAACCTCCAGGTTTCAGTTCATTGACACTTCTCTTTTAAATAATTTTGCCTGTGCTATTTTTGAAAAAGGTCAAGAGGCGGTATGATAGTACTTCTAAATTGTGGAGAGAACTTCCAACGGACGCTGAACTCGCTGAGAGGCCGATTGAACTACTGCGCAATGAAGAGGTATACTCAGTCCCTACATTGTTTCCAAGTCGTCTTGCGATTTATTTTGTGTTCATGTAAAGCGGAAGGTCATTTTTCAGTATTACCTCGGGCTCCCTGGAATAAAAGCACTTCTCCTTGTCTCTAACTGTTTAAAAAAAACTCTTGTTAGAAGCACCACCCAAATATCGGTAGTTACACTTCATCAGTACGAAGATTTTGCGCTCGTTGCCAAGGACTCATTTCCCGGGGGAATAAGTTGTGACGTCACTAAATGTCGGCTGTCTTCTTAGGCTACATTATAATATAGTCAGTGTTTAATCATTTGAAAGCATTGGTTTGGCGGTGGATTTGTATTCGAGCCAAGAAAGAAGAACGACAAATTTGAGCGAAACGAGTGGAGAAAACTGTAACAGACGAAAATTACAAATGCATTTCACCCCCATCACTTTTGTCATTTTTGTTTTTTTCACTAGGCGCTTTCACACACATCTTCTTCTAGTTCCTCGTCGTCGCCTAGCAACAGCCATTCATCTGAAACATCAGGCTCTTCGTCAAACCCCTTCGCAGAGAGATTTAGATTACCATCAAGTGAAACTCCTTTACCAGGTAAAAAGCAGGATTAATTGGCATGTCATACATGTAGTTCTGTCAAGCAGTAGGAAGCTTAAGCAAAGACGTTTTTGAGCTGCACACGTCAACCGGAAGTAAGGTCTTTTCCCATTTTGATATGCCTTGCCCAGCAATGCGAAATGTCCACTTCCGGTTGGCGTGCTTCGCTCAAAAACGTCTGTTCTTAACCACCCTAGTGTCGAAAAATTAACGTTATTTTCGTCCCCTTTAAGGCTGGGAAGATGGCAAAAGATGCGTGCTATTAGATAAAGACAAATCCTTTTCCCACGTTAAACACAGCAGGTTGTTTCTAACTCAGAGGTAAGATTTTGTTGAGATTGGGATTTGTTTCTCTCTGTCTCTTTTTTTTGGTTTTAGTTAAATTTCTTGCCTTTTATGCAGACTGTGAAGGCTGTGAACTCTCCAGAATAACCTTTGAGGTCTTAGTTGAACGTTCCACATTCATAATATATTTACTTTTCACTACCCACAGCTATTTATGTTTTGAGAAGTCCAGATCGTTGAGCGGAAAACATATTGTCATTAAACTTGATGCAGTCACAAGTCTCCTTAAGGTAAAGTTTGGGTGCCATGGTTATGAAGATCATTTTCTTCTTTGTTTTCTTCCTTTTGCTTTGCTTTGAAGGGGGATTCTCAAGAGCTCCATATCGACTCAAAATTTTCTTACAATGGTTTTAATAAAGCCATTTGAATGTACTGCTTCCCAAGTCTCATTTTAATGGCCACACTATCGAGATTTTGTTCACAGACTTAAGAGTAGGAACTGCCTTTTACAGCATCGTAAATAGTATCATAAGAAAGTTCTGCTAAAAAAGTTTATTTGAATGGTCAGACCATAGCATTTCGTTCACGGATTCAACGTAGAACTAGTATATAAAGGTAGTACCAAGTGAAAGTACTGCTGAAAAGGCTTCATTTCAACTATCATGCAACAAGATTTCGTTCAGAGATGTAAATTGAAAAGTGCATTACGTTATTTCAGAATAGACTATAGCAGCGTAATTGAACACCAAAGTAGTGGCGGAAGCTCCCCCCCCCCTTATTTTTAGACCAAACTGGGCCGAAAAAAAATTTTGTGGAGACCGCCCCCCCCTTGTCTCAGGGTCTGGACGACGCTCCCCCCATTACCTGAAGGTCTGTTTCCTCCAGTGCTAAGTGATGTGGGGTTATAAGATTAGACATCATTCAGTTCGCAGTAGGCTTATTACACATTTACTTTGTTTCTCCAGGCCAAGCCGATAGGCATAATGCCCGGGACGGGAATGGCGATAGAAGTTCAACTGCGAGGAATAGACAAGGTATAGAAAACTTGACGCTTTGTCTCTCTTCCAGAGTTAATCAGAATATATGAGAAATATCAAAGTTTGCCGCATACCGAAAAGTGTTTTCTAAAGTAGATATTCATTTGTCATTAAGCCATGAAGTAGTTTGTGTAAGTTTGGAGAATGCATTTACTAATCTGGCTGTTGTCCCCTTTTTCTAGCCCTACATTTTTGGTGCAATCATTGGCAGGGATGACGTATTTGACAATATCAAAGCCACAGCAAGAGCAGCTAATATCCCATGGGCTCAAGACCGATAACGTGTTGTGTGCAGTAGCCTGCGTAGCAAGCGTTTCCATGATATACAATTCACGCATCTGATGATAGTAATCTTTCAGTGTAGCATAGCGTTTAAATTATTCAGTGTTTTTGTTCTATCACTATCGCCGAGATGTTAGCATGGTTTTGTTTTCAGCCGGTATTTGACCTCAGGATGATGTGGGCGTACATGCATTGTCGGTTTTGTGGAAAAGAACTGACTACCGTGCGATATTTGTAAATTTTGTGCATCTCAAAAGTATGTAAATAACGCTAAACGAATATTAGATACTTTGGACTGCAAAACCGGCCTTCGTTGGTAATGACTGAGTAAAAGATTTTATGGATGAATGAATAACACGTTGTTATGTAGATATATGAATATAGTGTGTAAAAAAGTAGTACACTGGTATATTGAAAGATATGCGACTGGCTACGCACAGAAATGGTTTGACACGGGATATCTCAGTCTAGTCCCTCCGCGTACTCGGCTCGGTCAAGCCTGGACTCTACCGTGAACTGTGACGTCACCCGAGAGAGACTCGCCCACCCATTCCCAGACTTCGCACGGACAGTGGGTCAAGAGAGAGCGCCTAGGGACTAGGTTGAGGATATCTGACACAAGGCTGACCTCTTTGAGGTTGGTGTTTTGACGAATTGCACCATGGGGGTGTTTAAGGGATGCTATCGCTTTTCTGGGTTGCCTGTGGTACATGAAATCGCCAGAAAGACTATATGACAAAAGGCCACTTCCGAGTTCCAGGAACCCTCACTTTCAAACTGAGGCCAAGTGCACATCCTTTCTTGTGAAAATGAGTTTTGTTTGAATGAGAATGAAAAATCATTTCCATATTAAAGGCCGAGTACTTAACCTCGTTTGGATACAGAGGCCCGGAGAACTCAGAAACGTAGTGAAAATACATGAAATAGTTCCAAATAAAAATTCCCTTTTTCCTTTTTTTCTCTCTTGATGAATGAAATGAGTGCACAGGCTCGTCAAAATTTTATCAAGATTGTTTTAGTCTGAGACTGCTAATTTGCCTGAAGAAGGCATGAAGCCCTTTATAAATTCAAACTAAGCAGCGTGAATCCCCTCTAACCGGTTAACTGCACATCTAAAAAGCGTCAAGCAAGGTTCAAAAACAACAGGTTTGTGACCAGTAAACAATGAAGTACCAGTCGATCGCAAACTAACACTGATTTCGGAGTCAACTTAAAGAAAACAGATCGCAGAATTTGCTGGTATGAATTGTTAATGCGAAAGTCCATAAGTTTCTGATTTTGCTAAACTGAATATTCGTCTGAGATTTATACCTTTCTGTTGGATTTGAAGTTGGAATTTAGCGATCTATAATTCATCTTGGAGATCTGCCAGTGAAAGGTAAGAAAAAAATAACGAATTTCCTTTTAAGATCATCATCCCGTCAGTAAAGTGAACAAAGGCCAGTAATTTTAATCTGAGTAAAAGTTTAAAACGCACCACATTTTCTATTAGACGTGCTCTATTCCCTATTTGTTCAAGTCATCAAAACTATTTTATTCTACTGTTAAAAAGTGGTCGAGGGGCATTTCATTTCTTCATGAGCAGATCAGGTCCTCTTTTGTTATTCATGACAAACCGTAATGACACCATGTGATTCGGTGTTGTCGCAAGCTGAGTAGTTCTCTTGAAAAGTAAAAATAGCTAGAGCCGTTTCTCGCTGATCCAGAAAGGACAGCGGTCTGAAAAGACCCGACGCATGAAGCATTACAGATAACTGCGCTTATGTACACCATAACTCCGCTTATAACAGGCCAGTTTATGGGTCAACGATTCATGATCAGGTCCATGGAGCAAGAGGTAAGTTCTAAGGTTTGTGAATGTTGATATGATCCCAGCGTGAGTGCATGGGCATTTGCATAAAAAACGCTTAAGAGCTGCTGTGAGTTATAATAATTTTATGGAAAAATAGAGCTAACAATCCTAGGGAAAACGGATTCTCAAGAAATTAGTTACTTTACTTTGCATATAGTTTTTGTAGTTTTTACTAGTCACTGGGCCGCGACATCGTGTGGAGCCGTTAAACTTAGATTTTTTGCAAAGCAAAATCTCAAAGCTACAATTATAAAACAAATCTCTTGGGGAGGAACAGGACCGAACCGAAGAGGTCGAGCGGGCGGAAATCGCGCCTAGCTGTTGGTGTACGGGGGTATTTGGGGGAGAGGGGATTCCAGAATTAAGCACTAAGAATCCGGAATCCCACTAACGATCGGAATCCGGAATCCAAAATTCCACGACAAGGAATCCTGGATCCAGTACTGGAATCCGGAATCTACACTATGGAATCCAGAATCCAAGACTGTCTTGGGTTCCCTTACAAGGGGCGATTAGTTGACTTTGGAAATGGGAGAGAATATTTAGAAAAGAAAAAATGGGAAAATCGGATCGTGTCTTTGGCTCAGTATTCTGATTCCCGGCTGTGATCTTTCAATGGGAATTTAAGTGATTTGTTTAGAAAGAAAATGCACAAACTTGGGCTACATCTGAGATATGCAGCGACTATCGCTTACTCGAGTTTTACATGGTCTCTACAATGTAGTTAAATGTTAATGATATTTTTGCAAAAATATAGACTTTCACCTGCAGAGAAGAATATACGATATGTTAAGGTGTATACCTTAACAGTAAACAGTAAACAGTAAACCATCCGTGCGCTGGGACCAATGTCTTTCATTATATTGTATCAAGCATTAAATAATCGGGTCCAAACACTTGTTTAGCTAATGCAGCGAGACCAAAACATAAACTTATGTCATACGACGTGAATAATAAAGTTCATTCGGGCGGTTGATTAAAGCTGGAAGACGGGGTGAACATTACTTCTGAACGTCGTTAAAAAAAATTCATTGGCCAGGGTGGGATTATATTCGCTGTTCCAGGTAGGCGCAATATATACGAAACACTACAACAATTCTCATCTTGTAGGTGTGTTAATTTTTACAGAGATAGCGTATAGCGCATTCGTGTGATCAACAAGTTATACTCTTTCCAATGAAGACTATTTTAGCTTGAGGGTTTAAAAGCCAATGTAGATCATCGACAAGATTTCCTGTTTCGTGTTGGACAGCTTTTTTCCCTTCTGCGCCGTTGAAGAATACTTTTTGTACTCTCATACCAAATTATCTAGCGTATACTGAAGACTTTCAGGATTTCCGTGTATAGGAAATATTTAATTTTGTAAAAATGAGATCTTTTTGTTATTTCAGTTTTAATCTTGACCATTTTAGACCAGCGACTGAACTCGATTAAACCCAAGGAGACTCATCTCTAAGGATTTTTTTTTTTCCTCTGGTAAACGAACCGGCGTTGTAAGTCAAGAGTTGACTAAAACCACAACCCAACAGGTGTAACAAACAGGTCTTTTAAAATGAGATCAGCTTTAAGCAGACAAGAGGCTCTAACTCTAACAATCAATTGACAAATTAAAGTCGTCTTCATTATTAGTAAAGCTATGCCCACACAATATGTACGGGGTATAGTTTGAACACCTCTTCCATAGGTGACTCGCCACTCGGCGCGCCGAAGCTTCGCTCCTTTACAGTAATGCTTCCTCGCACCCAGACGTCTCTCGCACGATGAAAATGTGCGCGCAAACTGCACCCTTCCCATTTTCCCTTGCGGTTCATCACCAGTCGCTCTCCTCTACCTTGCGAAAAACGAAGCGCCTGAGGAGAAGGCTGGTTCTTATGTTTAAATCTAAAAAAGACGTCCTATCCGATATAGTTTTTGTGCCGGGGCAAAATCTATCCGATATATAGTGTAAACATAGGAGCCTAAGTTTAGCCATATTCTGAGCGGGTTTAGTTCCTTTTAGGCAGGGAAGTATATTTCAATATTGAGGTGAAAGAGATTGCGGAGGCTAAAACGCGACGTGTTTCTAAATTCTCCTTGATGACCTTAATTACCCCATCAGTGGTTTTTTCAAACAAATAGCGGGTCTTTAAAAACGCGATATACTTCTGAATTTACTATAATGACCTGTAGCCCCTCAGTCTGACGTCAATAAAGGAATAACAGAAAAAATAACGACGTCACACAATAACGAAAACCGAGTTTCCAGGGTGCGTTGTGACCCTGTATTGTATTACAACTCTTTTATAACACAGCACATACACTCTATGGAGTCTCCTTTTTCTGTTTTAAACCACTAGAAATATCTTGAATGGATAATAACTGTTGAATTCGGCTTTCTTATGATTCATATGAACAATTGGATCTCCGAGGAGTTGTTTATAGCGCCTTCTTGATCTGCATAAATCTTCATATGTTAGTCAGCCGCATCCAACCTCTTTTCCAGGGTTCACTCCTACTCGTCCTTGGGAACGAGGCTGGGCCTCATCTAGTGGGTGACCTGGAGTTCTGGGAAGACCTTCCGGGATTGGTTGGGAAAACAATGTACAAACAAAATCAATAATGAAACCTAGCCTGAAAACAAAAGAGCTGCGACCCATCGGGGTCCAATTAAATTAGAGGTTCTGAAGAGCTGCTAGGCTACCGCGGGAGCATACAACTCTTAACAAAACAACACTTTTCGAAGAACTACAAGCAAGCAACTGCGTATATAAGTCACGAGGTGCCCCTGCTAGAGGCATCGGACCACCCCTACTATAGCTGGGGAAACCGCTGACCAGCATTGCTTCGAGGCCAACTTTGCCTAAATTACATTTAGCCACATTAGCCGAAGTATTACCACATGATATAGTCTGCCATATCTTTTTAGTCAACCGTAAAAATTTGCTTCAACATCAATTCATTAAAATAAACAATCTAATGGACTGATATAAATTTTACTTTTGCAGGCATGGTCGTCCTCCATCATCCGCTTCCTCTTCTTTTCGTTGGATTTATTTGCTTTACTCCGTGCACTTTTGGAGAAAAAGTGGAGGCTGATAATGGTAAACAGGTTTTGTTCGTTCAGATTTCTGGGATTGTTTGGGTGGAAAAGTGTTAATTATGATTGGTCGATGGTATTCATGGCAACCATTAACCAATCATAAGTCGCCCTTTTCAAATGAAAGGAACTCAGAAATCCTTGCGCCGAAAGCTAGTACCCATTCAGCTTATAGTCTCTGAAATGGAGAATTGTTACCAATCGCCACTATAGTGAAGGGCCTTCCCTGGGGAGACATACAGAGAGTGAAAAGTTATCGACTGTGAAAAACAAGGTTTGACATGCTGCTTGTTGACTTTCTACAATTAGTGGGAAGTTAATTGAACTTTTCGTTTGCAAGATGGTTATCTTTTTATACGTCAAAAGTTTCTCTAGAACTAAGAAGCTGTCCACACTTGGTACCCGGAAAATGGTGCTTGGGTACCGGCAGAAAATTGTGTCGTGTTCACACCTTGAGTACCCGTCTACATAGTTACTCCGTTTCGCCCTGTTCGACGCCATTTTGAAACTTGAGCTTAGCAGCGAGTACAAAGCAGTGGATTACCCCAGAACTAGCAAAACTGTGTGCACACAGGAACCCGGTGCCTACTTTTGTGCCCGAGGACAAGATCTTCGGGCACCGGCACCTTACCCGAGTTCTAGCGCGGACACTTGAAAAAAGGGTGTTCACATTAGTGCCCAGCGAGGGCCGTACTCGCGCACCGTACCCAGGCACTAAATGTGAACGCTGCCTTTTTAAACTGTTTCCACGTTTAATTAATAGGTTGCTTTGAACCACTTGGAATACAGAGCGGGGAGTTTGAAGACGGCCTGATAACAGCATCAAATGTGCAAAAAAATTTTACAGCAACTGACCCTTGGTGTCCTCCAAAAACCGACGAAAATCAGTATTTACAGGTTGATTTATCCAGAAAGACCGAACTGACAAAACTTGCTACGCAAGGATATAGTGGAGACAAAGAGAAATTTGTGAAGACGTTTGCATTATTGTACAGCGATGATGGAGAGAAATGGGAACAGTATGGAAGCAAAGGGAAGGAGAAGGTATTGCATGTTTTACAAGAGAGATTATTTATTATTTTGGGATTAATTATTCTCTCTTGATATCTTAAAAATGTGTAGAGTAACGCTACGAATGAAGAAAATGGTATATCCCCGTTATCACAAGTGTGGATCAATTAAGGAAAAGATCTGAGCAATCGACAAGTTGTTCGAGCCTTTGTCCTCATTACGGAAACCAATCGGATGTTAAACTTGGATGAAACAGGCCTTAAGAGACTTAAGCCGAGCAAGCGTCCTGGGTACGAATATTTTAAAACCCCCTTCTCTCGCGACGTGAAGGTCCACAATGGCTTCTTATTTCACTGCCAGCCTCAAAATTGTCATATTCCTATCTGTCGACATTCATTCTGTCTTTGCAGATCTTTCAGGCCAATAATAATTCATTTGCGGTTCACCATAACATATTTGAGAAGCCACTCGTGACACGCTACATTCGTGTAAATCCAAGGACTTGGGAAAACGCCATTTGTTTGAGGCTTGAGGTATTTGGATGCGATGGTAAGTCAATAAAAATAATGTAAAAAGTTTTTTATTAAGCAACGGGATTGCGGACTCTTCTTTTATTAGCCTTCCCATAAAGTAAAAGATCACACCTCGTAGACATAAAAGTGTTTGAAGGTAACTCATTTATCAGAAATTCATCACCCCCGCCTTGGTACAAGAGCGGTTTTGGGTGGTGGGGAATAGTGGCTGGTTGCTAGCCTGCCGTCTAGGGTTACTACCTGAGTGTGCATCGCTACTTCACCAAAGTTGAGAGGGTAGACAAATATCCTACTTAAGTTTTCTCAAAAACTTGTTCCTAATCCTCCCAGTTGTTTTTACAATAGATATTTAGAGAGATTCATATGTTAAATTTAATTAATGTTTTCTAACTGGGCATACGTTGTTAAGACATCTACCTCAACTTTTCTTTGCAGTCTAGCTTATATTTTACACCGCCACAGAGGGACATTGTATATATTGAAGGACACAGGAACATAGCAAGAAGAAGTTAAGAAGAGTATGGGCCGAGCGCTTCCATTATTAACTTCGTTGAAGGGTTTTTTTGTATACTAGTTTCCCGAGGGACGAGTAGCAGTCAGAATTCTGGGAACGAGGTTGTTCTATTTTACGGTCTACTCAAAACTGGCCAGCGACAAACTATGACATTTAGAATATAAGAACGCAAGCACTGATGAAGGAAAGAAAAAAAATACTCAACGAATGTTATCGGACCTGCCATAGTAGGTAGGGATGATAAGGGGTAATGGACGCCGGCATTTTGACCTTTTTTTTTAAATTCTCTCGACTCGCGGAAAATGTTGATAACATTTTTCATGGAAAGAAAAATCATCTCGACTTGTTGAGCTAAAAACGACGAGTTTAATTTTTAACCGCGGATAGCGCGATATATCACGAGGGTATTTTCTATCAAACGTGTAAATGTCTTAATTATGTTAATCATTAAAGTTATTGCTATGGTTTTCAATCGTTTTGTGTGCAGTTCATTAGTCAAGATATTCTCCAAAAGCTTTTTATCCTTCAAAAAAACAATTCGCTTTAGCACCTTGGTTGCCCTAAATTTTGGGCGATTTCTCCATGAAAGGTGCGCGGTATCGTGGCATGTGATGGTGAGGAAAACGGTAACATTCTTTGATTCACTTTGTGAGAGTGACCCTAAGTGAGTTTAGGCTCGCTATTTGATGGCAATGAATTTGCATTGATTTTATTATCGGATACAGCTTAGATCACCAAAACGGAAAATAGTGATATTCATGTGGCATGTTGAATATAACATAAGCACATGCGCAATTGTCGATTTTGTCGCGGACGAGGCCAATTTTGATCCCAAGCTTTAGCGGTAACTAAGGTTTTGTTGTCGAGATTGTGCATGAGGCTTTTAATTTTCCTCTCTATTCAGCATATTCTCTTTAAGTCAAATTTCTGTTTGAAAATATTAAGTCGTTTGCGTTTTCTGATGTAAATATACACTCGCAAGTTTTATTGCCGTACCACATTTGGACCTTGAACTGTCTTCCGAAACCAGGCCCCATGCCATCTCATACCCAGAGTCGCTGGATACGAGATTGTGTATAAACTTGAAAACCGTTTGGACGAGGTTTGATATCGATTTTCCTGAAGGATTAAGGAGTTAAAAAGAGAAAAGATCAGTTTTTAACAACAAAACAAATTGAACCACTCAAAGGAAATTTTTACTTGAATGACTTTTAATATACCCCCGATAGCAATCTACATTTACTCTAGCTATCCCGCTTATAGCCCAAATTTAAGAAGCTGATTGATCAGTGGATGCTTATGACAAGGGAGCACATGTTGTCGGTTCTTCAATTTCCACATCCCCTTCTTCACCGCCCTTGAAATCGCCCCATTTTAGATAATTGCCCTCTGGACCAAAGCATCTTGAAAACAACTGCACGATTTCGTCCTCCGACATTTCATAATCCCACATGTTCACGCCAAACATCTTGCCGTTAAAACTCTGGTCACTTTCGAATCCACCTCCGTATTCATCTTGATCTTGGCCGAGGATGACAATCCCACCACTGTTGATCACATGACCAGTTTCGAAATCACTTCCACTTCCCTTCAGTTCAGCATCAATGTAAAAGTGCCACGAACCCTCGCCATTTTCCCAGGTTGTACAAATGTGATGCCATTCGTCATCATTGGCAGTCACCCCATCTAGTCTCCTGTGAAGAATATTTTCAAGAGTTTTCATAGTCCGTTTTTTTCGGCTAATTCAAAAACCCACTGGAGATTGCGCGGTGCGTAAAGCTACGGGCGGGGTTTTCCCTTTTTTGCCAACTTCTCCTAGATATGTTAGTGAAAGAAAATGACTGTTTAGAGTTGGTCTTGCTAAGTACTAAATTAAGTCCTTAAAGTTTCAACCGATTTCACTCAAAACTCTTAAACTTCTAGAGTTATCGTTTCCTTAACTGTGTGTTCAGGATGTTATAATATTCATTTAAAACAGGTAACCCTCAAATTCAAATTTAGGAAAATTAGACGTAGTGAGTATTGAATTTGGCATAGCAAGCATTTTGGAATATTTTTGATGAAAGAAGAACGTCAATGACCTTTTCACTGTCGCCGCCCGTCTTCTAGAATGACTATTACACTCGTTTACTTTCGTGTTTCCAATCTCGTCCCCAGAGCCTTCGCGCTGAAAAAAGGATTGCAGCCTCTGGGAACCAGATTGTTGTGTTGCCTACGAACAAGACCAAAATACAGTGCGGGATTTAGAAAACCGTAACGGGATACGGGATTTGATTGCTAACCGGGAAGCGGGATTCGCCAAATTTTGGGCACAGATGCGGGATTGGGAAAGAAAATGATATTCGGGATTATAGCGATGAGAGAAGTCGGGAATGCGGGACTCTCGTGAAAAAGGAGTGGAAAGGCGGGCCTCTCGTGAACTAGGAGTGGGGAATGCGGGACGTTCGTGAAAAAGGAGTGGGGAATGCGGGACTCTCGTGAATAACGAGTGGGAATGCGAGCACAGGGCTCTCTTTCTAGACCTCATACTAATGATTCCCTGAAACCTACACTTTTCTGCCACCAATCAAAATCTTGAATGTTGAGTAGTCGGTTATTAGGAGTTCATTGTCTTGATCTTCGGTGGCGTAACTAAACAAAGTCCCGTCATCCGACTGATCACCAACTTTTATCCACATACAGACAGTAAAAGCAGTGACATCTGAAGCCGAAGAGGGCACATCGAGCCTGACGTAGTCGTCGACAACTTTGTTGGGAAAGTTGAACTGAAAGTTATCGTTGTGAGGAACTGTAGAGTTAAAGAAAGCTCATTAGAGTTCCCATAGAAGGTATGTTTTGGGAGATGAGCAAATGGTGAACAGTCTTCTAAACAGCAGTTCTTTGTATTATTATATGTAACTTTCCCTTCCCCCTTACCTACCTCCACATCTTGCGCCCGTCCAGTCTGGTCTGCACTGACAACTGTACCTCCCACGTGGTAGGTTGCTACACGTACCTCCATTCAAGCATGGACTCGAGTCACAGAGTCTCGCTGTTAACAGACCAGTTACTTTTATTATTGAGTACCAATACGTACGGGTCATTTTATAAATAGATTTAGCCAAATCCAAAAGCGAAGCTCTCGTGTGAACTTTTAAGGTGGCAAATATACGCAAAACTGAAGTAAAAAAAATGAGTGAAATGTCTACACGAACAAAAATTTTGTAAACAGTAATACTCCGTTGTTGTTTGGTATCAAATGAATTCTTCATCCATGTACTTTATGAAATGTCTTTCTGAAGTAAATTTTTCTTAGCCTACGATCACTTCAATACCATAAATGGTCAGTAGAAAACTTAAAAAAAACTCGTCACGTCAATTAGTTGAATACTTAAGCCTGCGATACAGTCATGTGACACTGATCAGCGGATACCCTATTTTGACAGCTGTCGATTGACCATAACAAGGTATCGCTTTTTACAGATCAATCACTCCCCGAGGAATTAAACAGAATGAGCAATTATACTTTAATACGCGTCAATTCATATAACGGCTATCAATGAAAGAAGAAAAAACTATATATAAAAAACAAAAGTTTTAAATCATAAGTGCATGGGCTCAAACCGTTTATAGACAAAATGCGAGCTTAGATAGATGCTTAGATGTGAGTGTTCGGCCTGAATGCTATTGAAATCAGGGGTCCATCAGCCCGGCCAGTGCCTTATCTCTTTCAATTGGCTTGTATCAAAGCAAATACGTCTTCGCGGCAAGCAACAGGTTTAATAAGCAAAACAAAAACTCTGAACTTCCTAAGTTCGACGTCTGACCCAACAGACCATCTTAACTCAATTTAGGTTGACCTACATTAAAGGTTGGTTTCGTCCCATGAAAAGTTCAGCGTTTTGCCTAAGCCTAACAAACTGTTGCACCTTAATAGTGCAGATGGAGTCCCTGGGCTTATAGGCTCAAGTCTAACTGAACTAAATCGATTTTCACCTGATATTCCGATCTGTGCCAGATCCAGTGTAAAAAGACCAATCAGGAGAATGACAACTGCTTTCGTAACAACCATGTTTCTTCCTGCGTGAAATTAAGGCAAAAAAATTGGGATGAAATTGTAAAATTAGCTCCAATGCACGCGGCCCTTACTAAAATTTCTTAGTGAGGAGTCCTGCGCGCTAATTCAAAAAGAGCAGTTGTTTTTTATTTTGTTGTTCAAATGTCTTTCTCAATAGCTCGTTAGTTTTGTTTCAAGTGAGGTTAAGTAGCTGAAATGAATAAATGAATTTTATCGCCTAGTTTCGACGAGTGTATGGATATTGATAGTTTTAAACAGACACTTTTTAATTATATGTCTTGTACGAAATAATTTTGAATATATTTTGAATAATTTTGAATGTATTTTGAATAATTAACCACTGTAAATAAGTTTTCTTTTCTTGATTAACAGTATTATGTAATAGTTAACATGGTGACCGAAAAGCCCTGTTGAACGGAGTCTCAATAAAGTGTGTATGTATGTACGAGTGTGTTAAAAGGTCGCGTATAGTCCGGGAAAAAGATAAACGGTGACGAGAATCAAGCCTGATCTGAAATAAAAGCAATTTATTTTGAAACATAGTGAAAAGATCATAATTAATTTTCATCAGTTTGTCACGCCTACGCGACGCCAGCAGTGACCACGAAACGGCTTAATCTGTTTGCCAGCCAACAGAGCCAATGTGACGACAAATACGACAAAAAAATACTTATCACGAACTGTAACTGTTGCTTACCCAGGAAAAACTGCTTGATGCTTTGTTTTCGCTTGGTTTCAATGGCCATAATTTCTCATTTTAAATAATTCATACAATTAAATGTGTTTTTAAACTGTTAAAACACAGCTGCAGTTTTCAAGTTTTCCTCGAATTTTCTTGGGTAGGATTTAAGTAGGAAAAAATAAGTTATTTAAAAGGGAATTAAAAGGTTTTTAACTAAGTGGTCTACTATGGTTGGTCTTTTGTTGCAAAATTCAAGAAGTGGACATTGCAACAAACGGCCAACCACAGTCTGCCAAACTAACGGTTCAAGGCCGTGAAGAATGTGTTTTAAGCGTCATGAGCTCGTTCAGTCTTAGGTCAAACATCAGCACAATTTCTAAATTTTTGTAAAATGTTGAAATACATGCAATACCGTAAAAAAAGTAGTGTTGAAGAGGTTTCAATTCAGAGGTCACAATCCGACCTTGTCCACAAACAAACAAACTGGAACCAACTCACATCATGTACAAGGCTCCGTCATTCACTATCATCGAGGAGGTTAAATGCAACACCCTTGTTTATTAAGTTACTTAACAGTGTGCGACATTAACAAAGATTCGCAGAATGAAGCTGAAGACTAAATGGAACGAATAGGCAAAACAATCATTAAATTTCTTTACAATTATCTCGAAAATAATTGTGGATTTTGTTTCGTTAAAAAGGGAATGGGCTTTGCATGACAGCCTTAGCAAATCAATCAATCTTATACTGAATTTATCAGTACACACCTTAAACGTGGTTATCCTGCTGGGAAAGAATTCTTGCGAACTTTGGTTAAAAAGGGCTGCAAAATATAAAACAGTGCTTGTTGACAACCAATTGACCTTATTTACAACAGCAAAAATAAGAAGCAACTGACATTACCCTATCGACCAACACAGATAGTTTACGCTTTATGGTTACAAAATTTTCTGCAAGGACCCCTAATGTGTGACCGCTTTTGATTTATTCACATTCTTTACATCAGTAATCCAATCAAAAGCCAGCTGGAAACTGTTCTCGACTTCTGATTGGTTACTGTCTGCATGAAAGAATGTGAGTTAATTTTGAGTGTGGAAATGACGACATTGGAAACTCGGCTATTAGTTGTAGATGACAATGAATAATCATACTTAGATGGATCCTTTTTTTAGGTTGTCAGTGCTAGAAGAAACGGAGGGGCTGGAGGATGCTGTGTCCGCTATTTTATATTATCAAAGAAGAAAACCCGAAGAGCCGCTTGCAAATGAAATATTTTGTGATACGTAGAGATGTTAGTTTTATTTTCAAATTCTAATCGATTATTCAGTCACACTTCAGGTCTTCAGGTAAGAGAGGTTGAGTACCAAAACATAATTTACAGGGTACATGCTCTTCACTGTGCGTCAAATAAAGCCTTTTGCTTGAGAAAAAACAAACAAACAAACAAACAAACACAACAACAACAATCATGAAGAAAATAGTCTTCAACAACAACAATCACGAAGAAAAACAAAGCAGTTGAAAAAAATGTTTTTGGAATCATAGGGGAAAGAAGTTATACCATGATTAGGAGAAAGTTTTCGATACCATGCATTGTCAAGTTTCCATCAAAAAGCCGATAATCGTACCTGCCGGTTATCAACAATTTGGAAAATGTCGTTTCCTTCTACTGGTAAAAAAAAAATCAGACCTCTGTAAAAACAATGCCCTGACTCATTTTAGCGTTGAGCACTCCACTTATTCTCAAACGACTGTCGAACGAATTGGTTCAGACTTAGAGCAAGTAATGAAAAAAAAGGCCTTAACACTTCTACACAGAGGTGTTGGCCAATTGAAGCCCAGACAAACGAAGGACAATGTAGCCTAAACTCCCAGTGCAGCTTGAATAGTCTTCAACACTTAACGGTTCATTAGAAATAATTTTGAACGAAGGAAAATACAGAATTAATAAATTAGAAGTGCAAAACTTTGCCAAAAAAAAAAACTTTGGCACCGACAAAAAATCGAAAAAAAAACAAGCAAAAATACAGGACAAACCATACTTACAAGATCTGTTCGGCAACTCAGGGTACAACGACTGATTTGAATGGACGAAAGAGAAATAATTTATTTTGAACTGAACAAGCAACTGACAATAGAACTAATGAACTTACGAAATTTGACAATAACGATTACGTAACGCGACGCCGAGAAATTGAAGTTACAGTGATAATATGCATATTTGAAAAAAAAAACTGACAAAAAAGAAAACCGAGCGATAAGAAAAAGGTAACTAAACTAAATTCACTCACCAATAAAAACACGAAAAAGAACAACAAGTTCCCAGAAGAATCACTGATTCCTCAAACCTGGGTGGCTACGTGAGAGTGTTTGCCACGCACTGTACAATAAAGCAATATAGCAAAGTTTATTCAGCTTTTCTACATAGTGTTTGAACAAAAACAAACGAATCTCAGTTACTTATTAAGACACTTTGGTAAGATCGTACTGCTTTGTGTTATCTTTGGGTAATTTAAAGATTGCGATTTTTTTTCTTCACTTCACAAAATGTAATTAATCGCTCCTATTCTCACCTGTGCACGTAATTCTAAATTTATTGCCAACTAGAAAAAGGGTAAATATTTATTACTGAATTGCATTCTATTCGCATTAATTAACACTTTATTCTGCGTCCTTCCATTCTGTTGATTCTGAGCTTTTTAAAATGGTATCGAATTGCGCACTATTTCATTACAAAACATCACTCCATGTCAAGAGAGAATCAATTAACACTGACATAAGCTCTAAGGCTCTTCACAAAAAAATTAAAAATAAAAATAAAAATAATCAATTACTTCATCAATGCGAAGTGGTCAAAAAGTAATTAGTGGATACTATAATTATATGAATAATAAAAAAGCTCTTTGAAACCGCCGTGGACTGCTCTGAAAAGGATTCACTTTTCTCTCGAGTTGCCTCTTAGTAAATTAAACTCAAATGAGTTGGCCGTAAGAATGCACCTCTCTGAGACTTTTTGAAAGACTACCCTTCCCTTCTTTATAGGACAACCGTACAGGGAAAGTTACCCCTGTTTGACAGATTGTCACTGTACAGACCATTGAGAGAGAGAGTTTGACCCTAACTACCAAAGATTCTCGATAAGGATTCTAGTAAGTTGGGGTACGTAAGATATACAATGTTCAAAACAGGAATATAATCACCGAGCGTTACATAATTCACACGAATCTCATAATATTTGTCTTTTCAGTCGATTTTAGCGAATTAGCATAGGTGAGCAAATAAATTGTAGTGCAAATCTTAGTTTACTCGCTCAGTAATTCCAAAACCGAAACGCTTCTGTAAGAGATTGGAACTTGGGACAGATGATCGAGAGTCTCAATGCGGTGGTCGCTTTGATGGTGTTGACGGTTAATTTTTTTCCCATTTTGACAGTTGAATATTTAGTACAAGAGTGAAAGTAGAAATAAAGTTTTGTTTAAATTTGTATTAACTGTTGTGTTGTATTAAAGGTTGTCTTGGTTTTTCTCTAATATAGAATTTCGAAATATTTTCAGACATTTATGTCCAGAGAGGGTGTTTTTGAGAAAATGGGAACTGGCTTTTCCAGTTGGGAGAAAGCTTTAGGGGTAACTAAGGTTTTGCGGTCGAGATTGTGTACGAGGCTTCTAAGTTGCCCTTCTATTCCTCATACTCTGTTCAAGCCAGATTTCTGTATGGAAAATATTTTGAAAACGTTTCCGTTTTCTGATGTAAACATTCACTCGCAAATTTTATTACCATATTTGGACATTAGACTGTCTTTGGAAACCAGGCCTTGTGCCACCTCATACCCAGAGTCGCTCGATACGAGATTGTGTATAAATTTGAAAACCGTTTGAAAGAGGTTCGATGTCGATTTTCCTGAAGGATTAAGGAGTTAAAAACAAAAAAGATCAGTTTTTAATGCATTTTAAAACAAATTGAACCACTCGAAGGACATATATACTTGCATTACTTTTAATACACCCCCGATAGCAATCTACAATTACTCTAGTCCGCTTATAGCCTTAATTTAAGTAACTGATTCATCAGTGGATGCTTATTGCAAGGGAAGGCATGTTGTCGGTGCTTCAATTTCCACATCCCCTTCTTCACCGCCCTTGAAATCGCTCCATTTTAGATAATTGCCTTCTGGATCAAAGCAACTTGAAGACAGCTGCGCAATTTCGTCCTCCGACATTTCATAATCCCACATGTTCACGCCAAACATCTTGCCGTTAAAACTCTGGTCACTTTCGAATCCACCTCCGTATTCGTCTTGATCTTGGCCGAGGATGACAATCCCACCACTGCTGATCACATGACCCGTTTGGAAATCGCTTCCATTTCCCTTCAGTTCAGCATCAATGTAAAAGTGCCACGAACCCTCACCATTCTCCCAGGTTGTACAAATGTGATGCCATTTGTCATCATTGGCAGTTACCCCATTTAGTGTCCTGTGAAGAATATTTTCAAGAGATTTAATAGTCCGTTTTTTTCGCCTGAATTAAAAACCCACTGGAGTCTGCGCAGTGCGTAAAGCTACGGGCGGGGTTTTCCCTTTTTTGCCAACTTCTCCTAGATATTTTAGTAAAAGAAAATGATTATACAGAAAAAACCTATCAATATACGAAAAAATTGGACTAGCTAAATAATTAATTAAGTCTTTAAAGTTTCAACTGATTTTTCTCTCAAACTTCTAAAGTTATCGTTTCCTTAACTCTGTGTTCAACATCATAAGATTTATTTAAAACAGTTAACCCTCGCATTCAAATCCAAGAAAATTTGACGTAGTCTGAGTGATGCATTTGGCAAAGCAAGGATTTTGGAATATTTTTGATGAAAGAAGAACGTCAATGACTTTTTCACTGTCGCCGCCCCTCTTCTGCGCATGACTATTACACTCGTTTACTTTTGTTTCCAATCTCGTCACCAGAGCCTTCGCGCTGACAAAACAGATTGCAGCCTCTGGAAACGAATTTGTTGTGTTGCCCCCGAACAGGACCAAAATACAGTGCGGGATTCAGAAAACGTCAACGGGATACGGGATTTGATTGCTACCCGGGAAGCGGGATTCGCCAAAATTTGGGCACAGATGCTGAATCGGGCGGAAAGGAAATGATATTCGGGATTGTAGCGATGACAGAGGTTGAGAATGCAGGACTCTCGTGAACTAATGGAGCGGGAATGCAAGATCAGGACTCTCTTTCTAGACCTCATGCTAATGATTCCCTGAAACCTACTTTTTCCTGCCACCAATCAAAATCTTGAATCTTGAGTAGTCGGTTATTAGGAGTTCATTGTCTTCATCTTCGATGGCGCAACTAAACAAAGTCCCGTCATCCGACTGATCGCCAACTTTTATCCACATACAGACAGTAAAAGCAGTGACATCTGAAGCCGAAGTGGACACATCGAGCCTGACGTAGTCGTCGATGACTTTGTTGGGATAGTTGAACTGGAAATTACTTTTGTCAGGAACTGTAGAGTTAAATAAAGCTCATTAGAGTTCCCGTAGGCAAGAAGCATTTGAAAAAAGACGCTCTTTGAGCGTAAACTTGGGCCATAATGGTATATAGGGATTAATGGAGAAAACAAATTTAAAACTAATGCCGAGTAATGACGTAACGCTTAAAGTCCGTTTACACGACATAAAATTGGGTACGGTCCCGTCAAGAGACAAGGACGGACATCACATTTTTTCCCTCGTAAACTTTGGCGGTCTTCTTTCCTATAAATTGTTGTTTTAGAAGTTTCAAAGGGAAGGCGAATATTGTTAATCCTGTAAACAAGCTTTATTCCGTCGCTTACAAAGTTCAACGATCGATTTTGGTTATTTTAGTTATCTTGGTTCTTTACTTGGAGATATTTTACGAACAATTAATGGATTTGACCCCTTCACTCACCGAATCCTGCATTTCCACAGTACCGTAACCAGCATACAGGTGTTGTGACCAGTTCGTAAACAAAAAATCCATTACATCTCTTTATCTGGATGTCTGCATGCCAGTTACAACACTTATCACCCCAGTTAAAGCACACTGTGCCATTAACGATCTGTCCGACACTTGTTGGATGCGGAGTGCTTAACCATCCAGGTGCATGTGCTCCACAGTAATGTACTGGAACACAGGAGGTTGGCATCTGAATACCAGCGTTTCCAATAAACCTGTACCAGTGTGCCGCCCGGTTCTCCAAATCCTGACCATATTTCAGACCAAGACATGTCATTTTCCAAACACGTTTTCAGACCTGGCCTTTAGGCAGAAATTATTTCATCATTACTTAGATTAGAAAGCAAACAAAAAAATTCTTCAAATCCATTTCGAATTCGCATATTTCTCTTTCTTTCTTACTAATTTGGAATAGACCTTTTCATGGGCTCCTGACCTTTTCACTGGTACGGCGACCATTTTGTATTACTTAGATTTAACGAGTATTATGGGATAACCAGAGGGGATGAGCACATTCCAAAAAATTCGCTTGGTATTTACGTGCCTTTAGGGTTATTTTTTCTTAAAGTTTTCCGTGATAAGATTGTAATTGGAAAAAACATCGTTGTGCCGTGATTGGATGTAATAATAATGGCCTTTTTCCCGAGAAATATACAGTGAAGGAGCATAAAAACTAATACCAGGCGAGAAAACGGATCGAGCTTATGATCCCTGGGTATCCCATAATACTCATTAAATCGAATTAATTCAATATGGCCGCCATATCGGTAAAAAATATCATTAAATATGTTCATACACTCCCGTAGTTCCCTCGAAAACCATACCCGATTGCAGACCAAAATGGACAAAGTGTATAGCCGTTTTTCAGACCAAAAAGGCCCAAAAACCTGAAGCGGCACATACCTATATGACTTCCATAAGGGAGTACGCCCGCGTGCTAACCAAACGTAACTCCCGGGTGCAATGTTAAAATCCCCGCTATTTGAAGGTAAGTGCCAAATTACTCGCCCCCCGGCGACTACACGCTGTTAAACCCGCGTTAAATCCCCGGCATTGACGAGTTAATTCCCTGCCCTATCCCGGGGGTCGGGGGGTGAGGATTTCAATCGACTAGTGCATTAGAGTATAAGGACGCAAGCAGTGATCATGGAAAGAAAAAAAATACTCAACGAATGTTATCGAACCTGCCATGACAGGTATAGATGATAATGGGACCCGGTATTTTGACCTTTTTTTTAACTCTCTCGACTTGCGGAGAATGTTGATAACTTTTTTCGTGGAAAGAAATTTCATGATAATTAAAGTTATTGTTATGGTTTTCAATCGTTTCATGTGCAATTCATTTGTCAATGTATTCTCCAAAAGCTTTTTTGTCCTTAAAATGTCAGCTTCAGCAACTTGGTTGCCCTAAATTTTGAGCGATTTCTCCATGAAAGTTGCTGGGTCTTTAATGAATATCTTGGCATGTGATGGTGAGCGAAAAGGCAACATTCTTTGATTTAATTAGTGAAAGTGACCCAAAGGGAGATAAGGAGGCCCTCTATTCGATCGCAATGGATTTGCATTGATTTTAGTATCGGATACAGCTTAGATCACCAAAACGGAAAATAGTGGTATTCATGTGGCATATTGAATGTAACATAAGCACATGCGCAATTGTCGATTTTGTCGCGGAAGTGGCCAATTTTGTCCCCAAGCTTTAAGGGTAACAAAACAGTTTGTGGTAGAGATTGTGTGCCAGGCTTCTAAGTCGCCTTTCCATTCCGCATATTCTGTTCAAGCCAGATTTCTGTATTGAAAATATTTTGAAATCGTTTGCGTTTTCTGATGTAAATATTCACTCGCAAATTTTGTTACTATATTTGGACCTAAATAGACTGTCTTTCGAAACCAGGCCCAATGCCATCCCATACCCAGAGTCGCTGGATACGAGATTGTGTGTAAACTTGAAAAACGTCTGGACGAGGTTTGATATCGATTTTCCTGAAGGATTAAGGAGTTAAAAAGAGAAAAGATCAGTTTTTAATGCATTTTAAAACAAATTGAACCACTCAAAGGACGTATATACTTGCATTACTTTTAATACACCCCGATAGCAATCTACAATTACTCTAGTCCGCTTATAGCCTTAATTTAAGTAACTGATTCATCAGTGGATGCTTATTGCAAGGGAAGGCATGTTGTCGGTGCTTCAATTTCCACATCCCCTTCTTCACCGCCCTTGAAATCGCCCCATTTTAGATAATTGCCCTCTGGATCAAAACAACTTGAAGACAGCTGCGCAATTTCGTCCTCCGACATTTCATAATCCCACATGTTCACGCCAAACATCTTGCCGTTAAAACTCTGAGAACTCTCGAATCCACCTCCGTATTTGTCTTGATCTTGGCCGAGGATGACAATCCCACCACTGCTGATCACATGACCCGTTTGGAAATCGCTTCCATTTCCCTTCAGTTCAGCATCAATGTAAAAGTGCCATGAACCCTCACCATTCTCCCAGGTTGTACAAATGTGATGCCATTTGTCATCATTGGCAGTTACCCCATTTAGTGTCCTGTGAAGAATATTTTCAAGAGTTTTAATAGACCGTTTTTTTCGGCTGAATTAAAAACCCACTGGAGTCTGCGTAGTGCGTAAAGCTACGGGTGCGGTTTTCCCTTTTTTTGCCAACTTCTCCTAGATATTTTAGTAAAAGAAAATGATTATACAGAAACACCTATCATTATACGAAAAAATTGGACTAGCTAAATAATTAATTAAGTCTTTATAGTTTCAACTGATTTTTCTCTCAAACTTCTAAAGTTATCGTTTCCTTAACTCTGTGTTCAACATCATAAGATTTATTTAAAACAGTTAACCCTCGCATTCAAATCCAAGAAAATTTGACGTAGTCTGAGTGATGCATTTGGCAAAGCAAGGATTTTGGAATATTTTTGATAAAAGCAGAACGTCAATGACTTTTTCACTGTCGCCGCCCCTCTTCTGCGCATGACTATTACACTCGTTTACTTTTGTTTCCAATTTCGTCACCAGAGCCTTCGCGCTGACAAAACAGATTGCAACCTCTGGAAACGAATTTGTTGTGTTACCCCCAAACAGGACCAAAATACAGTGCGGGATTCAGAAAACGTCAACGGGATACGGGATTTGATTGCTTCCCGGGAAGCGGGATTCGCCAAAATTTGGGCACAGATGCTGAATCGGGCGGAAAGAAAATGATATTCGGGATTGTAGCGATGACAGAGGTTGAGAATGCAGGACTCTCGTGAACTAATGGAGCGGGAATGCAAGATCAGGACTCTCTTTCTAGACCTCGTGCTAATGATTCCCTGAAACCTACACTTTTCTGCCACCAATCAAAATCTTGAATCTTGAGTAGTCGGTTATTAGGAGTTCATTGTCTTCATCTTCGATGGCGTAACTAAACAAAGTCCCGTCATCCGACTGATCACCAACTTTTATCCACATACAGACAGTAAAAGCAGTGACATCTGAAGCCGAAGAGGGCACATCGAGCCTGACGTAGTCGTCGATGACTTTGTTGGGATAGTTGAACTGGAAATTACTTTTTTCAGGAACTGTAGAGTTAAATAAAGCTCATTAGTCAGTTCCCGTAGGCCAGAAGCTTTTTTTGTAAAAAGACGCTCTTTGAGCGTAAACTTGGGCCATAATGGTATATAGGGCCGGATTAATGGAGAAAACAAATTTAAAACCAATGCCGAGTAATGACGTAACGCTTAAATTTCGTTTACACGACATAAAATTGGGTACGGTCCCCGTCAAGAGACAAGGACGGACATCACATTTTTTCCCTCGTAAACTTTGGCGATCTTCCCTCTTGGGATGTTATAGGGCCCTCTTTTGAGCTATTTTGAAAAAATAGCTAATATGTCAGTGGTTTGAGCGTATGTATCTTTGTGGCTTTGTAGCTTTGTATGTTCGGATGTTTGTTGCAGGAGCCAATAAGGTTCAAGGTACTATGAGTTGATGCATAAGAACCAATGAGATTTTGGCATCTAACCGTTAATGACATTACTTAAGGTCAAACAAGGGGACTTAGAGACCGCTATAATTCACAATTTTTACTTCTTTTATTACGACTAAAGGAGTTTAAAAGCATAAAATTGATATATCTTCATGATTCAAACGCTGAGTACAGTGACGTAGCTGTTGATGGGTCTATATTTTAGTGTGGGTGCTGCTTCAAGACATTTGACCTAATTTGGCTATCGAGAACGGTACTACAACGCACGTATTTCATAATTTATGAGTTCTGTTTCACCTGCCTCAAAGTAGAGTATAAAAGATTATATATTTTTCAAAGTTCTTCTACATTAAATTTAGATATCGACTTCAAATCGGAAGTTTACGGCCTATAAATTGTTGTTTTAGAAGTTTCAAAGGGACGGCGAATATTGTTAATCCTGTAAACAAGCTTTATTCCGTCGCTTACAAAGTTCAACGATCGATTTTGATTATTTTAGTTATCTTGGTTCTTCACTTGGAGATATTTTACGAACAATTAATGGATTTGACCCCTTCACTCACCGAATCCTGCATTTCCACAGTACCGTAACCAGCATACAGGTGTTTTGACCAGTTCGTAAACGTAAAATCCATTACATCTCTTGATCTGGATGTTTGCATCCCAGCTACAACAGTTATCACCCCAGTTAAAGCACACTGTGCCATTAACGATCTGTCCGACACTTGTTGGATGCGGAGTGCTTAACCATCCAGGTGCATGTGTTCCACAGTAATGTACTGGAACACAGGAGGTTGGCATCTGAATACCAGCGTTTCCAATAAACCTGTACCAGTTGGGGGTGGTCAGGTCTTTCTGGTCACATTTGAGAGTATTTCCTCTGTGCACACCTGCAGCACGCTCACTGTCGTCGAGTTGTTCGTAGTCTTTACATTCGTCAAATACTAAAGTAAAGATATGAAAACATAAATTTTTTTTTGCTAATTTTGACGTAATGCATGCTTTTTTTATATTTACAACACAGTCGACTCCCGATAACTCGAACCTTCAAGGGAAATCGAAAACAGTTCGAGTCATCGGGAGCTCGGCGAAGATAATAGCCCCGGGAGTAAGGAAAAGAACAGTTTTTACAGCACAGTGAACATTTTAATCACATTCAATTGTAGAAATGTCAAGCTAAAATTAAAAGATACTTCTAGATTATCAAGCAGAAGTAACGTAGCAACATATAGCCTAATATTAAGAGCATGCGTTTTACTGTTTTGAGACTGGTAAAGCTGTTTCACGTTAGATTTGTGACAAACAACATCTTCAGCCTCCACTAGTCAGGGGCACCCAACGAGAATATAGTTCAAAACCACTTAAAAATAGCATTGTTAAACGTATTTTAGTATTTAAACGGTAAATATAGGCATATTTTTATCCCCTAAAAATTTTTCATCTCTTCGAATTTCCTAGCTGAAAGTCTAGTGATTCGAAAATTATAGGGAACAAAACTTACCTTTTCGAAAATTTCAGCCGAAAAAAGGCTCCCGAAAAATTCTCAATGAACCATCCTACGTAATCAACGTTTTTTCGTATAAAAACAATCACAGATAGAACTTGATGTAACGCAACAAATCAAAATTCATTAAGAATGCAAAATATGTACCGATTTCACAGTCATTGCCCAAGAATCCAGGCTTGCATTCACACTTGTAGCTTCCTGGAAGGTTTTCACATGTTCCTCCATTGCGACAAGGTCCAGAGGTACACTCATCGACGTCTGCAAGTAAAGCAGTGTTATCAATGTTTAGTAAAATCGAACTAGTGGTCTATTATTAATGCTGCGTTCTGATTGGTTGAGCTACTACTAGGCTATATGTTATAGCCCACTAGTAGCGAAAAGCGCCGGCTTTTCGGCGGCAAAAAAGGATTAAAGTCCAGCTTTAAGTAGCTAAAACTTTTTTATTCTCGATATTTTTGACCATCTAGTTGGATGTTACTAAAACAATTATTCCTCTTGCCCTCATAGCCTCTGAGTCAATAGCCTATTCGGCCTTCGTCCTTCATGGGCTATTGACTCAGAGCCCATTCGGGCTCGAGGAATAATTGTTAAATCTTCTTATTTTTTTCCATCAGGCAAAATTTTCAAAAAACAATACGCTCGTTAATATAGATTCCTAGAAATAGCTCTATCTATACGACTTTTCTAAAAACAAGCCTCCTAAATATTACTTCAAACGGCACAATATAAAGTTTTTGTTCTACTTTCATAAATGGAAAAAACAATGTTGGTTACTTACCTTGTTCGCAGTCCTTCCCTTCGTAACCCGGCTTGCAGTGACAGAAGTAATCATCGTTGTTATTAACACATGTTGCTCCGTTTTGACAAGGCTTGCTTGCTTCACATGGGTCTGAGGAGTTTTTGGGAGATGTAAAATGAATAATAAGTTATTTAGTTAATTATATTTGTTAAATCTACAATTTCCCAATGACGTACATGCTTACACTTTAAGGTGGATTTCCACTGTCGCTTAATTTTTATGTGCGTACACATACACGTAGATTTTAGACGCGCAAATAAAATAGAGGCAATGTAGGAAGGTCACGCGTAAACGTAAATTTGAACTTCGCTCAACAGTTACGTTTACGCGCGACCCAGTCATACATCGCCTCAATTTTATTTAAGCGCCTAAAAACGTGCGTACTCATGTGAAAATTACGCGACAGTGGAAATCCACCCTTAGTTATCTTTGTTCTTTACTTAGAGATATGTTACCACTGAATTAATGGTTCGACCCCTTCACTCACCGAATCCTGCATTTCCACAGTACCGTAACCAGCATACAGGTGTTGCGACCAGTTTGTAAACGTAAAATCCATTACATCTCTTGATCTGGATGTTTGCATCCCAGCTACAACAGTTATCACCCCAGTTAAAGCACACTGTGCCATTAACGATCTGTCCGACACTTGTTGGATGCGGAGTGCTTAACCATCCAGGTGCATGTGTTCCACAGTAATGTACTGGAACACAGGAGGTTGGCATCTGAATACCAGCGTTTCCAATAAACCTGTACCAGTTGGGGGTGGTCAGGTCTTTCTGGTCACATTTCAGAGTATTTCCTCTGTGCACACCTGCAGCACGCTCACTGTCGTCTAGTTGTTCGTAGTCTTTACATTCGTCAAATACTATAAAAGTAAAGATATGAAAACTGAAACTTTTTTTTGCTAAGTTTGAAGTAATACATGCCTTTTATATATTTATATACAGTCGACGTCCGATGACTCGAACCTTCAAGGGAAATCGAAAAGAGTTGGAGTCATCGGGCAGAAAATAGCCTCGGGAGTAAGGAAAACAGGGAAAAGAACAGCTTTTACTGCACTGTGAACATTTTAATCACATTCAATTGTAGAAGTGTCAAGTGTAAATTAAAAGATTCTTCTAAATTATAAAACAGAAAGTAACGTGACAACACATAGCGTAATATTAAGAGTATGCGTTTTACTGTTTTGAGACTGGTAAAGCTGTTTCACGTTAGATTTGTGACAACCAACATCAGCCTTCACTATAGTAAACTATATGCCTACAACACGTCAATGGGAAGTGATTCAAAATTCAATGTTTTGGACGCCAGCACACTGTTTTTTTTTTTGTTTTTTTTCGTCTTTTTAAAGGCTCAAAACACGGTTCGAGTTATCGAGGGTAAAATTATAGAGAAATGATCTGAGGGAAAACAAAAACTACTTCGAGTTAGTGGTAGGTCCGAGTTACCGAGGGTAAAATTAGAGTAAACGTATGAGGGAAATCCAGGGGAAATCGAGTTTGGTTCGAGTTAGCGCGAGGTTTGAGTTAGCGAGGGTTCGAGTTATCGGGAGTCAACTGTATAGCCATTAGAGCAACATATTACATCTTTTGATGTAGAAAAATGTATTGGGATAGCCCAAACATAATGCAATTTTGATGTCTTTTCTTTTCTTTTTTCTTCTCTGTTTTTTTTTTGAATATTCCAATCTCAAGCAGCATTTGTAAATTGCCTATTCGTAGCGAGATTTACAATTGTACATTCAAAACACAAATAATGTTAAATGTGACGGATGGAGCCTCTGTGGTTATAGCCTCCTGTCTAACTTAAATCGATTTTTACCTGATGCTCCGATCTGTGCCAGATCCACTGTAAATAGGCCAATTACGAAAATGAGAACTGTTTTCTTAACAACCATGTTTCTTCCTGTCTTGAAGGCAAAAAAAGTTGTGATGGAATCAATAACGAAAATCCTCGAATTAGCTCCCAGGCGCAAAAGGGGAAGATCGCTAATGTGAAACTCGGACAGCTTCATTCTCTGTTCTCAATTGTGGTTTAGTGTTCGCGGTTATAATTAAGTGCACGACTCTTTCAACATTTATAGATTATGGAGGCGCTATAAAGAAGACAAGCACTTCATTCATGAGTCTTTTTAAATCCGTTAAAACACGGCTGAGGTTTTGAAATTTTAGTCTAAATTTTAAAGAGAAAAAAAATTGAACCAAAGAGATTTGATTAGTTTTGAGGGAGTCTAAGAAACTTTCAGTTACACTGAGTCTAAGACTGTGTTTTATCTTAACTCTGTTCACGCTCAAAGTCAAACTTTAACAAAAGTTTGCAAATTTCATTTGGTTAAATGCTGAAAATTTTGTGGTGCCATGCAAAAGTATTACTGAACAGGTTTCATTTGAAAAGTCAGAATAAGGGATTGCGTTAAAAACTCAAAAACTGGAACCACCCTAAAAGCCCATCGTTCAACATCGCGCAGTTCAAAGGATTACTGACAACGCCCTTGTTTGTCTTGCTAAACAGTGCTCGACACTGAAAATGAAGCTAAAGTATCAATTCAGCGAATATTTGAGACCATCATTAATGTTTTTGGCATTCTACTCGAAAATAATTTGGGATGTTGAGATAAAAAAATGAATGGGCTGTGCAGGACAGTCTTAGCAAATTAATCATTCTCACTGAGTTTATACGTACCCTAAATGATGCAATCTTGCTGGGGAAAAATAATCGTAAGCGTTTTGGTTGGAAAGCAGCTATAAAATATAAATCAGTGCTTGTTGACAACCAAATTGACCTTATTTACAACACTGAACAACAATAAGCAGTAACCGATATTACCCTATCAGACCCACGGCCACAGATGGTTTATGCTTTCCGACTGCAAAATCTTCTTGTTGAAGAGAGAAATTGGCTGTAAAAATGACGACAATGGAAACTCGGCTATTGGTTGCAAGTAGTAATGAATATTCATCCTGAGGTTGATCGCCTTTTCGTTGTCGGTGCTGGAAGAAAGGGAGGGGCTGGAAGATTCTGTGTCCTGTATTTATTATCGAAGAAGAAAAACGCGAAGAGCCCGCTTTCAAATGAAATATTTTGTGCTACGAAGAGATATTAGTTTTACTTCCAAATTCTGATCAAGTATTGAGGTCGTTCGCATGATAGCGTTTTAGTTTCGACTGAATGAAATTGATTATCACTATTAGGGCAGCTGTTTTTTGACATTGGCATCAACACTGAAATGGCCTTAGGCTACAAAGAATCAATTTCTAATTCTGTTACACTTCAGGTAAGAGAGGTTGAGTACCAAAACATAATTTACAGGGTACATGCACTTCACTGCGCGTCAGATAAAGCCTTTTGCTTGAGAAAAAAACAATCACGAAGAAAAACAAAGCAACTGAAAACAATGTTTTTGGAATCATAGTGGAAAGAAGAAGTTCTACCATAGAAAGTTTTCGATGGTCATGTTTCCGTCAAAAAGCCGACAATCGTACCAGTTGTTATTGCAACATTTTCGAAAATGTCGTTTCCCTCTGTGAAAACAAAAATGCCCCGACTCATTTTAGATTTTTCACTCCACTTATTCTCAAACGCCGGTCATGGGAATTGGTTCTGACTTCTTTTGAGCAAGTAATGAAAATATTAACGTTAACTGGAAAAGAAACTGAAGTGTGTTTTTTGAGGCAACATTCCTTTTCCTTATCCTTTTCACAGAGGTATTGGTCAAAAAAAGCCCCACGATAAAACGACTGAAAAGGTGAAAATCCTTTTACTCACTGTAACAATTTTAAACACAGGAAACTACAGAATTATTAAACGAGGACTGAAAAACTTTGCCAAAAAAGAAAACTTTGGGACCGACAAACAATCGAATAAAATACAAGCAAAAATACATGACAAACTATACTTACAAGATCTGTTCGGCAACTCAGGGTACAAAGACTGGTTTAAATGGACGAAAGAGAAAACATTTATTTTGAACTGAACAAGGACAATAGAACTAATGAATTTACGAAATTTGACAATGACGATCACATAACGCAACGCCGAGAATTGACGTTACAGAAAAAATATGCATATTTGAGAAAACTAACAAGAAGGTAAACCGAGTGATAACAATAAAAATACGAAAAAGAGTAACAAGTTCTCAGAAAAATCAATTCCTCGAGCTTGCGTGGCTACTTGAGAGTGTTTTCCACAGTACTATAAACCAATACAACAAAGTTTAATCAGCTTTTTTACTGGGTATTTGAACAAGAACAATTAAACCAATCTCGGTTACTTATTAACACACACAAGATCGTACCGTTTAACGACATAACTGTATTTTTGGGGGGTAATTTATAGATCAGTTGCGATTTTTTTTCTTCAATATACAAAGTGTAATCAATCTTTCACATTCTCACCAGTGCACGTAGTTCAAAATTTACAGTCAACTCAAAGACTGTGTAAACATTTATTACTGAATTGCATTCTATTCGAATTAATTAACACATTATTCTGCATCCTTTCATTCTGATGTTTCTTGAGCTTTTTTTTCTATCGTATCGATTTGTTCACTATATTTCATTACAAAACATCACTCCATATCAAGAGAGAATCTATTAACAAACATAGATCGTACTTCCTTAGCGCGGCACGTCCTAAAACTCTAAGGCTCTTCACAAAAAAATTAAAAACAGAAATAAGAATAATCAATTACTTTATCAATGCGAAGTAGTCAAAAAGTAATTAGAGGGCACTATATCTAAATAATAAATAAGCTCTTTAAAAAGCCGTGGACTGCTCTGAAAAGAATTCACTTTTAACTTCTGTGTAAATTTATATTAACTGTTGTGTTGTATTAAAGGTTGTCTTGGCCTTTCAAAATATTTTCAGACAAAAGCAGTGTTTAAGGTCTTGTATTGTCTAGAGAGAGTGTTTTGGAGAGCATGGGAACTGGCTTTTCCAGTTCGCAGATTCTTCAGGAGCCAGAGGTCCGTGAAGATCAGCTGAAATAGCGAGATTTGAAATAATACTAATTTAAGCACTGAAGCACATGTACCAACTCCGCGTTATGGCCAGTACCTTAAACATGCGTACAACAGTGTCCATGAATGCCACTATCAGGGTGATATGGTTGTGCGCATTCTTAAGGTACTGGCCATTCTGGGGAGTTGGTATGTGTGCTTCAGTGCTGAAATTAGATTTGAAATACCTTGAAACTTTTTGACGGTTAATATTAATCTGCATTTTTGACGCTTGGAGGTCAAAAATAACCTCTTTTGACCGTTAATAAGTTTTCAGCTGTTTGACCGCTGACTCTCAAAGCTCTATCAAGTAACCGTCTAAGGTGATAAGATGCAAACCATAGTAACCAGGGAGCTGCAGGTCCTATAGAGAGTAATCCTCTATAGTTCTACATTGTAATTATGTTTACACGATGCTACAAGCATTAAGCTTTCAATCTTATCGTGTTTAAATAAAGGATATGATGATAATGATGATGATGACGATGACGATGATGATGACGAAGACGATGATGACGATGACGATGACGATGACGATGACGATGACGATGATGATGACGACAACGACGATGATGACGATGACGATGACGATGATGATGACGACGACGACGACGATGATGATGATGATGACGATGACGATGACGATGACGATGACGATGACGATGCCGATGGCGATGACGATGACGATGACGATGATGATGATGACCCGGATGAGGAGGAGGATGAGAAGGATCACAGCTCTGAATATTGTGCAACCTTGTTCCTAGCGTAGAACCCTTCAAATTCGAACGAGGTTGGTACTCCGGATTTGAAGCGACAGAGATGATCGAATGGGGGCAACAATCAAAACCCCCAAAAATTCCTAAGGCTTCAAACAAAGTCCAAAAAATCCCTGAACCAAAATTTTATGCCGAATTTCCAAGCAATAAAAATTCCCAGAAAGCATTAAACGATAAGCTATCACGAATCTTCAGATCGTCTTGATTACCCAAAAAAATCCCAATTAAATCAAGCTACCAAAAAAAATACTTGCCAAAATTTTCCGAGCCAAAAATAATCCTGAAATCGCAAATTTCGAACCCAAAAAAACCCTTCGGTCATCCCTGTCACTTGAAATCCGGAGTACCCCCACCCCTGGGATGTTAGATAGGAACAAATTTGATAATTAACATACGGTTTCTTATATTTATTCATTATTTATTCATCATTACAGTTTATTTATTTATTCATTTAATTTATACAAACTTTACCAGTCATAAATCCTTTATGTCCATTCTCATTACACTGAACGAATTGTTAACTTCATTGACTCTCTTTGTTCAACGTTTCGTTACAACTCAAGTACTTGTTCGTTACAGAATATAGCCGAGTGGCTCCATCCGCAGAGGAGAATGGGGAAAAATAACATAACAACTTACTGTGTAGAGGACCAAACAGTACGTCTGTCGTGAAATCATTTTATCACAATCAACCATTTCTTACCAAGGAATTAATGCTTTTGCTGTTAAGTATATATTAGAGGGCATCTATTTGACTGCCCCGATAGTTTTCGCATTTTTCTGGTATGCTGCTTTTTGCGAACTATTTCTGGAAGCTCGCGTCACTTCTGCTGACGTAACTGATGAAAATGAATGTGAAATGGAGAAAGGGATTATATCAACTTTCTCTGTGCGGGTGCGGAAGAGTTCGTCGCCGTTTAGGTTGATTGTATAAAAGTCCTATTGCATTATAAAGGCAATCAGTGCAGTCTTTTGACTCAAGGTATGTACGATCTATTAATATTCTCTCTCGTTGAGACAAATCTAGGAAACCTGGGGGAATTTACGGTTGAGGATAGGCATGCAGTTAGCTGAGCTTATTCACTGAGTACTTCAGCTGTAGTTTGCCTTGGGACTCTAGTAATCGCCGTCCTCAGTGACTCTCTGCCGAAGAAGAGGAAACTAAAACTAATACTTCAACACAAGGTGCGTCGAAGTGGGTATATACAAAACTGCTGTTATTCGACGATGAGGAAGCGATCGTTTATAGGGCTAATCGTTGGTTAGTTGTTTTACAGTCCCGCCATTCTCGCCATCCAGACAGTTCGATGTTATGGCACCCCGTTTGATTATACGGGCAGCAGATAAATCCCTGTCAAAAATTAACAGACGTTGAAATTGACAGAAACAACTCCCGTTATTGCGGACTCTGGCTAGTAAGGACTTTCGGACACTTTTCTAGGTCCCGAGAGCACCATTTTTTCAGTGTTCAGATTCTTTCAACATTCAGACATCAATAGAAGTATATTATAGTCTCACCGGAATTTCTATCATTATTTTAATTTCTCGTTAGTTTGCCGGATTGGATCGATTTTCGATTGATCTGTTGAAAGCGCGTTAAATCGAAATTATTGTAAATATCAATAAATTTTACCCCTCCAATGCAAATGTTTTCTGAGAAAACTTTTCCCGTATCGTCCCGCTGTTACGCGGACTCTCGCCATTGATAAGGAAGCTTAAGTTCCAAGTCAGTTTCGGGGATGTTCAAAAAAACAGGCGTTGACTGAATAAAGCTACCATTGCGACTATCTTATATCAGTAATCCAACCGAACATGTCGAAACCATGAGAGTGATCTAGTTTACATTAAGTGACCCAAAACACAGAAGAGAAAAAAGAAAACAATAAAAGACCTTTGTGACTGCCAAAACTGGCCAAAGGAATTAAAGGTGGCTTATATACAGTCACCAAATTGATGTTAAGCAGGCTTTAGTTGTTGTGGCGAAATCAAGAAGTTCCCAAATCGCAAAAATCACAACTTTGAAATACAATGTATAGACAAAGGGACAGTGTAAACAAAATATGCAAACGAAGCGCCCTTGTCCCTTCTTGTCATTCTAGGGTCACTTGATTGGTAATGGCCTCGATCGTAGCGTGACGAGACAAAAACGGGCGATGCTTACTTGTTGTCTTGTGCTTTTGTTACATTTATCTAATGTAGACACGGGTAACATAAAATTCGCATTCTTGTAAACGTTTCAGTAATTGGTCTTTACAAAGAGCAGAGAAACAATGACGATAAAAACGAGCAGATAAAATCATGCTTAATTCACATTTTTTTTTATCTATACTTTCTATAGCCGTTGATCCATGCACTAAACAGGGCTGAAGCCCAAAACTTTACGACTTAGTTCGTTATTTTTTTTCAGATGGCGAGGAGAAATCACATTAGCGACAAGGACGATCATCAAAGTGGACTCGCAGTTGCTAAACAAACAAGAGACAAGGAAGAAGAAAGCGTTGCAGATTCTCAAAGCAACGTCAATCCGTTTCTTGACAAATACGCATATAATACAACGATACGAGCAGCGCCTTAAGTCTGCAAAAGACGTTGGAGACAGGAAAGGAGAAGGAGAAGCGTATCGTAATCTTGGAAATATCTTTTACAGCCTTGCAGAATTCCAGAAAGCCATAGACTATCATGAACAATATCTTACGATCACCAAAGAAGTCGGAGACAAAGCAGGAGAAGGAAAAGCGTATGGTAACCTTGGCATCAACTATGACAGTCTTGGAGATTTCCGTAAGGCTGCAGACTACCATGAACGACATCTGGGGATTGCAAAAGAAGTCGGAGACAAGGCAATAGAGGGAAAAGTGTATTGTAATCTTGCCAATGTCTATCGCAGTCTTGGAGAATTCCAAAAAGCCATAGACTACAATGAACGACATCTCGTGATCGCTGAAGAAACTGGAGATAGGGCAGGAGAAGGAATAGCCTATGGCAATCTTGGCACAGTCTATCTCAATCTTGGACAGTTCCAAAAAGCCATAGAGTACATTGAATGTCATATTAAAAGTTCCAAAGAAGTTGGTGACAGGGCACGAGAGGGAACAGCGTATGGTAATCTTGGCATCGCCTATCGCAGTCTTGGAGAATTTCCAAAAGCCATACACTTCATTAAGCAACAACTAAAGATTGTCAAAGAAGTGGGAGACAGATCAGGAGAAGGAAACGCTTATGGTAATCTTGGAAACGTTTATACTGGTCTCGGTGGTTTCAGGGGCGCAGCTGAGTGCCACGAACGACATCTTAAGATTGCCAAAGAAGTCGGGGACAGGTTAGGGGAAGGAAAAGCATATGGTAATCTTAGCATCGCCTATCGTAGTCTCGGAGAAATCCAGAAAGCTATCGACTATAGTGTACAAGATCTAAAGATCGCTAAACAAGTAGGAGCCAGAGCAGGAGAAGCCATAGCATGCAGTATTCTTGGTAACGCCTATCGCACCATTGGGGAATTTCAAAAAGCTATAGAATACCATGAGCAAGATCTTATGATTGCCATAGAAGTCGGCGACAGAGCAGGAGAAGGAAAAGCGTGTAGTAACCTTGGCAACTGCTATACCAGTCTTGGAGAATACCAAAAAGCCATAGAATACCACGAACGTGGTGTTAAGATTGAGAAAGAAGTCGGAGACAGGGCAGGAGAAGGAATTAGTTATGGAAATCTTGGCAACGCCTATAGAGGTACTGGAAACCTCCAAACAGCAATAGACCATTATGAAATGTATCTTAAGATTGCCAAAGAAATCGGAGATAGGGCAGGAGAAGGAACAGCGTACGGGTATCTTGGCAACGCCTATGATGATATTGGAGACTTCAAGAAAGCCATCGACTTCTACGAACAACATCTAAAGATTGCAAAAGAGGTCGGAGACAGGATACAAGAAGGAAAAGCGTATAGTAATATTGGCAGCGTCTATGACAGTCTTGATGAGTTGGAAGAAGCCATTCGTTACTATGAAAACAGTGTCAAAACGTTCAACCACATCAGGAGTAACCTTATATCTAATGATGAGTGGAAGATAAGCCTACGCAATACGTACGATGAAGCTCATTCGAAGCTATGGCGGCTGCTGTTAAAGCAAGGCAAAGTTGTCGAGGCACTTTTAACCGCTGATCAAGGCCGCGCACAAGCCTTGAATGATCTTCTTGAAATGAAGTACAGACTTGAAGGATCACGTCAAGAAATAGGAACACTGACTGCAACTACCCCTGACATCCTTAATTATCTGCCATCAAATACAATTTTCATCGGAATCAACGAGGAAGGAATAATTTTTTGGGTGAACGAAAGAGGAAAAGAAGTCAGGTCTAGAAGAAGGCAGATTGATGCTCCCGTCACGAATTATCTTCTTTCGCTGTTGGAGACAACACAAGAGAAAATTGGTGTGAATGATGATGTTTATTGTGAAGATCGCTCATTAAGGAACCCGAGAGATGAACAGCGAGCAGAAGAAAGAGTTACCAGACCAAGATCTCATCCCTCGAATCTTGAGACAAATCCGTTACAAACATTATACAATATTTTTATAGACCCTATCAGAGACCTACTTCAGGGAGATGAAGTTGTGCTCGTTCCTGAAGGCCCTATGTTTTTGGCACCTTTTGCTGCTTTTATGGACCGAGATTCAAAGTACCTTTGCGAATCATTCAGAATCCAACTGCTTCCCTCCCTTTCTAGTCTGCAATTAATCTCAAATTGCCCAGACGACTGGCACAGCGCGACTGATGCTCTTCTCGTCGGCGATCCGTGGGTAGAGGAAGTAGGTCGAGATCAGTTGGAGTGGGCTGAGAAGGAAGTGAAGATGATTGGGGAAATTCTTCAAACTGAGCCTCTTATCGGAAAACAGGCAACAAAAGATGAAGTTTTAAGACGCATCTCCTCGGTTGCCTTGGTGCACATTGCCGCTCACGGCCAAATGGAAACAGGAGAAATTGCCTTGGCCCCCAACTTGACACGATCATCCCCGATTCTGGTCAGAGAGGACTATGTCTTAACTATTAACGATGTTTTAAAGGCGCAGATTAGGGCAAGACTTGTTGTGCTTAGTTGTTGTCATAGTGCTCATGGAGAGGTCAAGGCTGAGGGCGTGGTTGGAATCGCAAGGGCGTTTTTGGGTGCTGGTGCTCGTTCTGTTCTGGTGTCCCTGTGGGCGATTGACGACGAGGCTACTATGGAGTTCATGAAACATTTCTACCGACAACTTGTCAATGGGAGGAGGGCTGGTGAGGCCTTGAATGAAGCCATGAAATCCTTGAGAGAATCTAACCACTTAAGCGCAGTCAAGTATTGGGCGCCGTTTGTTCTTATTGGTGATGACGTAACGCTCGAGTTTTAGGAGTTAAATAACGGGCAAGGTATTATTTCAGTAAACATCTTTGACAAATTATTTATTTATTATTTCTATCAGGAGTTTTGAAAACAGATCACGGAAAATTGCAGCTATTTGACTGATAAAAAAGAAGCCAAAAAGATTGACTGACGGAAGAAGTCTTTTTTGGCAATAACGTTTTCAAAAATCCAGCGAGATTTTTTTATTTATTTACCAACATGATTTCATGGACAAAAATAAAACAATATAAAAGTGGACAAGAATATAGGCTGGACATGGATTCAAACTTAACAAAATGGACCAATTTTTCACGTTTTAATGATATGCCTGCAAAAATCACCAAAAAATGTTATGTTTAGTGCTCCTTGATGAAATTTTTTTGGATATCATAATTTTTTAGAACTCAGCAGGAGCATTTTACGTATTTAAGACACTAAGTAATACTTTTAGCACAGAATTTAGCTAAAATAGCAACATCTTCGCGACGCAATGAGCCCCTTTAAATGATACGATGAAGTGCCAAGTTTTTACTTTCTGTTTATAAAGATCTAACAGGCTTAAAAGATTCTTTTTCACTGGTAAAAGTTCACTCCCTTTATCAGTTCTCCTACCTTGTTAACATTGCTCCCTTCTGTTTGTGTTGTGTAGGTACCACAGTTACAAAAGCAAATACGGGGAAGCAAGACCTGGATTTTCTGTTAAAGATGAAGTTAGTTTCCGGCTGCTGAGTGGAGACTTCTTCTCAAAGATAGGATTTCTTTATTCCTGAGGAGAGATTGATTGTTGGATTCAGACCTTCAGATAAGGGGGAGGGGGAGGGGGGAATTTGGTCATCCAGACCCTGAGATAAGAGGGGAGGGGGGAGGCGGTCTCCAAAAAAATCTTTTTCGGCCCTTCGGGCCTCATTTTGGTCGAAAAATAAGAGGGGGCCCCGGGCCCCTTCCCTGGATCCGCTACTGGTTGTTAAACAAAATGATGTGTTTTGACGTCTAAAACTTGTGTCAAGACTATCGACATGCTCACCTGGCGCACTTGTTCAATGGTCTCCTGATGGGCATCAGGAATAGATGTATAGGAGTCTTTTTCCCCCATTGTCATCGCTATACCTTCTGTACGTGATGTGAAAATTATATAATCATGTAGATCAGTTTAGCTGCAGTTTGTTTTCCTCGATCTTAGGTATTAGCTGAATGATTTAGTTCCTTTCGGATGAAAAAAATTAATGCATCTTAGGAAATGAACCATTACTTGTTACTGATTATTTTATGAACTATTTTTTTTTTGCTGTCTGTAAATACGCCAAAAAATAGGAAAGAAAATTAGTCTTGCACTAAGTTATGTTATTTGGTCTGCTGTTGTGTTGAAACATGTAAATACGAAAAGTAAAAGAATCATAGAGGGTCACAGTCGCTAGGAGCAGGTACGCTGTCTGCTTCCCTCTATACTACTGATCGCGTCTCTAAAGGCGTGTCACCCGCTTCAGGAATTAACATTCTTTAGGGTGTTGTCTTTCAGGATTCACAAAGAAAAAAACTATTCACTGGCCATTGGACAACATACGAAAAAGTCATTTCGATACTTAACGTGACGGCAAGCTACCAAGGGTCTAATGTGGTTTATGACTAGAAACGAAAGTTAGAAGGACTAACGGTTGAATTTGTTTTTATTTGTTCTGCTAAAAGATAGCATTTGTGGCCACATTTTGTGGCATACAATGCCACAAAGATCGCATTAAAACTAGTAGTAAACTTGCCGAGTTTGAGAGTGGTATGTCAGAGACGAGCAAAAGATCAGCAGATTTTAAAGACGTTTACATGGGTTTGCCCCCACCAAACAAACCTCGCGACTTAGCTGAGGTAAAAACGAAAAAAAGAAAAACTCGCGACTTAGCGGATACATATCTTCGTTAGTTTTTACACCAGTTTCCATCAGGATTGATTTTTCTTAACTGTTTTATGTCAAAAATTGTAAAAACCATGGGACTGTGGGGACAGGCGCAGAGTTAGTGCGAGAACGAAAAACTTCCGTATTTTTCCCGCCCTCTGAGATTCTGACTTCGCACTACACTCCACTGCATGAACGACTGGAACAGGTTAATACCAGCATTGTTTCAGTTATGTTCTCTATTAATGAACTCTGGCAAGCTGCCGTTACCACCATTTTTTCGTACATGTATATGCGACTTAGGGAGCCGAGAAGTGAAGTCACTCTTAGTCTCGAGACTATGGGTTACATCCCAAAATGTGACAATGCACTCAAGTAAAACCCCATCAGAAGCACTTTTGCAGAATACTAGATGTCCCTTAGAAAATTTCCTTGAACTCTATCTCTGTCAGCAATCCTAGGAATGAAATTAGGTTTATTTGCATCAGCAGATGATCTTGTTGCGACACGAACTGAATTTTTTCCCAGCGTAAAAGCAACCTTCAATGGAATTGTCTATTTCTCCTTTTTTTAAAGTCCTTTGAATTTTAACAACAACGTTCTTTAGCTTGTTGTGTCGCTATTCGGTATTCCCAGGACTTGAAGCGTATTTCGGCAGTTGTACTTTATTCTAATGAGGTCTGCTGTAAACAATTTTTCCATTCTTTATAACAAACTTGATGATTTCATCATGGCCACCGAGTTGATAGACGAGATGCTCCCACCTTAAAAGAAAAATAGCAGAATCAAGACACGAACACACATGAATTCCTGGTAACACAAAAATGGAAAACTTTGGGTCTAAAGAAGTGATTGTCCGGGACTAGCCCCACATACCTTGGTGCATCAATAACTAGCATGTCTGCGACTTTTCCATGCTCCAGGGAGCCGTGGCTGTGCGCCCTTCCCAGGGATGCTGCAGCATTAATTGTTGCGGCTACCAGACTCTCCTCCATTGTCATGCGTAGATTAACACAGGCAAGGTGCATTGTTAAAGGCTGGAAGAGACAAAAATATCCCTTGGATGTAAAACTACACAGAACGCACTTGAGTTCCTCGCATGCATTTGCCTACATTTTTAATGAAATCACTGGGGCTTTATAGACAATGCAATTTGGGTGTGATGATTTTCCGGTGACTTAGCCTGCGAAAGCATCCGTTTCTCCTTCGCTCTACGCCGCTGGGGAACTTCCCGAGGGAGAAACGGATGCTTTCGCAGGCTACTGGTGACTATACTGGTTACTGGCTAGGAGACTTCAAATGACTCAGGTTTGATTTACGTTGATTATCAATATTATCATGACTAATTGTCCTTACCATTGAAAGACAGAATGCATTGGGGTTAAAATCGGTACCAAGAGCAACTGGAACACCTGCGTGAAGTTGAAAATTGTCAGCCAATGCATTAATAAATTATCCTGGGATTTTTAAAGTTGACATCTAGAGTGTTAAATAAATAAATAAATAAATAAATAAATAAATAAATAAATAATTATCAATTATTGGACGAGGTTGAGCAAAATATCACTGAGGCTGAGGCAAATATTATTGATCTGCCAGACACTGACAAATCATGATATTTTGTGATAACCGAGTTCAATAATTGTTTTATCATTCGATCACTGAGTTTGTTTTTTTAATGAATACCCTTGGGGAGTGAAGTGATCTGCCATTTTCATGCAAGAGCGATCGCAAGAAGGAGAAAAGCACAGTTTCCTTTGTGCATGTGCAGAATATTATTGGCAGCCAAGCACAGTTGTACTGCATTGCGCATGAGCAGACCATTATTTGTAGGCAGTTATTTGCAGGTCACGTGGTGGGTTCTCCTACAACAAAAAGAGAGAGAAATTTTCTTCGAATGATAATTATTATTATCATTATTATAATTATAAAATAAAATATCCCTATTTATTGTTTCTTTGATTTTAAATTGCCAGTATCGTACATACAAAACGTCTAGGTATCCTAAGCATGCTGAAAATCCAATCAAAGATTGCCAAATACTTTAATATTTATTTCTCAACAATTTACCTGCATTAATCATTTTCCTAGCAGGTGGACATTTAAGTCGTAAAATATACGCAGTGGTAGGAAGAAGTACAGCAACAACAGAAGCAGCAGCCATGGCTTGTATTCCCTTATCACTCACTTCTTCAAGGTGGCTAATTGCTCTGGCACCAACCTCTGCACCTAACTTAAGAAAATTATCAAAATATAATTAAGAAAAAGCAAATGAAAAGCTGTTCATAATTCAGGTATTGCTGCATTCAAACAGTCACGGGTATATCAACAGTTCAGCTTTGAAAGACAACAGGGAATACATGTCATGTATTTAAACTAGACAGACAGATAGTCTACACATTCTATCAAACCTTTGGGGATAGCTGTGCAGTGTGTTCCTGATAATACTATCAGCCCTGGTGTTGATTCAAAGAATTCATGTTCAGGGCTCATAATAAAAAAAATCTAGTTGCTTTTTTGAGACCAGATACGAAAATTTAGTAGCAAGTTCGCAAATTTTAGTCCCAAAAGTAACCAAACTAAATAAATAAATAAATGACTTGACTTTCAAATGATTGACAAAAAGTTGCACCATTATTTTTAAACTATGTATCAAAACTCCACCATAACATTAATGAGGTTGAACTCTATTAAAGTTTACCTCGGCAGCTTTCATTGGATGCAATTCATCTCCATGAAAATTGATGGCCAACCCGGCAGATTTCCCTGCTTCGAGGATCTTTCTCGTGTGTTCTACACCAAATACACCCTTCTCACAGAACACATCAATATTATCGACAGTCAATTCATTGTCTTTCATTAGTTCTTGAAGCTTTGGAATTTGACAGTTGATGACATTGTTTGTAGCTTCTTCAGGAGAACTTCCTCTACAGAAAAGAGCGATAATAAAATAACCATATTTCACTAATCTGCCATTAAATAATGAAACATTAGCTAAAACAAATCAAAAGCGTTTTTAATAAGCCGTCAAAGGCTGCATATGCTGTCATGTAACTAGAAAGTCAGTACAAGGCCTTGTGAAATGTTTATAAGCCACTGTGGTAGAAAAAGATAAATATCTTTGTCCCAAGGTCAACACAATGAAGGCTTTGCACCAATAAAATTGAACTTTTATGCCGTACATGTATAAACTATAATAATATATATTCCTAATATAATTAAGGCTTTTCTTTCCAGGCACCACTTGTATAATTGCTTCTTCAAAAAACAAAAATGTAAACTAAAACACAAAAATGTATGCAGGTCATAAAATGGTCAGCTAAAATGTCTGGTACCTAGTACATACTTTGGCACAGAATGTGCACCACAGAATGTACTGGAAATCTCAATTGGAAGCTCTTTTTTGGTTCTCTCAATGACTCTCAGCATCTTCATTTCAGACTCCACTTCCAGGCCATACCCACTCTTAGCTTCTACCAATGTTGTCCCTGATCGCAGCATTCTAAGCAGGCGTTTTCTGAGGGATGTGTAAAGTTCCTCTTCAGAAGCTTCTCTTACACGTTCCACGGTGAAGCCTATTCCTCCACCCGCATTGTGAATGTCCATGTAAGTTGCCCCTGCAAGCTGCAGAATTTGCAGCAAAGAAGAAACAAGTTTGCCAAGGGCAGCTGATGAGTCATTGAGTAAGCTTTCAGTGGCTTTAACTTCTTGTAAAGCAAGTTACATTACCTTCATGGCAAATTCATGGACTCTATCGCCCTCCCACACAGGATGTGTATGGCCATCGACCAGACCTGGATTATTTTAAAAGCATTTGTTAATTTGCATTTGTTATTAAAAACGGGAGAGAACATACTAAAGTACCAGTTGTCACTGATCAGTTTTAACATTAGGTATGATAGAGTAGGTAAAATACAAAAGAGTGTGTGAAAATTATCACCTAGAGGCTGGTTTTCACTAGCGACGGAGTTGGAGTCCGAATCGTAAGCAGAGTCATAAGAGCACTTATGACCTTGTGAAAAAAAATCGGAGTCGTAAGCATAGTCATAAGTGCGATGGAGTGGGAAGAATCAGATTGTTTCCATTTTCTTCTGACTCTGCTTATGACTCCATTGTTAACGATCTAGTGAAAACCAGATTGTCAGAGTCAGAAGCAGGGGTGGAGGGATTAACCAACAACAATGCATGTTCCCACACTTTGTGATTGGTTTAGTTCTTCTGCTTCCTTGCGACTCCGACAACCTAGTTTTCACTTTATCGTAAACAACGGAGCCATAAGCAGAATCAGAAAGTTGTTTTCACTAGATTGTTAACTCCTATGCTTCTGATTACGACTCCGACTCTGTTGCTAGTGAAAACCAGCCTTAAGGAGAATGCGTCAGGTGGAGAGAGGACACAAAATACATGAAAGTGTCCCTCCCCCCATTAACCCCGGTGTTTATCCTTCCCTGCAGAGGGGAGGGGGGCGGAGGGTTATCCTGATTTATTCAGGAGGGTACCAGGTGGCCCAGAATTATCTTATGGACCATACCGCTTATGTTATGATTGAAAAAAACAAATAAATAATAACAACATCAAAACAGCACAACAATATTAAATAAGCTCATTTTTTTGCCAGATCCACCTTTCAACTTGTTTTCCAAAATGGCCTCTTCATTAAGTATTAAAATATCTAACGGGTCAGTTGCACCAACATACTTCCAGATAACTACATATTCAACTTACCCGGTAGCACACACATCCCAGAAGCATCTATTTCTTCTACAAAAGTACAGTTTTCATATTTCTGATCAATGATTCGATCCAAAGCAATGCATTCAATTTTTCCCGCGTTAACCACAACAGACACGCCTCCATCCTCTCCTCCTTCGACGATGGCCAATTTTTTCATCGAATCTCCTGTCAAAATTCGCTCTTTGTTGTTGCAAACCAAGACTACTTGTCTTGCGTGTCGAATTCGAAGGCTGTACATTGTTAAAGGATAAAACTGGAGTTTCTTCCAGAACACGCGAAGATTTATTTCACGACACGTCGAAAAATAAATAACAGTCAGCTGTTTCCTTCATAAAAGCATGCGTGTTATTTTCAGCTGTGTTTCTATAGCAACAGTAACCTCGTTATCATTCTAAACAAAATGGCTTCCATCTAAACTGCAGAAGTTGTATCAGAACGAATTTGCTTTGCTGTAAAACCGTTTAGCATTCGATCCAATACATTTATTTTGCAAGTTTTAACAAGGAGAATTATAGCTTAACTTCAAAGAATTTTTAATCTCACTTAATCTGCTCTTTGGAACGCGTTGATGGTCAACTGAAATTTTGGTTTGACTGAAGATTTTGATACGATTTAAGACTCGATACGATCTGTTTCTTATACCCAACGATGTCCATTCAATCACCTTCACAAGGTTCTAATAAGCCACCACGCTCAGGTATGTACTAAAAAATTGACTTTGAGCTCATACGATCGGATTTACCAGCCTTGTGTATTTATATTAAAAAAATATATTAAATTTAATCCTTGGCATACAAGTTTTCACTGCTGCTTTTATGTTTTGCTGTACAGGAGGGCAATCTGCCTCACGCCAGTCAGAAAAAGCTGCCTTTCAGTCGGTAAAGTCAAGCTCTCCTGGAAATCAATCCGCTTTGTCTGGTAAACTGGACTGATTTTAGTTAAACAGACTTAATATATACCTATCTGGCTATGTAATATTTAAAGCACATGGCATTGAAAACGGTAATATTCTCCCAGTGCCAAACAGTGCTTTGAAAGCAGGAGGAGGGGTTGTACTCATCCAACGTACCTATATATGGAAATATATATCTAGAATGGAACGTCCTTATTCAAGATGTTCTCAAGGATATGATACTTCAAACACACACACAAAAAACACAGGATAGATAAGACTGTACATTGTATCCAAGGCTGTGCTCTAGAGCGGTGCGTTGTGGTCCCTGGTGGCTAACTTTTGCTCTCGCGCAACTAGAAAATCTTAGCTTTTTCTTAGAAATCATATGCTGGGCACCCTGGATTTCACAGGTTGAAGCACAGCAGTGCTTCCTTCAATTTTTCAGTAGAACCTTGGTATCTTGAGATCAGAGCACAGGTAGGCAACGGGGGATACAGATACTTTGAAATTTTGAGTTCATGTAGCATTAGGAATTGTTATATTACAGTCAAAGGTTTCTTAACAGACTCTCAGGTTTGCAGACAGCTTTAGACAGCTTGAAAAAATAATAATAAGGTATCCTCTTTCAAAGACCATTCCCATTATGTTCTCCTACGATGCCTACTTAAAGGAGCTTTGACTGTATTATTGTTTTGTTTTTTTTCCTAGTGAGTTGATAAGAACTTGTGGTTTAGAATCATTATTTCAAAATAGTATTAAGGGCATTATTGATTCTAAAACCTGAAGTGACAGTCTTTTGTTCTCGTTCTCAGTGATAGAGTCTGTGGTGAATCCAAACCGCAATCCATTTACCATCCCAAAAGACAATGATGTATTCATGTTGAGAGACAGGGAAAGACAGAAAAAGAAACAGGTTTGATCATTTACTTCCTTATTTTTGTACTCTGTACAGTTGCAGTGTGTAATGTTGAGCTAGAATATGTGCAATTGGAGAAAGAGTGCATTATTTTTTGTTTTCTCGAAACTTTTGTGGAAAGTTAGCAAAAATTTAATCCAGTTAGCAATGCTAATATACATTAATATGGCCTTAGTTGGAAATATAGTTATCAGTGATTTTTTTGTTTTGATACTGTAGGAAAGGATTAATCAGCGTAAGTTAAAAGTGCATGAAAAAACTACCTACACATCACGTGTCAACACAAAAACAGCAGCAATGAGAAAAATAGCAGATGATAGTGAAGATGAATTTGTTGAAGAAGAGAAGAAAAAGGAAAAAGATGGAGTCATTGCTGTAAAAGATGATCCACAGTTTACTCTGGCAATCACAAGAGGTAGGCAAAAATAAATAGAATGCAGAAATATACTTGTAATACATATATTATATAACGTCATACTTAGTTTGCTATAGCTAACATAATTCAGACTTTTCAGTAGTTTTATGGAGTAGGTGTGCAAATTACAGCTTTTCAGTTGCTTATCATTTCTTCTGTTTTAGATCGCCACGTGGAAAAAGAAAATTTAGCAGACTTCATTTCCAAGAAAAGAGAAATGTTTTTGGTTCAGGTATGTTTTTGTTCGAAAATCTTGTGAAAAAGTCAGTGAAGTGAAATGAAGTCAGTGAAGGTTAAAAAAATACAACATGTCTAATTAACGAAGCAATCCTTGGACTAATTTATGTCTCATTTTTGTCACTTCAGTATTCGTTAGGGGTGAAACGTGATGAAATGAGAAAACTGGAAGAAATTGCACAGGTACGAAACTGCATAGGATGAATTATGAGGCAGAGTGGCTGAGTGGTTAGAGCACTGGATTTGTAATCTGGAGGCCCTGAGTTCCGGTTTTGCCCTAGCTTCTCGCTGGATTTGTTCTCGGTAGTCCCAAGTTCAAATCCTCGGCCACTCTTGTAAATATCTAACTGGTTCATCTCCTATAAGCTTTAGAACCAGTTGGGATTTTTAACCATATACTGGTATGTTATGTTCCATTGAAAAAAAATTGGCTCGTCTATCCCTGAAAAGCCCCATAAGCCAGGGAAGATTTTCATTAAGTATTAATTATTAGTTAATGATATGATCATTTACTAGGTTTCAGCTTGTTAATTCTCTAATTTGTGTAAAAGTAATAAAGTGTTGTAATCTTTCACTCTGTTAGAATTGCATTTATTTATATGATTACTGAACAATAATTGTACCTTTGACTTAGGATGAAAACTGCATAATTATTGATTACACAGATAAAATGTAAAAGAACTCAACGTTTAATCCTATTCTGTACCTCATTTAGGCAGAGGAAAAGAAACTTGAGCTCGCAGAGCAGTACCTTGAAGAAGATGCTGCAATGTTTGATGAATTCTTAAAAGAAAATGACAAGAACTCTGTGGAGGCTATTAAAATGCAAGTGTCGACAAATTATAGTTCTTAACCTGAGTTCAAAACCTGAGAACACTGTCTATTTTTCTTTCACTTTTTCATGCTGTTATATCTAATTTTTGATCTTCTTGATTTTCATAGCGCTGAAGCTGAAACTAAACTGAAACTTGAAAAAGTGGCTGAGATAAAGAAAATCAATGCACAAATGATGGCAATTAAAAGGTGAACTGCTGCATGCAATAAGCATTAATTTTTTGTTTAATATATTTTTAATATACATCATGTGCAGCAGTGTAGCCAACTCTGTCTTTAAGGGACATCTGTGTTGAATAAAATGAACTTTAAAGTGTACACTTGTAATCCTAAAAATTAAAAACATTAAAAATTTCTGCTGTTTGTCAGTCAACTGCTGTGACTTTGTATAAAGTAGCTAGATTCCTCTCTAAAGGTCAGTAAGTTCGAGACCAGGCTCCTTATTGGGGCAAAAAGGTGAATGATGGGATTCAAAGAATTGGCAAGCAAAGCAAGCCAATTAGGAGACTACTGGAGAGGGGGAAAGAGCTTGTTAGGATTTTTGTTAAATCACATCTTATAATGCGTACTGTAAGAGAGCCTACCATTCTTGTTGTAAATCGAATTCTTAAAATAAAGGGGCTTTTCTTACATTATAATCGATGATTGATGGGATGGGTCAATCCAGTTACTTCCGATGATTGATTTTGACATCTCAGCCGTTTAACCCTATTTGCGGTGAGGTATTTCAATGTTTAACCTTAAATTCCTTCTCATTTTTTTTTCCTTCAGTGAAATCTCTAAGAATGAAGACACGCTAAAGGAATACATGTTATATAAACAGTTTCTGGACTCTCTCACGCCCCAGGTACTGCCGCCGCTAAGACTCAGATTTTCATTTTGTTATTCAGCCATGATCCTCATAATTTTGTGTTCTGTTCTCACCATTAGGAATGGAAAGATGAAAAAAGAAAAGTCAAAGAAGAGAAAAAGGTGAATAGTCATTTTTGAATGACCCATTCGCTCCTGGGAATTTTGTATATACCGTATTTATTCGAATAAGCGCCCAACCTCGAATTAGCGCCCACCTCGAATAAGCGCCCATCCTAAAGGCAGAAAAAGTTAATAAGCGCCCAGCCTCGAATAAGCGCCTACCCCACCACACCTTCCTCCCACTCCCACTCAAACTCAAATTAGCGACCACCCCTAAAACTGAATAATTGCTAATAAGAGACTTTCCCGAAGACGGAGTTTTCTTCAAAGTATTTTACAGGAACCTTGCTTTGTTACGTCTTCGCGTTTTGCTATTACCATTTATTGTTTTGTTGCAAAATACACATACTACACTTGCTGAAAATGTTGAAAATTTAATAAGCGCCCAGCCTCGAATAAGCGCCCACCTCGAATAAGCGCCCACTCTCAAGGTCCAAAAATTTAATAAGCGCCCAGGGCGGTTAATCGAATAAATACGGTAGTCAGCCAAAAATGCCCGAAACGCCCCCTAAAAGGTCTAGCACTTTGAGCTTCTGAAGTCCGGGAATGCTGCACTATTCTTGCGCTTTTCTTGCCCCATTTTTTCTCTTGTGTTGGGTCTTTGAGTTCTCTGTTTAATTTCGGTGGGAAACGTTTTTGGAAAAGCTTTGAGGATCTTATGATATGGAAGGAAGTACAGGTAGGTAGTCACCAGTGGAACAATTTTCTTTGGAATTTTCTGGTCAACTTCGTTTACATGTTGATTTTCTCCGCCCTCCTCGACTGAATCGCGCTTATTCTAGCATCGTCTGAAAGATTTTTTTTAGATGACGAAGTCGTCCTTGAGCATGAAAACTGGTGACTTCATGGCGGCTGCAAGGAACGTGGATCAGCACGGGCGGTTTAATACGGGTACTTCAGCGTTGAGTGGGTTATTGTGCTAGTCATCCAACTATTTTGTATGATGAAACGTAACTCTGGACGTTCATTTGTCTTTCTTTCTCAGAGAGCAAAGCAAAAGGAGAGAGGTTCAGTTAACAAAAAGAAAAGTAAGTCTGTTTTTGCGAAATATCTTCACACCTATATTGAATTTCCAATCCCATTTGTCATCAAACTTAACCTTCTAACCTCTTGTAACCCTACCTCTCACCCAAACTATTCTAGTAACCATACACAGTTCTGGCAGAACATCCAGTCGTACAAGCCACAAAGACGGCAGAACAAGCTCTGTAAGTAGAATTGATCTACCTTTGCTAATTTAAATTTGTAAACCTTGCTGGGCTTTTCTTTCCTCGCTAAAGTCCGATAGTTATTTTCGTTGGATTTTCCTAGTTTTTCTTAGTTTTGGAAATTAGCCCTTTAAACTACAAAAATTCGCTTTTTATCTTGAAAAAGGACCGCCGGATTAACTTGAGGTTACATGTAACAAAACAGATGAGTATTCATTTCATCTGTGTTACATAATCGTACACTGACAAATTGTGAGGTATAGTTGCAGATAAAGATTTACCAAACAAATGTAATGTTTTGACACACAAATGCATGAAACAGTCTATTTTCATTAATTCTGTCCGCAGAAACTCGCAGGCACTCCTCAAGGAAAACAGTAAGTGTTCATTATTTTGTGTTTTATCACAAAAAATTACACGAGCTGGTCGCTTAGGTCCGGTTAAGTTCTAGAGAGCTATCTTTTGTTGTCGTTGTTGTTGTTGTATTGTTTTGCATTATAAAAAAGAGTTGGGACCACCATTTTTCATCGTAACTAACTTGCTTCCATTTTGTTAAATCTCAAGTCAAAAGAGCGATGCTGAAGATAGTTCAGCTTCCTTGTACGACACGGATGAAGAGGAGAGCGATAATGTAAGCTAAGTTCTTATTATATTATGATAATTATTAGTACTACATTATCAGTTTCACGGCATTTTTTGTAAATTTCTTTAATTATGCGGAGCTCTAAGCGATGTGAATGGGCAGTAATAGTGACTTTCTGTCCAAAACACCCTGAGTGAGACTAAACTCTGCAATTTACACCCCTAAATAAAGCAAGAGGACGAGCATCCCCGTCTTTTTTGTATGAGTCACCGCCGGTCCTAACCCTCCGTGGATTTGTCGTGCAACTTTTTTCTCGATGTAACTTTGGGATTCATTTTGTGTATTTCTCACAGGAGCCCGAGTTATTTTTCGCTGACCCGCAGCAACTTCTCGATATATTTGCTGAACTCGAAGAACAGAATTTGTCTCTTATCCAAAACAGCCAGGAAACCGAAGAAGCACTCGAGGAACTGCGGCAGACAATTAAGCAAACGCAAGATAGAATGTAAGAACTCCATCACTGTCAATTTGGTTTTTATTGTTTTTTTTAGACCCTTCATGTCTACACTAATGCGTTTTCAAAAGTATTTTCATCGAAAACGCATCGATCGATTCGTGTCCACTCAGACTAACGTTTTGATGCGTTTTCGAATGTCCACACTGAAACGTTTGAAAACGATAGAATTGCACATTGTGACGTAAGTTGAACTCTGTGTACATGCTTCAAACACATACGCCTGCGATATATTCGGTGATCGTTTCATTTTCATTCATTTTCGAACGTCCATACTGATAGGTTATGTTTTTGGTCTGGTTTTGATCCACTATCAAGAGCGTTTTCACTGCAAATCCAAGCATTTTTGATGAAAACGCTGTGCGTATTGGTGTGGACGGAAGGCCGCATTAGTGCATTAGTGTGAACGGGCTGTTTTGAGAACATTATAACAAGAGTTTGCCCCAGAAAGGAATATAAAATAATTGTTATAAAGGACAGAAACGTTTTTTCTCAAAATGGAAGTTACAAAGTATATTTGTTTCCACAGGAACCGTGAAACTGAAATTCTCAAAGGTCAGATTGACTTCTTAAATGATGCCATTAACAGAGAAGAAGAAAGAGCGAAGGAGTTGGAGATGAAATCAAAGTAAGCTAATTATGATAAATCCGATTATTTATTTTGTGCAGAGAACCGAGTTTATAAATTTTGAACATTTTTATTTCTGTTCCTGTTTCTCTCCAGTCTGTCAACCAGATAAAAATATTTCTTTATTGCTTTTTGTTTTCATGCAGAATGTTTTCATATGGCGAATTTAAAGCGGAAGATCAGGTAATTAAGCTGGTGTCGTATGTCACCATTTTAAACCACTAATTTCGAAAGAACAAGTAATGGCGCTGCGCCAACTGGGAGTGCTAAGTTTTTTGTAAATAAGTTAAAATTGAAAGCTTTGATTTGTAATCTTTGACAGGCGTTGCTCAATTTCTGAAAGTATTTGAAACTGAAACTGTTCAAACGCGAGAGAGATGTCCCCCAAACATTCACCAAGATGTCAACCATTTTTAAAAGGGAAGACTGTCTTGTTCAGCTTCCTGAACTTTGCCTAATTTTAATTTCTTTTGCTGCTCTGCAGGAAAAAATGCTACAGACGCTCAACAAAAAGGTGGAAGATGTTTATCGAAATTGTATTGGTGATAACGAAGCAAATATAAGGTAATTAAAACAAAGATTATTCGATGAAACAAAGGAGCGTGCACGTTTTACGGTGTAAAGTTGTCGTATGACAACCCGAAATTATGTCTAAAAGGTGGATTAATTTTCCGTGTACCTATAGCGCCTACCATAGCCCTCTGGTGAACGTCTGACTGACATAGCTGATCAACCTTAAAGAGAGCAGACTTTTTAGACTGTAGTTTTATCCCTTGTTTGCGTTGGATTGTAGGAACGTTATTAAAATCCAAGGCGGCGAAGCGGCTAACACTTCGCTTAACAAGCAAATTCGCGTTCTTTCAATCTTTATCGCGACTATTCCAACTCACTGACCTTGTTCAATGTAGGCGGACTCCCGTCTGTTGTTGTTCTATGTTGTCCTCCATAAAACGTAAAATTAGGCATCTTCTCGTCGTAGTCGTAGTCGGCAAATAAAGGTTGAAAAAAGTTTGCTGCACGTGCATACAGTTGTTGTTTTTGCCTATCAAGGTCCCGGGGGACACTATTAATGAATAAATTCATAATGTCATAAGGCAAAATTTTGCTGGTTACGTCTTTAGGAACGCTTATGTCTCGGCTGTTCTTATCCTCTTTTCTTTCTTTCTTCTTCGTTTTTCTTTGGAGGGGAGGTGGGGTCCTCAACGCGACATTGATTTTGCGGTTCAAAAGGATTCGATAAAACACCTGTATCCAAGCGGACAATAATACGAGTCCGTTACGGGCGGGGGAGACATACCCTGGTTGCCAGTAGTCTGTACACAGAGGTTATTTTTTTTTTCCTTCGTTCCTCCCTACCCCTTGCGCTGGCGGTCAATAAATCCCCCGCGGTTTTAATTTTTTATCACGCGGGCTCAACGGACTTTGAAGAAAAAATAGAGGGTCTGTGAACAGGCTAGGGTGCTAGAGACTCTTCACGTGCGGTCTCAGGTTTCGGTTTCGGTAAAGACTTCATAGTGACCCGAAAAGCGCGATCTGCCAAGTAAAGACAACCCTGCTTAACGTCCATTGTTCTTTAATGTGTCTGGAAAATTTTATCTACTCCTCTGAAACAGTGATTTGTGATAGCAAGCACGATCACGGCACCAAGCAAAACCAGCTTGATCGTTGAGTGCTCTAGAAATTTAAACAACTAGTTTGGAGACAAAAAGAGGAGAATATGTGTAGTGTTATAGCTTCTCAAAGTATTAATGTTTATTGACTGTATTCGCAGCACTCTACAGATGCTAACAAACATTGAAAATCGCCTGGAGGAACTTTTTGAACAAATAGAAGTCATGCCCCCAGACAGAGTAGAGATGGCTGAAAAGGTTAGATGAGAAAAATTCATTACAAAATCCAGTAAGCAACAACAAGCTGCTTTCAAATCGAAAAATCACTCAATGAAACGTTATGAAATCCTGCATGGGAAGAATTTTACCCCACACCCTGTTTTAGTTCAGATGAACGCCTAATTTTGCGGTCATGTCCAGCCACTGGCTTTATCTCTTATACCTCCTGTAACCAAGCACCTCATGTCCATTTGATTAACCAAAATGAGTAATTTACAATGCTGCAGTTTGCATGATCTTTCCGCTTAGTGAGGCAACGTCGTAAAATACCTAAGACTAAGACTTAGTTACATGATCAAGTGAATAGTGATCGAAAAGTGACATGATATTTTCCAGGCAAAAGAGAAAGAACGACGCATGCGCCTTCGAGAGGAGAAGATGGAGCAACAAAGACTGCACCAAGAGGATAGAGTCAGAAGGGCTCTAGAACGAGCTCAGGCTGAACCCAAGAAAAAGGTTTGTGATGAAGTTCCATTTTCTTTGTTTGGGAGCCCGCGACACCTTCTAAAAAGTTAGAAAAGGAAAAAGAGCCCTTCACCTTACCTAAGCAATTTTGCATTGCTGACCAAGTTACGTTTGGAGCAGAGGTTTGCTATGTTATCCTTAAGAAGACCCCATTTCAGAAAAGCTGTAAAGAAAATAAGTCGCTATTTCAAGGAAACAACGACGGAGAAGCATACGCCATGGACACAAATTTCAATTATCTTTGCTGCGAAGATGTTCTAAAAATGAAGTGAAAAGCATCTGCAAGTCTGAATGTTATTCTGGGGTAACTGTTGGCCCAAATATCCGCGGATAAGAATTACTTAAAACTTAAGTAAAAGCTTGAAAAAAGGGTTATTTTTAACAAGGAAAAGTAGATCGAGATTCATTGCATTTTTTACAAAGTTGGAGCCCCTCAGTTTTTGACCATGCGTTCACTTATGGTCATAGATTACATGTAATAGTTTTAAGTTTTGTTTTTGGCTCTCTTCTTGCAGACTGGAAAACCCCTTATGTTCCGTTCTGAGCCTCCACAAAGGCGAAGAAAACAACAAGATTCCGATAAGAAACAAGATAAAGAAGAGGAAGAACTCAAGTACTTCTTTACGTGAATAACTGTGACTATGTAGTCTTTGTACAACTCTTCAATACTTCAGTTCACTTTTCAATATCTTAAAGCATAGTTAGCATATATACACACTGGAAAAATGTTGACCTTGAGTATAAATACAACTTGTTTATAGTGTAATTATCAATAAAAGTTTGATATTGAAGAAAGTTTTGTGTAATTGCCTTGTATTAGTGGTATATCGTTTTAAATACTTGGCAATACGTGAAGGGTTGATAAAACGTTTTGTAAGGAAGATATTTGTCCTAAATTTTAGGCAGCCTTGGGGATTTCTTGTTAAACCGGCAAAGAAGAGCTTAAAATGATAAAAAATAAAATAAATGATTGACCATCGTCGCAAGTCACTGAGTGATCTTTGAGCCGTTTTGGGATGCCAGACGCGTTGTTGTGGTTGCATTGCACCAAGGGAAGCTTGGGCAACATATGCCCCAAGTGACTATTTTGGAATCCCCCATAATACACCCAGTTTGGCACTGAAATTTTCCATGAGTTATCTTTTCAAATGCAATCGGGAATATGAAACAATAGTTTTTGTTTTTTAGCTGGAAATTTTTTCCCAACAGCGTGCACTCTCATTGGTGACTTCGAGGTCACATGACAGCTAACAATGAAACTGTTTCCTGCCAAAATCTTTGAGTGGGCAACATTGCAAAATCTATGATGTCAGAGGGTAACAGTGCTTTGTTATCCACAAATGTTGACCAACAACCACCGTTACAGCAAGGTTTCATGAATTTCCAGCTATATAACAAATCACTTAAAGACTGGTCCTTTGGGAAACAGTTAAGTTTGCTTCCCTTGAATCTCAATGTTTTCATTGGCATTCTTGGGAAACAAAATTAACTGTTTCCCTTGGGACCAGTCATAATTAATTTTTAAAAGTGTTCTTTGCCAAATGCTGGGGGATAAACGGTAATGGTGATGGCATGTGGTGTTAATTACCCATACATTCACTCAAATAATTTTGAAATGAATAGGTTTTTTTTCTTACTTATCAGATTTGAAGTTAACCAGTCATCACACTTATGTTATGCATTACCTAATCTTATTCGTGACTGGAGGTATCTTATGCTACCCAACACTACAAGAAATGCTTTTAGTCAAGGGTTGATTGATTGGTCGCTGAACTTTAAAAAAAAAAACAAACAAACAAAAAACAAAACTGGTTATTCACCGAAGTGGCCAACGTCGCTCATGAACAATTCAAATGGGGTTTTCACAATGCTGGTGATTCCTAGAGTTATTTGCTTACAAGAGTGGTCACAAGAAGAGCATTGACTGTATATTATTTAACAGAGTAAGAATTCGAGTTTAAAGGATGATTAGTATAAAAGCAATACCTTTATTTCAAAACTTTCTTTAAGCTGTCTTACAAAGCTTTGGCTTACCCTACAGTATGTAATAGTGGAAAAAGGGAAGGTAATTTTTTTTCTATTTTGTGAGCACTTGAAAACAATCCAACGAATTGCAATTATGGGGAATAAAAATTTGCTTTAAATGACACTCAATGAAATGGAAAGAGCCTAACTCTCAGCTAGAGGAACACAAAATTTTCGTACAACAATAAATATAATACAGAGAAAACATATTTCTGACAGTCCAATAATATTATTCTCTCATCTCGCCATCTTCCTCTTCCTCATCCACTCCACGCACATACAGAACATTGTTACACCTAGTAAAAATAACACCCAAAATAACCTCAATCTATCATTAATTATCATTAAGTACAAGAAAAGGTTGACATTTAAATACATTAAGTCTGACATTTCCTATCCTTATAATTTGCCACTTTGGAAAAGAGAGGGAGACTGGGACTTGTTAACTTTTGCAAAGACATCTGGGATTCTTATTGGGGGCAGGGTGAAAGCAAATAGCCAAAAGCTGGTCAGCACAACCCCGGTAATGATCCCACAATCGTTTTCAGCTCCAGTTCTGTTCATGTTTCTAACAAGGTCAATACAGAAAATTTTGTCTGGACCATGTATTTGACAAATCTGAGAAATACATTTTACAGGCCATGTACCACCACCTTAATGCGGCCACTGTTTCAGTTTCTATCTACAATAGTCTTTTATTTTATCTGCATGGAACTGTAACTTAAACACTGTAACAATTAAAACTTACCTGATAAGAACCTCCCCAAGATTACCTGCTAAGCTCCCATCAATATACTCCTCTGTGTTGGCAAGCTGCGAGAAAAGCAATGCTAACTGATCATTGTTGCCAAAAAGAAAACCTACGTTACTACGTACTTAACAGATTCTCACAATATCTATCCTTTTTTAAGAAAAATTATCAGTACCAGGGGCTCAAAAAATAAGCAGAAGTGCATTCATCTTTATTGGCAAATCAGCAATGGCTTTTTTAACAAACTAATTACCGCAAGTACTCAAATCCTGGTCTACAGGTTTGGGCCCAGGACAAGGATTTTGGCGCTGTTTCACAGAAGGACTAAACCCAGAGTTTAGTCTCGTCTGTGATTCCGGCTACCCTTCATATGCCATACCTGAAGGTTCATGTATCCGTCCACAGACACAAGATATCCTTTGTATTCATGTCCCCATTTAAGCTTTGCTATCACGGCTTTTCCTGTTAGCCCGTTAAGGAAGGGCTTTGGATTTAAGGGCATAGTCTAAAGAATAAACCAGTCATAAATTAATATCATTACACTATTAATCATAACTATAGCAAAATTCTCAAATCTGATTGGCTATCAACTGTCCTGATTTCAGCACTAATAGGACAGTGTGATAGGACAGTACACGTTATGCCTGTAATTGGACAGTGCGCACCGTCGCACATGTCTGTTTAAAAGGCTTTTTTCACTGCTAGCAAAAAAATTCTTGGAATTTCTTGTGTTTTTTAAATATTAGAAAAAAGCCTAAAATATAACAAATTTTGTTACACTTGTGATTAAACAAATCAGTCTCCCGCTAAGCAATCATCCAATTTTGTTAATCACTCGTATGATTACAGACCAAACTGGACTCCGCTCAGTCCTATTACCATTATTTACAGATTGAAAAACCAGCGTCCACCACTAGTTTACCCGCAAAATGACGTCTGACAAACGAGCTCACAAATTCTATGGTAATGACACACACTACCCAGATCTGGGTAGTGCTTCTGATTGGTTGTGCCATGTGAGAATTTTTCTTCAGCCAACAGAAGCATTACTCAGATCTTGCAGCAGTATGGATTTTCTGCACCTGTTTTTCAGATGGAGAAACCAGAAAATGTCTGCTGTTTTCTCAGGCTACACTATTTACAGCAGTTTGTATGTAGTATGAAGAAATTGCACCTCACAACTTCTTAACATGTAGACAATATTCTCGTTCCAAGTTGCAGGATAGCAGTGCATATTCAGATCTCATTAAGCAACCCTCCAAGTTGGGACCATTTTGGTCGCCATGGCGCCTAAAATTTTGCAGCTGGTGACTTGATTCGTAAAAAAGCCTCCCTAAACGAAAAGAGTTGGTTGCCAAATGGTGACCAGGCAAAAGCTTTAACTTGGAGGGTTGTTAAGTTAATTAATTGTGCCATGGTCTGGTAAACACAGCGATCTGCATGGACCTCCACTGCATGGTTTTCAATTGTCTTGCAGTTTGTTGGTGAAAGCCTTTAATACAGTCGCTGCCGCTTAGTATAGTGGTACATCCAATTAGAAGTAAAGGGTGGATTCATTTGCAGTATACGCGTATAACTATCCTATTTTGCCCGTGGAACAATGAAAAATTCCAGCGGGCAAATACGACAACGGTGTACGCGCGTATGCTTCCAAATGAATCCACGAAGTTAAGTTTTAATATGTCTCGAAATGGATCGGGTTTTGAGAATTCGAGGACGGATTTTTTTTTCAAATTTTTGTCACATTAGCCACGAATTGATAAGAAATATCAAACGCTCAAAAAGGTTGAGGGCTTGATGATCTTTCGTACTTATCTAAAATTGTCAGGATGAATTAGTGTATCGAAAAATGACATACACCAACCGATCAAAGAGTAGTTTGATCGTACCCCCCAATTCTCAACAAACTGAACCCCACAAACCATGAAATTTTGTAGTAGCCTTTTCAGCTAATAACCATCATTGATCGGTAAAATTAATTTACTCACCGCCATGATGAAATAGTTAAGTAATTCTTCACTTGAAACAACGCTTACTCTCACATCAAAAACCACGCTGTTCGCTTGTCACGTTTAGAAACGTTTTATAACTGGTCAGCGGGAGTGAGCGGCTAAAAAGTGAAGGACTATGGGAAGGAACTTGAACCAGGCTCTTTGGGTTGAACTCGGAGCCAAATACGGTGGAGTTCCATCCTTCTTCAGTTCAATAGTGCGTGAGATTTGAAATTCGGCTTTATAATGGCAATCTGGTTATATACTCTCCAAGGCTTATTGACTTCCATTGTTTTAAATATTGGTCTGATTACGCTGTGAAATTCAAAAATGATCTTGTAGTTCATAGTACTTGGGTGGAGGTCTGAAACATGTTAGCTCGGTACTGAAAGTCAGCGTGAGTCTCAAAAACGTTAGTTTCCCGGGTTAGTTTTAACAAATACACGATTAACTGATCGCGTTGTAAGCACATAAAGCAGCGTCCACCCGTTTTTAAAGCTAGTAAAAATGGCAGAATGATGAACTCATGGCACCCACCACGAATCACAACACCAAGAACTTTGAAACCATTTTAAAAACTTTTACTCAAGCAATTATTGGAACTTTCAAACAGTATATATCCCTTAACGAAAGTGCGAAAAGACGGAAGGGAAAAGAAGTGAAAACTGCGACTGACAATTCCCATCAAACGGCTAATCTCGACTGCCTTCGTCTGGAATTGTCAAGTCCCTAAAGAGTCAGCTTATTTGTCCCCCCTGCTGGATTTGAAGAAGCTAGTGTCACAGGACTAATCACCCCGATTTTAAAGATATATGGAAAGTAAATAAGTTCGATAAATATCCGATCAAGTAGGCTTTCAAAGTTCTAGAACATCAGTAAGTGTTTAACTTGAAAAATGAAACATGATAAATTATCAATTTACTCACGACAATAAGCTTTTCATGCAGAAACATAAATTTTAACAGTGCTGAGTAAACTAGAGTGGCAAATTATTTCTGTAGGAAATCCTTACTTGGTTATCGGACTTTGGTAAGTTTAGCTTTGTTTAGCCGAGCAATTGCTAGTAAGTCGTGATTTTTAATATTTCGGTTTTTTTGTTGATGAAAAATACCGAGAAATACTGATATCGAGCGGAAATTATTTTTTTCGCAAGTGTTCTCTGATGATGTATTTCACATACAGTTTTTGATAATGTATTACAAAAAGATTCTGTCCAGATTTCTCGATTTTTTACCAATTTTACTCTATCACACGCCGCCCAACAAACTATCGCTAGCCTTTAGCATTTGGCACTTTCCTAATTTTGCTCTTGCATTTTGATCACCGTCTCATGAGAGTGCTTTTAATTATTTCAGGCGGGAAATAAGTACCGCGTGTGTTAATGTTTGTTTGGCGCCCAGATCAGTGACGTCAGTAATCACGAAAAAAGGAAGAGACTCCAGACAGGTAAGAAAACTTAATAATTATATCAGTAGCATTTGATGTTTAAAATTATTATAATTCTGGATTATTTTATTCTAGTTCAACACTCGAGAGAGTCAGCCCTTTTCTCAAAAAAATTTCGCAGAC